ATATTATATATATATAAAATTTTTAAATAAATAATTATATTATTTATAAATATTTAATTAATTTTAATTAAAAAATAAATTTTAATAATAATTATGACAATTGCTATTAGCACACCCTCATTTTGCTATCGGGGGCTTATTGGTACACCCAATACAAAAGGTACATCCCCACCCACCCGCATTCAATTACATCAATTGCCCACATCACCACATCAATTGCCCACACAACTTATTCAATCCAGCGATGCAACATATAAGAGTTGTGTCGCTGTTTTCGCCTCGATGAGAGCTTTCGAATGATATATATCACAATTGGATGCATGCGTTGCTCCAAAAGTTATTTGAATGTATAGTCAATTCAACATGGTCAATTCAACGTGGCGTGCGACCGCAAAAGAGCCTCCCGCAGAGCCTCATCCAACCAACATATCGACAATTATACCATAGGTAATTCGAGGAATGACCATATGCAAAATATATCATTAGAATCGCCTCAATTAGGGCAGTCTAATGATATATATATCGATCCGGTGCAGGCTTTAGGTGTAAAGTTATTCGAGTATGTGTGGTGGTGGTGGCTCTTGGGGAGACCACGTGATACCCTTTCGCGCGGTCGCATCTGCGTTGAATTGAGTATATATTCAAATTCGAATAGCTTTCGAAGCAACGCATGCATTAAATTGAGACTTATATCATTAGAAAGCTCTAATTGAGGCGAAACTAAAGATGTAAATCTTATATGTTGCATCGCTGGATTGAGGGATTGAGGAGCGTGTAAAGGTTGATGTGGTGGGTTGATGTGGTGGGAGTTGAAAATGGGTGGGATGTATTTGGATGTACTGGGTGTACCAATAAGCTCCGATAGTAAAATGAGGGTGTGCCAATAGCAATTGTCTAAAATTTTAATTATTATATAATTTAAAAATTTTTTATTTTTTTTTAATTTTACTAATATATTATATATTAATTATATTATTATTTTCTTTTAATAATTAATTAAATTAAATATTTTTAAATAAATATATAAAAATATAAAAAATTTTCTTTTATTATTAATATTTTTAAAATTAAATTAATTTTAAAACTTTTTATTTTTAATTAATTTTTTAAATTAATTATTTTATTTTTATTATTTAAAAAATTTAATAAAAATAATTATTATTTTTTTAATAATATTTTATATTATAAATTTAATATAAATTATATTTTATATAAACCTTTTTATTTAATATAATTAAAATTAAATATATTTTTTAACTTAATAATAAAATATAAATAATAAAACTTTTAATTATTATAAAATAAATAAATATTTTTAATTATTTAAATAATTTAATTAAATATTAAAATTATATATATATTTAAAATATAAAATTTTAATATATAAATAAAAATATAAGAAATTATAAATGGTTAAGTTATCCTTAAGTTACGTAAGGCTGATTAATTCAACACCTCCGCTATGGTATGTAGAAATATTTTTGGCTTAGCTTTTTAAGCATCTATTCTCTAGTCAGAGCGTATTAATAAGCATCGGCTCTTTTCCAAGCAACGGGTACCTACATAGTTTCTAAGCAGGTACGTATAAAATACAACCCCCGCGACGGATCGGGGAGAACCGACGTGATATTACTTCTACAGGAACGGATCCGGGCAAGACGGCGGCCCTCGAATTGGACCGAGGCTTAATTTTAGACGTGTTATTACATACCCAGGTACTATTCAGGAAGTTTACAATTGGAGCTAATATGTCATGTTAATAAAAACTACCCGAGAATCCAGGAATAAGTATGATATACGTAATTGAAAATATGGTATAAATATACGCGTATAGATCAGACAGGTGCAGTAGGTTTAATTATAATAACTCGGGAATTCTTTCGTGACAAGACAAGATAAAAATCAAAAGTTGAACTCAACTCATACTCACATTCCAATATGTCGAAGCCCACAATTTTGATCGTCGGCGGTTCATTCGCGCCGCCGGAGGTATACGATAATATCGTCGAGGCTATTGCGGCAAAAGGCTATGATATTAAAGCTTTGCATTTCCCGAGTGTTGGCTTGAGGGCCGGGCCAAGACCGGAAAAGCTGCCGACCATGTACGACGATGCTACCTTTGTCGCTAAGGAGGTATCCAAACTTGCGGACGAGGGGAAGGACGGTAAGCATTATAGACCCCCTGAATTCTAACTCATATAGATAGCGAAGGTCAATGTTAACGCTACATGCTGCAGTCGTTCTTGTCGCCCATTCTTACGGAGGCGTGCCGGCCACCGAAAGCACTAAGGGACTCACGAAGAAAGAGAGACAGAGTCAAGGGAAAGGGGGAGGAATTGTTAGGCTTGCATACATGACATCATTGGTACCGCCCGTAGGGCGCTCTGCACGGAGTCTTCTCGCAGAGATCCCTAGCGAAAATCGTATCGAGTTTAAAACTGATGTTAGTCACTTTTCCGTCTCTTTAAACTTTCCTGCTGCTTATTCGTTCATCGCCATCTAATACCATCGTAATAGGAGCAAGGTTGGATGGATTACGTCGATCTACCTGCCGCCGCTGCACTAATAATCTCAGACCTTCCTGACGTGAAGGAAAGAGAAGCAACCGTTGGAAAATTCCAAACTCACTCATCTGCTAGTTTTGTTACTGAGTTGACACACGCCGGCTATAAAGACGTCCCTGTGTCGTACTTGCTATGTGAAGAAGACGCCATTCTTCCCCCTAAGTATCAGAGAGAGTGGATCGAGTTGATTGAGAAAGAGAGCGGGAACAAAGTCGATGTCACCTCTCTGCAGGTTGGCCACTGTCCTAGTTACACTAAGCCACAGGAAGTGATCAACTGGATTGTGAGTGCGGCAGTAAGGGGTGAAAGCAAGTAGGTGGCGATAAATATAAGCGGGATCGATAATTACCTACAGGACAATTGCTAAGATTGTATTATGCAGCCTAGCTGGCTAAGTACTATCGAAATGAAAGCACTTTTCGATTTCGACGATGTAAAATTCCCAAAGTGCCTCGAAAATATAAGGGAGATATAGGGTTGGAGGCGTCTAGACGTGGATCTCTCACTATACTACATAGATGATAGGTATAAGGACATGAAAGTAAAGTAAAGGCACCAGCAAGCCTCCGCTCACACATAATACATACCCACTTTGGCACCTAAGGTAGGTACATAAGGAAGCAAAAAGGAGTTGTGAATTTAGAATAAAGGCATGAGCTGTAATTTAGGTTTAATACCGAGTCGCCATGGCTTCTATTAAACTATCTAAGAAGAACAACCAGAATAAAGACGTCTCCCAACCATTCAGAGCGCATAGGTATAGCTTCCTTCGAGATACCATGAACAGGGCTCTCAGTTTGAAGCTTAGAATACTAACTAATAGTTTACTTAGTAGGTAGTTAATGCAAAGTGCTCACTACCAGAGATAATGCAAAGCTCTACTATTCCTTCTAACAATGTCTAAAAACCGAGAGAATACTAGATAAAGTCATAGGTATTCTGGTAGGTAATTACATAAATCTGAAAATCCCAAAATGTCGAAATATAGCGAAGCATGTTGCAGGTACGGTTATTCCGCTTCTCTGGCAGTTGGCCTCATATTGACTTAGTATAGAATCCCCCAGCTGTCGACGAGGGCTATGAGCCCAAGGACGCGTATATTGAACTCAACGGGACCAAAACCTGTAGGTACTTGAAATGATAGATTGCAAACTCGAAATAATCGTCCCTTATACTGATACTTCTTTACTACTAAGATGTGACAGGACCGGCGGATTCAGATACCGCCTTCCACAGTCCCTATATATAGCATATGGCTGCTGAGTTAATTCGATCTAATTTACCTAAACTTGGATCTTTGAACGATACGATTCTAGTTCAGTCGCCTATAGTGTCAATGGCGCCGGATAGTACTGAGCAGATAACATGGACGTGCTTATTAGCTCATCCTAGCACTTCCTAGCACTCTAACCCATGGTGATAATAATTTCCTAAGAAAACATAACCTTTTTATTATATTCATTGATCTGAATGTACATAGTAGGTTAGTGGTTGTGTGGTTGACTGAAAACACGTGATATTACGTTTTATTGAAAATAAATAAATTGGATATTGAGGTCATATCTACGTAGGTTAGGTACCTAAGTACATGTACGGATCCGTATGTGGAAGTAGCTAACCATTGGGTTTTCGTTTAGGTTTGGTGGGTCTTATATCTTATCTCTAAACACGCTTCCAACGCGTCAAGCTCCCAGCGCCCAATTCTCCCCACTCACACACACCTTCCGTCCTCCCACTCCCAACCTTCCATAACAATATATCTAATCTAAATTATAAGCCTTATAACACTTTTCGCCATGAACTGACGGACTATTGAGTTTGAAATATTTGACTTCTCGGTAAACAGCATATCATACCCAATAATTCTCAATTGTCACCAACTATGCCGCGACCCAAGAGAACACGCGTCACGTCGACTCGAACAGTCGCAAAAGTCACAAGCCCCGAACCCGTTGTGGTACCGAAACAACCTTCCGAAACCAGCTCTGATATATACGATGTGAGTGACCGGGAAAAGGAAAAGGCGAAAAAGAGACGTGAGTCGGTGCGCGATGCGGATTCTGTTACGCGCACGCGATCTACATCTTCACACCAATTGAAGGCATTAGAAGTCGCGCGACAGCAACGCGACTCTGCCATGGATAGGCTAGAAAACATGACTTCGACGTCGAGCAATCGGGTAGATGAACCTGGAGAACCTTCAGAGTCTTCGGTTGAATTGGGGCGCAAAGTGGCTGGGACCCCGCAACAGAGGAGAATGGCGGACATGTCAGGATTGGACTTGGATGATTCAGACTTTGACGACTTGAATACAACATTTGATACTGCAGGTCCAGCAAGTGCGCAGCGATCAGTCGAAACATCTACTATGTCTGCCAGTGTTTTCAAACGACGGCCCCGCGCGGGAAGTTTTCTAAGCAGAGAGGATGGTTATATTCGTCCTAGCAGCCGGACGGGTCCCAACACGCCTGGTGTTAGCTCGACATTTAACATCGCCATGTTTAAAAGGAGAGTACGAGAGCCTAGTATCCTCGGTACTGCCCAAAAGCCGCGTCCTCAAAGATTAGAGCCAGAGCCCGAGCCGGAATCTGATCAGGATGGAGATGAAGATGAAGAAGCAGTTGATGAAGAGGGATTTGCCCCTGAAGCCGAATCAACCCCAGTTAAACCTTCTAAGAGACGTTCCGGAGAGGTTGAGGCTGGCCCAGCATCGCCGCAGGATTTGCCACGCGCAAATTCGCGTAAGCGAAAATCTTCAGAAGGTCATGAACGTCGCGCAAGATCGTCCCCAGTTGAAGACGATGAACCCGTCGAGGAACCCAGAGTACAACAATCAGATTCAGAGCTATCATCTCCCCCATCTACTCCTCCGCCTCGACAACAGAGTAGTAAGCCCGCGACACCCATTATGGATGAGGAGCTCATGGCACCTCCATTAAGTAGCGGCTCCTCCGAGGGAGACTTCGAGGTCTGGCCGCCTCTCCAGTCACTCACACGAGCCCGCCGGAGACGGCCCTCAATTCCCCGAAGGACCCCAGTCGCAGATGATATTATCTCCGATATTTCTTCGCCGCCCTCCCTCACTTACTCTCCAAACTACCGCGAGCCTTCTCCGCCGCCGCGGCAGGCCGAAAAGACCAAGCGCAAGGGTGTTTCTAAGCCAGAGCCTAAAATCACGACTGCAGAACTCAGGACTGAAGATTTAGCGGGCTTACTGCCGCGTCGGCGCCGTAGAAACGCTAGAACCGACGATGAAGATTCGGAAGCAGAGGTTGACATCTCCGGCCTAGGCGATCATGACGACGAGCTCTCTTACCTTGACGTTCGAGCCCGACGACACCCAGTGCGGCCGGGCTCCCGAGCAGGACGGTCCAAGAACCAGAATGTGGGACGGGCGCGTCCCGCTTCGCGCGGTAAGACCGCAAAGCGGACTCCCAGTACTAATAGACGTACTACGATCACGTATGGCCGGACATCAGACAAAGAGAACCAAGAAGAGTCGGAGGGCGATGAAGAGCAGGGTGGGGAGGAAAACAATCAGGACATGGCCGAGCGAGCGAGCGAGGAGCTGAAGAACGCAGCGCGCAAATTCCAGGAGGTGGATCAATGGCAGCTCGATTACGAGGAAGTGACGGAGAGTAGTTCACCATTGGACGCTCGCTAAATTCGAAAAGTATCTTATTGTTATTCAAGGGGAGTACGGAAAAGGGGTTTTGGGAAACTGGGAGATTGGGGGTGAAGGTTGCCCAGTTATGATGCATGATGCTTAGCATGGGGTCTTCATTAAGTTACTAGGTCAGCGCTTTATCGTCAGCTATGCTTATTACTTTGGAAGGGCTAAGGGAATCGAATGGCATGAAGATCGCATACTAGTCGAGTGATATGATAGCTCGATATCCCCAATCAATGCCAGCCATCCGTCTGCATTTGCTATGCACCATAATTTTTATACCATGTCTTTCCTTCAGAGCGTGTGATCGTGTATCGAACCGTTCACTTGTGAACGTATGTATACCTTTCCGGAGCCAAAACTCTACCTACTCATGCCCGACTCCGTGAACGCCAAACCATGCATTTCGTACAATTCATAAACCTCCCTCTCTACTTATTACTCGTACGGTCCCCGATCAATCAATCAAATCCGATCCTTAGAAATAAGCTCTCGGAATTCGAGATGACCCCGTTCGTATCCAAGGTCTACGATCTCAGCGAGATGCTTTCCAGAGTCTGCTCCACCGTAGGAAGCAAGTCGGCGATCTTATTAGCGTCACGCAACGCTATCGTCACAGCGTCGGGCACCAGGCCCGTCATGAGCAGTTTCTACACAAAGTCAAGTCAGCTAATTTTTGGACCAACCTCCCTAATCTCCCGCATATACCCAACCCCAACCCCTCTTTCTTCTCTTTCCATCTCGAGAACTGTTTTTTTTCTACGGTAGGTAAAAACTTACCCGCTTGACATCTTCGAACCCCATCTCCTTGGCCGTGTACTCGCGCGTGACCTCCTCAGCCGCGAAATCCACGTACACGCGGGTGTCGCGGATGCGCACGACGACGTTATCTAGGCGCATGAAGAGCCGAGATAGCAGCAGCATGCGGCGCTCGTGGACGCGCAGCTTCACGCTGAGGACGCTGATGCCGTTGTCGTCGAGCTCGCTCTCGTACAGCATGACCTCGTCGAAGAAGAGGATCGGGTCCCGCCGTTTCAGAAGTTCGATTGGGATGGGATTGTTTGAGGGCGCGAATTCGAACTTGTTCTTCTTCTTCTGGGCCCCTGCTATCTCCTGCTGCTCGCTTGGGTTCTTGGATTCTTCTTCTTCTTCCGTGTTGGTGGTGTCGTTCTCGGTGGCTGCCGGACCCAGCGGCGGCGGGGGAGGAGGAGCTCGAGACGAGGGCGGGACGACGGTGCCTCGGTACGTAGTGCTGTAGCTCCAATCGTACGGCCTGACTACGTCCTTAATGCCAGCACTGGTCTGTTCGCGGCTAGCAGACCAGCTCTTGGCGTAAGCGACCTGGAGCATGTTCCGATCGGTCTTATCCACCGCGTCTAAAGCATCGCGAGCGTTGAACTCGACTGCCCAGCCAGAGGGCGCGTGGCGTATAGAAACGAGGTTGTCGCCGAAGATCATCTCGGGCACGGGGATGCCTAGCTCGTGCTCCATAGCTTCGATGGGACCGGCTTTAGAGATGGGCAGTTTTCGCGTTGAGATTATGAACGAGCCTTGCCGGTGCGATGTCGTCGCTTGCGCGATGTCCTCGGGCCGTGGGAATGGCTCGTTAGGCGAGGTTATGTGCGCTGCCATGGTTGGCGTTTGTTAGTTTTAGGTGTTTGGGGAGTAGAGGTAGAAGTGTTGGCTTGTATGTTCAAAAATAATAGTCAAAATAGTAGTCGATGTTGAAGTTTGTCAAGCTCTAAAAATAAAGTAGAGCTTAGTACGGAATACGGAATATAGAGGGGCAGAGCTTCGTCACAGCGGGGTTGCCCAGGTGCTTTCCCAGAAATTGGAGTTGGGACCTGACGGTTAGGTTCATGTACCTAGGTACCTAAGCTTTAATCCATCAAGGCTCAGCTATCGAGTCTCTAACTGTTCCTATGTAGTGATATATTCCAACTCTACCCGTATAGCAAACGCCGAAAAACATACTATATACCACATTAAACATTGGCTCCGATTGGTAGAGCATTATCTCTACCTCTTACCCAATAGTCTTGACTCTTTTTTGCCACCAGCCTTTTACTGTAACGCAATAGCTCCTATGCAGTTAAAGCGACAAAGTTCTTATACACCTTACCCAGCCCTTGTTACCCGGTATCTTCGGCCTAAGCAATGGAGTCACATACTCCAAGTAATATGAAGAGACAAACCCGTCCCCAAGTATCTCAAGCACGGCCAGCAATTCTCGCCCTCCTTGCTTCTTCGTCTCGATTAGCCGCAACACGAGCCAAGAAATCTTGTCGGTTGACGTAAGACTCTTTTGACTTCCCAGCCAATTCTAGTTCGTCTTTGATACCCTCCTTATCGACAAATCCCGCCCAGTCCATGCGACTCTTCTCCACCACGTTAAGCTTCTTGGCCTTTGCCTGCTCGCGCAACTGCAATCTTGCATCCATGCCGAGATTCAAGTCCGCGCGCTGTGTCAACCCTTCGATGACAGGCTCGAATATAGATCGGAAGGCTTTTCGAGGTTTCCGTTTAGGCTGACTGTCCTCGGGTTCGGCGTCTTCGACTGACGCGGGATTTTGAGATGCTAGGTATAACTTCGCTTCCGCCGAATCTCGAGGCACCAGCTTTTCTTCGACGTGTACCTTACCAGCGAAATTGTAGGTACGCTTTATCTTAATCATTGGTACCATCTCTTCACCACCTGGCTTCTCTGTTTGTGGCCTGTTCTTTGTACCTTTAGACTGCCCATCCGATCCTTGTTCCTGAGCTGGCTTTTGGGGTTCCTTTTCTGTTTCAATATCTGCTTTAGATGGTATTAAGGGAGCAGCGGTCATTTTAGCCCATAAATCGTCCACATCAATCGTTACCGGACCGGCGGCTGTGCGCGACTTCTTTTCGACCTTCTCCGCTGCTCGCATACTCCGGGTCTTGATTAGCCCACCCTCGCCACCTTCATCATCCTCGACGTTGCCATCCTTCCGCTTTTCTTTCTTTCGTCTCTTCTTGCCCCTTTGTATTATCGCTTCGTCACCCGAGTTCTCAAATCCATCGTCGACATCTGCGTCGGCGCCGCGCTTCGTACTTGGTACCGCGACTAGTTGGACTTCGTCATCTTCAGATTCTGAAGCTTCGGCGTCGATATCTAATGGTGCTGCGTCGGGCGCGAAATCGGAATCTTCATCAGACGCATACTCTTCGTCAATGAGTGGCTCCTCGGTCATATTTTAATAAAACGGGCGTAGGCTTTCTAATTTAGATGACGTCTATTCGAGAAATGGAATCTACTAGGTTACAGGCTGGAAGATGTTTGGCGCATGATTCGCGATTGCTAAAGAGCTGGGGAATTTTTGGAGCTTAGGTCCTTTATCTTATCGGACTTGCCAAGATATAATGTACCCACTAAAGTACAGGGTCAAGTCTTCTATCAAATGGGTACTTCATACTTAAAATTACTCTTTAAACTTCAAGTCTAAACTGAAAGTGTTTATGAATATTAACTTAGTTCTACTTATACAGACGCATACAATAAAACTAAGCATCAAATATACATATAACTACCAGTAATACTAGTAATGTTTCTCAACTCTTTAGAATCCCCAGTACCCCTTCACAAGATACGCAGCATATCCACCCAACCACAAAGTCGTAGCCATAGTGCCCCAGTAGCCAATTGGCCGACCCAAACCTAATCCATTAATAAGACCCAGCTCCACGTGTAGAACTCGGAAAGTCAAGAGGGCGGTGAGGGCATTGCTGAGAGTCTTCTGGTTTCCGCCGTTTAGTTCAGCGAAGGCTGCAATGATGAGAGCCATCGGTACATTTTCGATAAAGTTTTGATGGCAGCGGCTAGCCAGGTACAACTTGTTATTTGGGTCGCCATTTTTAGATGAATTGTCGCCGACATAAAACCGGTCCTTGAGACGGTGGTATACAACCCGGCAGCTTAGAAAAACAAAGTATGCCGAGAAGGGCATAGCAAAAGCGCCAGTCACGGCTATCGTTGAGAGAACGGCTGTTAGTATTATCTTTATGGGCCTAGCTTAAGTATAACAAGATAATTAGGTAGAGGTAATTAGTTAGAGATAACTTACGCAAGAGGGGCGCGAGTGCCGGGGTCGTGATCCCAGTTGTAGACGACATATTGATCTATATCGATTCACAACACAACGTATATGTATATGAGTTGCAGCTTAGAGATAGTTATAAGGAGAAAGAAAGAGAAATGCTTTGGTGTAAAAGTCAATAAATTATCAAGCAGATGAAGCCGTTATATAGACTTGTCAAAGACTTGCCCGAGTCTCGCTTGTCTTTTAGCGCCAACATCACCATTTGCGTGTATCCGCCCATTAGCATTTTTTGGGACGCCCGTACGAGATAATCCTTGCAACATGACTCCTATCTCGTACGGGTAGCTATATTTAGAACGTCTACTGTGTATTAAGCAATAGAGATACTATATTATCTATTCCAGATCCAGTACTGACCCGCATCAGGGCTTAAATACTTCGAAGACGCTGCATTATTTACTACATTGTTAATACACGATGCCAGCTAAATAATAGGCCACACTTACAAAAGTGATAGCGAGTTATCGCACGGTCACTACCATAGATGTAAAGGATTAACTATGTGTAATCCGTACATAGATGCTTAGAACTAAACCCATCCTTGTAGTTCTAATTACTGCTTATACTCGATGCATCAAAAGCCTTCACTTCGAGTTTTATATTTTATAAGACGAGTAAAATAATACCTTTATAATCTTACCTTCCATTTTGGATCAGCTAGAAAGGTTCGATTGGCTGCATGGATTTTCGATGCCAAGACCCTTGCCGTCCTCAACAACATCCTCAGATCTTCCCCAGATTCTTTAAATGCCCCCACAGTTTTAAGGTAAGATATTCTCGTGTGTAACCCAATTGTGTCATGAATGTCATGAATGTCATAAATCCACTGACGTCACTGACTTGAGCAGATGTAAGTAGAAATCGAGTAGTTAAGCACCTCTTATAAAGTCGGCGTCTTTCAACACTTCCTACAAATTTCATACCTAGCTTTCTATAGTTACTTCAATCAATAGTAGTATCTCTTTCCAGCAAATCACAACTATATCCCAACCGAAACACAGTTACACAATGTCTTCACAAAACAACACTCAGCAGCCCTCTCTTATCGGCGGCCACGCTGAATACATCAAGGGAGCCACAGAAGTCAGTCTAATTCACCATAACAAAATTATACTATGCCTAACTACCAGATATGCTAACAACGACGTGCAGTCAGCTATCGGTAGCGCTACGGGCTCACAGGCCTGGACTAGCTCCGGAGAGCAAGCTAAGGCGCATGCCGTAGATACCATGAAGACGGCCGGCGAGAAGCGCGATCCGTCTCAAGGGTTCGGCAAGGTCGAGCAGAAGTTGGGTCAAGCCATAGGTTGCGAAGGCATGGTCAAAGAGGGGGCAGCTAGCAAGAAACCCGAATAGGTGGAGAGGATCATTCACATACCTACCATAAACACTATGTGGACACAATATCCAATCAGTAACTTTGTAACATGATGTATATTAATCTCAAGTGCGTTCTAGATGTTCATGCTAGTCTGGTGGAAACCTTCTCAATAATTGGTATATCAACCACGGTCATTTTCAAGCATACGTAATTGGAGAGGTATAAGATTATATTGTCGGTTCCATTAAGCTTTTCTGTTTTATCATCGGGTATCGCGTTGATAGTTAAAGGGTAGCATTGCATTCTCGGAAGACTGGGATTCGTCATCCGTGTTGTATTAAAGGTACCCGACTCCCTTCTAAATTCCCAGTAAGGGCATTGAAATAATTGATTCACATGACAAGTATATTATACATACTAGTTACTATAACTACCGTAATAAATCAATTCAAAACAAAAAGCCGCGAGAAAATGGCTAGTAGCTAATGCCACCACATGTCGTATTAGGGACTCACTTCAAAAACAAATCAAGTCTCTAGTGTGACATAACAGATCAACCATACGCTCAACATACCTCCCTTACTTCATTCCACTCTCCCCTCCTTTTTCTTATCCATCCATTACTTGGTGGTGGTTTCTCATCTATACTTCCTACGAAGTCTAACCCTAACTACCTAGGTACTGAGCTATTTCAATCTGCTTCTGTAAGCTGCTTACATTTTTCGCAACCATGTAAGCATATTAGAGCCTCACGATAATAGGACAAAGGAGCACAACGAAATGTGGGACCCAGTAGCAATGCCATAAACTATAAAGTTACATTGCAGCGAGGTTCTGCAGTAGCTTTAAATCACACCATATAGCGTCGACTTTAAATATTTTCGATAAGGGTCTGATAGATCATCGGAATGACCGGAGAAAAAAAAGAAACAATTCAGTTTGTTGTTCCTGTATTTCTTTGGGTTCTCCATTGTTTAGGTACCATTGGAGATTGGAGATATCATGATACCTAATGCAAGTAATATAAATTAAATATTCACAATACGATCAAATCATTCAACAAAAAAAAACCAAATAACCATACCTGCCAAGAAAAAAAGCAGGGCATCAAAGTTACGGTCAAGATGTTCGATATGCGATATGCGTATTGTTAGACTTGGAATCACTTCTCGAGTCACAAATTGCATGTCTTACGTAGGTACATCTAGATAAGTACCGTCCCTAACTTAAAAAAAGATCAAAGATCGTACATCCATGGATGTATGTACCTCATATGCTGCCCTGGGTCCACTGCATCATGCCCGTAGTGTACCTAACCCCGCAGGCCAGCCCCGCTAGTACGTACTTGAATCAACAAACATGTGCGACCTGGATGTACAATAGTGTACAAACTGGAAACTGGTCCCCTGTGGACCCTGAATTTAGAAGCAACCCTTGAAGCATTTTCTCATTTTTGGAAGCACCAAGGGTCCTTTTCTGGGCTGATCGTCCCATCCAGATTTTCCAGCATTGCCAGCATTGCTCCACCCCAAGGGTCGTGCCACATTCCTACCACTTGCAGTCTTGCACACCCACTTGCACACCCACATGGTAACTGAACTAAAACTAACCCACATTGCTTGGGCACAGACTTTGGAGGGGTTCCCTCGGACTGGTATAACTTTTTACGCTTGCGAGAATATTCTAATATCCTCAGATGGCTTATAAGTTTTTTTCCGTTTATTTTTTTACTTAACCCTAACAGTTTTTAAGCCTCCCCCTCCAACCCAACTCCATCTCCCAGGACGGTACAATCTCTAAATAAACAATAAACATTATATCGATCGACGTTACTGCATACCTACTCTCTACTGGAGATCGTCTACCAAAGATCGTCCCGAGTAGTTCGATCGCAACCGCAACCGAGAAACGCGGGACGGGAACTAGACCTGGAACGAAAACGCCAGCTGACGATCATCAGGCATCTTACAGAACCACCCTTTCCAAAATCTTGATTCTAGGTTCAAACAAGGGCTGAAGGGTAGCACCTTATACCCTCCCCGCTGATCTGTGGCTAGCTCCCTCTCGCTAGGTTACCGAAAAGGCGTCAAGGACGATACAAGACGCACGAAGAGCATCTATAGCCAACTAAGCAATGACGTGCCCCTGATCAGAAGTGCGGTTCAACCCCCACCCAACCGTTATTGAGCTTTCCCCTACGGTACCCCGTCAGCCATATCGATTCCCATATAAAAGAGCTCTAGCAGGCGTTTTAAGTGATGGACGAGTCCGAGGAAGAGGTCGACCCTCGCATCGAGTCGCTTCTGCGCAAGCGCCAATCATTGACTAATGACTTGCTGGAGAATCCGTACGACCTAATCCTTTACATAAAACGCGCATTGGTCTATTCCGACTTAGCTTATCCCGACTTGGCCGCCGGCGACGCTTACCGCGCTCTGTTATTGACCGACGAAGTTCGCGATGAGGGTTTCGAATACCATACCCAAGCCGTTGAGGCCTTGACCGGTTACGCCAAAGGACCCTTTCTAGACATATTAGACCATGGCTCTCTATCGGGAACTCAGTCTCGTTTGCCTGTGTCGGATGATGGCGAAAAAGATCTCCCTGCCTTCGCTTCGTTGGCGTCTATTCGCTGTTATCAAATATTGTCCTTGAATCTTCTACTATGTGGTTGCCTAAGGAGTGCTTACAACTTCTGCGAGCGCGGCCTTGCCATCTCGCCGAATAATCAGGAGCTCCTAAATACGCGGGGCTACATACATACTGTTGCCGAGCGTAGAATACGCAGGCCCATATCCAATGCGAATGATCTTCCGGACTGGGGCATGGTGCGTAGAGAAGTATACCCTTGGAATAGCTACGAACCTGATCGGTTTTCGGACGAATCCTTGGCTACCCTTAACGCCGGGTTGGCTGAAATGGCACCTAAATGTACTGTCGAAGTTGCACAGCTACCTATATTGCTCGGATGCCCGAGCCGCACGGATGGGTACGACATAATTCCAACATGCAACCAACTCGGCCTGTTTGCCAAGGAATACATCGCGCCGGGAGAAGATGTGCTTGTGGAGTATTCCTTGGTCACGGCCAATAATCGCCTGAAGGAGCCTGTCTGTGATGCTTGCAGTGGGGAGCTCCCACGGTTAGGAAGCGATTCGACTGCTGTCAACTGTCCAGAATGCTATGATACTGTGTTCTGTACCGAGTATTGTTTTGAGCAGGCCCAGAAGCTCTACCACCCGGCAGTTTGCGACAAGGATACGGACTCGATCGCCAAGGATCCAGATGCGAAAGACGCCGATGCAGCTTTGCATCTTTTGCTGCTCGCGCGTGTTTTAGCTATGGCGGCTCACCAAGGAATACATCCGCTTGACGTCAACCAGATTAAATATATATGGGGGGACTTCATCTCCTCCAAGACCAATGAGATTGATTTATCTCCTAAGGCCGGCCCACCGCCGGATTGGACGCTTCCGTTCTCCTTTTCTTATAACATCGAGACGCCTCTTCACATCCTAGAGAAAATGGATATCGACATCTACGCCACCATTGCTGATTACGATATATGGGTGTTTAATACGTTATATAGTAAATTTCGTGGCACCGCCTCGGCTCGAAAGAACCCCAGGGATGGGCGACCCGACGTCGCCGCCGTGCACCCTTACTGGTGCCTTGCCAACCATGACTGCAACCCTAACGTTACGTGGGAATGGGGCGGTCGGATGGTACTAAAGGCGCGGGAGACGCGGGTTGTCGGAAATGCACCAGGAGGTATAGAAGCCGGAGAGGAGATTCTCAATCACTACTGCGATGTGGATCTACCTGTGAAAGAACGTAGGGAGTGGGCGCGTGGCAGTCTCGGTGGCTGGTGCATGTGCGGTAGATGTCGCAGCGAATCTTCCAACTCTCAAAACAACTCTCCTGGATAACTGCTCGAGACACTCCTTGGATTCCCTCTAGCCATCTCTCGGGAAACACGTACACTACGGCAACGGGTCTGGTTCTTTCATGATTATACACGTGTCATGACTGCCGACTCGGAGATTCTCACCACTCCGCTTCCTTAAATAATTTATACCCTTATCTCGTACCCCAAGTTTCCATTATGGCCAACGATCTAATAGGAGGATAGACGGCAGATATAATCGGGATTGGACAGGTTAACCTACGTTGCTGCTCTAGAATAGGACCGGTGTCCGGGGCATATATGTGCTTTCGATGCTTACAGGACGTTATAGCGCAGCATTTCGAAGTCGGACGTGAAATGAGGATCCCCGCGGACGCCCTCTCTTTTTCGAATCTCTGCTCCCCCCCCTTTTTTTTTGTCAGCTTCTGACTCTTTTCCTTTCGCATACGGCTGTATCTGAGTAGCTTGAAACTGCCTTCAGCTGGCAAACTATCATATAGAAGGGCAAATTATCGAGCATCGTAAACGAAGAAAGGCCTGGATTTGTTTTCTGAAGACTAAACAAACGTAATATAGTCGCACCTTTTGAATCAGTAAACGAATGATACCAACAAGAATAGAATAGGGATGATTCCCGATATACTATGGGAATACGTGGGTCCCTGTTTGTTTGTTGATTGTGTAGAGCGACTGGGTGACTTGTGTTTGCAAGGAACTTGAAATCGTAGAGAAACTCATCTCTCCCCCTTTCCCCCTTTTGATCTGCTAATGGCAGTAAACATGTCAATGAGATTATATAGAGGTAGGTACCTAAGTAAGTCCTCACTAAGAATGGACACAAAAAACCACAACTCTACGTAGTCGTCTACTCCCCTAACTCCTATTTATATAACTCCGTGTTTAGAATCTTATTGCCAAGTCTGCAGCCAATCCTATTACTATATAGGTACGCTATTATTCATCATCCAAGCAGCAGGGCATAAGTAGCATCGCCAACTGTAAACGAGACACGGGAACTTACTTTAGGTACCTATCTATAGGAACAACAACTATCGTATTAACCAAACCAAACTAGTACTACTCAGCCATCCATAGCACTAGTTATTCTACTCACTTATCCAATTTCATTAACTAGGCACTATAAGTTATGGTTTGTTCATAATTATCTGCTTGCTTGCATAAGTACCTAACCTAACCTAACCTAACCTAACTACCAGTACGAGTAGCGAATGGCATTCATTCCCCTCTTCGTTTCGTTTTCGTATCAATGTCCCCCTTCATCACAGCACCATTCCATTCCTCAAGCTAGCTTTTAACTAAACAACACAGTGCTGGGGGCTTTCCTTTTCTTTATACGGCGGAAAAGGTAATTCCGTTAGTTATGTTGAAGACAAACAAAGTCCGACTAGGTTAACTAATCGATAACAATCCCCCTTTTTTTGAGGAGGGGGAAAAAAACACGAGAAAAGAAGAGAAGAGACAGGGAGAAAGAAAAAAGAAAAAAAAAAAAAGTGCCGCATGCTCAGTCGACACCAACAGACTTCGTACATCTCGTCAAACGCCGTGGTCCCTATGTACATCCTCCATCTACCCTATACTTGTACCTATACCTATACCTATCCACTCATCACCCACATCATCTCTTCCACCCTATCCATCCCCCACTACAGCGGCAGCGCCGGATACGCCGGCTGACTCGGCGGTCTCGTGGGGGAATCGACATCCATGTCGCTTCCTCCGGCCGAGGCAGCCGACGACGCGGCGGGGGACTCGGCGTCGTAGTCCTTGCGCTTGATGCGGTCGATGACGTACTCGCGGAGGTACTCGATGACGCGGACGTTTTCGAGCCAGGCCTCGTACGCCTGGTCCTCGCGGGCCTCGGCGCTGCTGGCCTCCGACTCCGCGGACGGCGAGCTGACGGCCGAGGCGGCGGACTCGGACGCGCGAGGGGTGGTGGTGGTGGAGGGCTCGCGGTCGAGGTGGGAGGATCTGGGCACGGCGGCGTTGGCGCGCTGCAGCATGCCGCCTGAGTAGCGGCGGCGAGGATCGGGGTCGAATGTGGGGCCGAGGGTTGATGTTGCGGATTGGCCGGGGTAGCCGGATGTGACGGCGGGAAGAGTTGGGTATAACGCTGACGTGGTCGAGCTATGACGCGTCGAGGGCGATAGGCCGGTAGATGAGGCGCTGGGCGAATGTCCGGAAGTATAGGACATGGAACTCGACGGGGGCGTTACGGCAGGGGTGCCGTTCGAATGGGTCGAAGAGACGGCGGTCAAGGGCGAAGCTACGTGAGCCGCCGAGTAGGCATTATTGGCCATGGCGGACTGGTGCGGCGCTGCAGAGTGCGGCGGGGACTGGCTGTGACGGAAGTTCAAGGGAAGGTAGTGCGAGCCGGGCTGGTGGACTCCAGCAGCAGCGGCTGTGTTAGAGCTCTCATATACTGTGCTCTGCATCTGCTCGAGGAGCTGGTCGATCTGGACGAGGTCGCTCTTAGTGCGGACGTTCGGCATAGGGGGTAACGAATAGTGCTGTTGGTACGGACCATGGCCAGCGGGTCCATCGACGGTCATGACACCCGGACTTGGGAGATACTCTGCCCCGAGGGAGCCGGAGTGAATAGGAAGGACTCCGTGCAAGGGTAAAAGTCTCTGTCCAACCTGAGCGTACGAGTTGGGGTCAAGGTGTCTACGCTTGGCATCGCCGAAGAACTCGTTAAGCACATCGTAGGTACGTTTGCGATTATCGTATTCAGCGGCGGAAGCTTGGTAGCCCATGTGGTCACCCCGACCGCCCATGGGTTGATAGTACATGGGGCCTCCAAAGGAGGTTTGAGGGTGGTGCTGGTAATAACTACTTGGGTGGCCGGTAGGATGAGGCGGCTGACCAAAGGCGGCCGAGTTAGTACGGATTTGACCAGTATGATCGTAATAGCTAGACGGAGCTATGAGGCAAATTAGCCTCCAAATGAGGAATCAGGAGGAGGGGGGTGGTTCGAACTGAAGGGGGATATACATACCTTTTCCTTGAGCCCGATAACCTCCGTTCATTGGGCCATGCTGATCTGGCGAGCGGACAAGGACAGAGTCATCCGCATGTGTCTACAATCGGAGTTAGTAGCTGCAGTAGAAGTAATATTTATTTATATTTATAACCGAGTAGAAAAACATATTACATACCTTGACATGCTTCTTTAAATCCTGGGGACGCTTGAATGACTTGCCACAGAAGTCACATTTGTGTGGCTTCAGGGGAACATGCACTCTGATATGTGATGTGATATGATCTCGCTTGACGGTGGTAGTCTTGCACTGATTCCACTGGCAAGTCAAGTTAAGATTGTTTGTGGATTTGCGACCGACATGCTTCTCGCAAATGTGCTCCTAGATAGCCGTTAGTTAAGTATACAAGATAAAATAAATAATATAATAAAACTTACGTAGAGAGTTTCGGCCGAGCCAAACTTCTCGCTGCAACCGGTCCAGCGGCACTGAAGGGAATCATCCTGGGCCGGGGCGCTAGACTGCGAAGTTGCGGTTGTAGCCGTCGATGGTGCTGGGGTGGTGCCGTTGGAGGCCGAGCTCTCACCGCCCGATTGGACCGGGTTGCTCTCGGGTGCTGCCGACATGGCTTCGACTTCAATCTTCAAATCAAAAGGTATGATTTAATAAGGGGGTAAATGTCTTTCACGTGATGACAGAGATGCACGTGATGAAGCGGAAGAATTTCGGAGGGTCCGGAACAACTATGGGTAAATTTTTATTTTTTTTTCTTTCTGGGCTTTGGCTGTACCTAAGGTAAGTTGCGGTATTGGTCTTGGTCTTGGCAGTCCAAGCCCACCAACATGTGATGTGACTAACGGATGCGGTAATGTCTAAATCGGGAATGGATTGTTTCGATAGTGGAATAATAAAGTATGTATAGAACAAACACTGAATAGGAACATTCAATGCCTTTTTTTTCTTCTTCTTCGAACCCAAGCAACAAAACAATAATACTAAGATTCGATTCCCAAAGGAGCAAAGGGGGAGAAAAGCCAATCTTGTCTGGGGGAGAGGAACGTCGAGTTTATGTAAATCGAGCGTGGTGCTTGCTCCTTATTATGGACGTTTGACCTTGGCGATATCGAGGCGGAAAGTCTTGGCAATGGGTCTTGGGTGTAGCGGGTGACCGTTGATGATTGGTTTAAGGGAAATGGGGGCAAACGAGTCAGGTACCTTATGCCGAAAGTGACTCGATCTATGGCGGGTAGTGACTACTAAATTCGAGTCACCCCTCCTCAGTAGTGACTTCCGTGCCAAGAGAAAGCCAAGCTCTTGGCGCATCTTGGCATTTGGTGATTGTCTCGACATATCTGCTCAGAAATGTACTAAAAAATGCTTGGAAAGTCCTTGGCCGCCGGTTCCTCCTGCGCCGAGACTTGACTGCGCCCACCTGCTTCCATTTTCTTAGCAACTTTGGCAATTGTCTAGTAATGTTTTACCAATGTGCCCTTGTGCATAATAACATTCATTTTATTTCTTAGAAGCTATCCTCACTGATCATTACCTTATTTAATAAGCAGCTACCTAACAAGTTACTCGAATCGTCTTAGAAGGCCTATCCTATCTGTCGTATTCAATTGCCAATTCTGTTGCTTTTTGGCTTTTGTAGTAATTTATTAATCGGCATCTCGCAGAAAATACTACATATACATACCACTTATAATCAAGTATACTTACTCTTCTCTTTACCTTACCCCCTTTTCCCTTCAATCCTCTTCTTTTCTTAATTTTAAATAGCCGTCCATTCGTTTTACATCTCTATAATAGCCTGGAGGTCTGCATCGCGTGTGATACCACGTGCTTTACACCCTCTTGCCGTTTCTCCACTTCCATTCTCCCGATATTATAAACCACCTCTTGATTGATAACGTTGTGGACGGCTATGACGGCGGACGGAAAGTCTTGGTATCTCTTGGTATTCTGGACATGGTAGTTCACTTTAAAAGGGGAGTTTACGCTCCGCTGGTGGCCAAGCCTTGGTCTTCCTCTCCGCCCGCCAAGTTCTTGGCCATGCACTCGTTAATTGCCTTTTGCTAGTCAGCTAGTATCGGCAACGAGAGTACGGAGTACGGGCAAGGAACATGTCGACTACCTATTTCGTCTACATCTTGAGAGGCAGAAGCAGAAGCTGAGCTTGTCTCTTACCGCGTTTAGTATTGGAGCCGTAGAATGCCGCACCCAAGAGACCCAAGAAACTCGGTGAAGACTTGATATATAGTAATATCAATTACCATCGCCTTTTTATTGGCACCTTGATTAGTTTTACTTAATGGCTTCTTCATTTGGTTTCACTCAGCCATCAGCTCTGACTCAGCTGTAATTTACGCCATACCGATGAAATCTCTTATACGGCATGCGTCTTCCTAATCTTGCGACCGGACGCCTCTTACAGATGATGGTGTTAGCTGAAAAGTCATCTGCCATCAACAATTTGCTAGCACTCTAGGTTACTGACTTATCAGTTACTCTCTACTTGCGTTAATTATTACAGAGCCTTATCTTAGCCTATGAGAGATACCATGCGTTTGTCACTGCTACTCTATTAGACAGGCAAGTAAATCCAATCAATGAATGTTTTAAACATCCGTCCCCGTCGACGTTGTTTTGGGCTCAATGTGTTTCGAACCATGTATTAGCTTAGGCCACAAATGGTAAGTGTCAAGGAGATTGAGTTGTCTATCCTAACTTGAACCTAGTCACTTTATTTATGTACCTATCTTCCATGGATCCCCGGGAAGTTCGCACGAAGACGGACGGGCTAGTTTCACGGCCTAGTCTACGCAAGACGTCAATAATATAATTGTCATAACTTAGCAAGATATACGCAATGAAGCCAAATTAGACCAGAACTATACGCCAAGCGTGTCTCGGTGAAGAGTCTTAGTAAATCATGACAGGACTTGGGTAGGTTTTATATATCGTGTTCATTGTGTCATAATTTCTACCAAGTCTCACTTCATAGTTGAAAGGTCACAGGTATTAGTACCAAGATATTTGAATACATAAACAAAGCTGGAGGCTCTTTTGCCGATTATATTTACATTCAAACCAGCCCATCTACTTGGGTATATTTATTAGCAGTTAAATTTTGATTTTAAAGTCACGCTTAAATGGTGTATATTGTTAGTGTGTGATGGGACGAAAATCTATTCCCATGCCGTTGCTAGTTTCCGCGTAGAACATAGCATAGCCACCCATTAAGGATATCAAGATCAACAATCAATCCTATTTACGTCATCGAGTCCAAACATATTTATCAAAGGCTCGCCCAAATGAGAAATTCCCCATGTTATCATATTTTCGCAGGGACTTATTTTAATTATCGGCCCTGGAAATACATGGCAGAACTACTACACTTACGACAACCTCACAACTGAGCACCACCTTATGCGTCGAGACACCATCAACTCTTACGAAAAACAAACACAAGACGCAAATATGGGTTGGACGATTGGTGCTCTCATTCATTTTTGAGTGGCGATAAACGTAGAGCTAGAAAGCTGCTAATCCAACTATCCTCCAAAAAAAGGGGTACTTATTGTTTCCCGTCTCTTTGCGCTGCCGAGTATGTCTCCACATCTTTTTGACAACATACGACTCTCGTTGTTCGTTTGTCGATGGTATAATAAGTTGCGCGACGAACCATTTTTTTGCAAATGTTAATATTCCTCACACTACCAATTTGTTGCCAATTTGGCTACGCCCGTCTATCCAGGTAAATAATATCAACACCCCTTATCCCTATCCCTTTCCTGCCATCTTTTTCGCGTACGGGAGTACCCGTTAATTAAAATATGCTAATTCAAGCTCTTGTAAGTATATGAAGCAAGTGTAGTTGTTGTTTCTACCCGCCAACCATGAAACGGGTCGTATTCAACTCCTTCGCGGGTGCTGTTGAAGCAGGGGTATTTTCTGCCAGCGGAAAATGATGATTAAATCGAATATTTACGTCGCAATGGGGTATAATTTTCAAACGAAGATACTGTCAAAGGCACCTGGCACCGAGCACACGAGGGCTAACCACTGGCTCAAGGTAGCCATATTCCTCAAGGTCGATGTCGGCAAGCTCCGATAACGTATATCAGGCAAATCCGCCGCAAGATTCGTGAATCGCGTAGCAACTGAACAAAAAGGGAAGACGAAAGCAAAACTCCGAACCGCTCGCAACCGCCGAGATGCGACTCCCAGGGTTGAGATTATCCATGCAATATGCCGCCGACAAGGACAATGTTCCAAAACCGTGACATCCTTAAGAGTGGAAATGATGGGGTGTCCCCTGATTGTCCTCAGAAATCAGAGACGCCGGACGTCGGAAATATGCCGGATAATAAGATAATAATGACGATCAAGGGTGAATATCCACCATGATGAAGAAATGACACAACCGCTAACCAGTCTGGTCAGCTCGGTCAATAAAACAAACTGGGTCCACCCGAGCCGAGATGTCCCCTAAAACGCCGCCCATGCTGGATTATTATACAGAACCAAGTTGTAAAAGCGCCTGGATTGCTTCGCGTTCTTGCGCATCTGACGAAGCCGCCAGTGCATCCAAGTCGATATTATCGAGACGTGGCTCCCGAAGCATGCCTGTGTTGCCAGAGAAGGATCGGAAACCACAAGAGTTATATACATGGGAAGGGAAGCTTGCGCCTTGGCGGGCCTCGGTCGGGTTCGAATACGAGGCGGCCCGTAGTGCAGCAGCTCCTACAGCTGCCCAATCTTCGTCGTCTGTGGCGTCCTCGGGATCGTCATTCATGACCATGTCTTCATCATCAGGTGCGGAAGAGCAGGAAGCTGAAGCGGGGCCGTCGAGAGAGTCGAGAGACATTTTATCGGCCTCGTTCTCCGTCATGGTCACATCCCGATCGTCGTGAGAAAAAGCTGCCGAGTTCCCATTACTAACTGCTCGTACGTTCAAGCGGGATCGGTCAGCATTCCGCCCAGTAACTTTTGAGATTGGTATACTGGTGGGAGGGATTCTATAGTCGCCTTGGCTTACGGATTGTCGAGACACCGCATCTCGAGCAGCTTGGCCCCGTCGCCTGGCATCCCACCGACCCCATCCCACCTTTTGAAATTCCACGTCACCATCGACTCCACCACCTTCGACACCGTGTCCTTGTCCACGTCCTTCTAGTGCTGCAACAACTAGCCTTCGTGCCTTGGGCGGGGGGATTCCTGCAAAGCCGGGGACCGAGGTGGTCAAATAGCCCATGATATAGCGAATAGCCAGGGGACCGTGGTTCAACAAAATCTCGGGAAGATGATACTTGGCTAGCAGGGCCGGGGTAATAGCCCCTGTCGATTCAAAGGACGGCGAACCGACAGGACTATGGTCGACGCCTTCGTGAAGGTCGAGGTCCGAGTCGATACAATCGAGCTTGGCCTTGTGTAGCTGTGCCTTTAGGCCATGAGGCGGCAGCGTAGGTGATATGGAGTTGGGAGGAGTCGGAAGGGAATGAGTTCGTGTCACAGGGACGCTCCGAGCAGCCGCTACAGCAGTTAAGTTGTCTCGGCTGAGAGAGGAGGTCTTAGGGATATCGCGAGCAGCAGAAGCCGATGCCATGGTTGCCATTTATGATACAATTAAATACTTCGAGTTGTATCTGTAATGCAAAGCGATACAGAATTAGAATATGCTGTAGATTATGCTGCAGATAAAATATTTGGGCTAGATGAGCCTTGGAAGAATGGAGAATGGGAGGGAAGATTCTCAATGATGAGGATGGTGATGGTGATGATGGTGGTAGGGTAGGGCTGGGTAGACTGCGGTGAATCAGTCACTTACAAAAACAAGCCCGAAGTAAAGAGTTGCGGTATGGCGATAGAATTGAACTTTTTTTTTTCTTTGTTTTCGGTCTGGTGGAGGGAAAACAAAAAAAAAAATCAAAATCAAAATTCAAATTTAGGCGAAATGGCAGCGCTGACGCGATCCTCTTTACTGCGACAAAAGATGACTCTTGGGAGTGCAAAACGATGCGGTGATGTCAATTTGTTGTGTTGTTGATGTTTCCTTAGCGAAAGGAAAGATCAACGTAAAGAGCGAGCGACGGCTGCGACCTACTAATGTAATCCTCAATTGCTCATACGTAGGTACTCGCTAAGACAATGAACTGGAACGGGAAACAGCAGAAGGTTCTAACTGGCGTGTATACCGTCAGGGGGGTGTTGTCCAGCAGGGTCAGCAGGTGTCGCATGGCGCACAGGGCGCAATGCACGCAGCTGATTGCTTCAAAGAGCAGCCACGACGTGGTCCTAACAAAAAAGGGGTAGTGTATTTAATGAAAGTTATGCCTGTATTTATTATTTATTATGTACATATATAGGTACGTACTCTGTACCTGACAGCACGGAACAAAGACATTCAACCATTAGTGGACCTACACTAAACACGGAATCCTATTCCCTCCTGACTGAGTAGGTCCCAAGTCGCTTATCTGACACTAACACTTATTAAGACAGTACTTTCATCCGGATAGCCTTTGAAAACAGAGGAACTTGTAAGGTACATTTTGTAACAGCCAGCCTCTTAAAGTCCCAAGTTCCATACAAAGGAGTCTTACGTACAACAGCAGCAGCAGCGGCAACAACGGCAGCACATAGTTACAGCCACCGCAGCACGACAGTTTTAAACCTTAGCATTTCCTCTAGGCTACGTAGTAATATCTAAAGTAACGGTCTAGGTGTGATTGATGTTGTACTGTGGCGAGTATTGTGTATTTGTGGTCTTGTGTGGTCTCTATCATCCAAATATTGACTAACAGGGCACGACCAAGGGTTGCGCTAAATATGAGGGAGGGCATGATCTAATCAATTCACCTGTCACTCTTGGACATGGCATTTGGGGCCTGGGCACCTGACTCAAGGCAGTTGTCAAAGCACTCTTTGTAGTATATTCTTTAGTTATCTAGGCTAGGTTAGGAATATGCCGCAAATGGAACCTTCGGTACATTCTCACTAATAAATATACTACCTAGGACCTATGACCTGGGCCACATATCTTCGCTTTCGGGCTGCCCTTGGTGGCTTAAGCCTGCTTACCCGTACCATATACGCGCAATACGTAAGCACCACAATATACCAGATTCCCGTGACAGGCAGGAATATGTAGGTACAGTAATAATATGAGAAAGATAAAAAATGGAATTTCCTGAATAATCCGCCTCTTCTTCTATATCCTCTCGTATCTACATGATAAATATCTAGGGTGTCCCGCGAAGAAAATCGTGGGGCGTGTGCATGCCCGCTCTGGGGACGGCTCTGATACTAAAAAACCCGCCATTGAGCCGAGAGGATCAAAGCCATCTACTATGTATGTATTTGACCCTCCCCTCCCCCCGGCTATCTCGCATATCAAGGGATGCAATGCCGCTATCTCTATCCAAGAAGCCATTGGATTCCGCGTCTGGAGAAGGCCCTGTAGCCAAGCCGAGAACAGGAATCCTCGTTATCAACGTGCAGGAAATCTCCGGCAGTAGGAGTACAGGCGTGTACCGGGGACACTTCTCGTCACACGCGTTGCGGTCCAATGAAAACGAATCCGGATCTGGTAGGATAAGAAGGTAGGCCGCGGATCTCATCCCCGTCAATTGAATTGAGAGATAATACACAAAATGTTGGCATGTGTAGCCTCAACCTCGCCTGTCCATCGGCTGTGCTGGTTGTTCTGTGTACCTACATATCAGTGTACTAATTTATCTGGTTCCTCGCTAACTAACTCGCTGATGGGCAAGGGCGCACACATCTTGGAAAATCAATTCGAGTTCGAGACTGCGTAATTAAGTAAGTCGAATTCGGTAACACATGATTCCCAAAATCTCGACGACCATATGTAGACCCAGGAATGCCTCACGTTGCGCAAGCGCAGTGATGTGATTGGTCCAAAAACAACCATCGTGATGCGCGAACTTGCCCCCATTTTGCCAACCTTCAGCTAGCCGTAGCGCCAACTGGTGACGAAAGGACACATCGGAATAACAGGGCTAGAGGCGTTTTCACGACTTGCCTCCAGTGTTATAAATGCTAAAACTTAGTGGCTTCGCCATTAATAGCGACTCGTCCCCGAAACGGCCGCGCATATGTCATGATGCCCAGACGTAAGCTGGTGATGACTAGTTAGCTAGCAACCTAATCTTGATAGAGTAGGTCCAAGTAGGGTTACCCGGTAGCCGACGAATGTACTACCTAGGTTAGGACATGGAAAGGGTATATAAGTCAGGTCGTACACGATCGTGAATGGTCGTATCCGAAGAGGGGTCCGCGTTTTCCATCTGCATCTCGACTTTGTAGAGTTCGATTACCCCACTAGAGAGTCTCGCGAGAATAGCCCATCATCCAGTATGATTCCCCCACGTTCTGGGATAACGCGATCCGACGACATGCTTTTAGGTCGGTACTTAGGTCGGTGGAGATGCGCGGGTGTCACATCTACATACATACATGTATGTGGTATGTATGTATGTAGGTATGTCTTGCTCTAGTTAGTTATACCTAAGGTATGTTAGGTACCTAGTTTTGCGACACCCTGTGGCTTAGGTGGACCATACGGGCGCAACTCGAGGAATCGGGTCGTTGGGTCCTGCATTTGCGTTTCATCCAATTCGAGAATGAGTACTTTGCACGCACGTTTGCCTCAACAAAGTTCAGCCCATCGCTAGAGCCCATTTTGCCGGAAGCCCATCATCAGGCTGAGCGTCATCTTCTGAGTAATTGTAAGGCCGATATTCGGAGTAGGCCACGGTTATAGGGTATAGGGTATGTTGCTTCTATCAACCACCATCTTCCAGTAAGGATTCGGCCCGCAAAAATCTTGTGCTGTATGCCTATGTGTTACTATTGGGCGGTAGTACTCGAGCGAGCTTTCACATTCTTTGCGATTCCTTCGCGGTTTCCGATGGCACCTTAATCATACCTATTGGCACAACCGAGCCAACAATCTCTTTCAGCCGCCGTTTTGTTGGAGGACATACTCCCGGCATGCCTGTATGACTTTTGATTAGTTCTTACTCACACCTATATGAGACTGAGATATAGAACTGATATAGACTTACCGCTTTGAGGATGTTTAATTTCTCCTTTGATTGTAAGTAGACCTGGCGGTATTGCTGAATGCTCTCGTTTAGAACAGCTTCTTTTGTTGTACGGCCTTCGCAGATGGCTTTCATCTTCAACTCCATTTCCTTTCGTAGAAATGGTTTGCCAAGGCTGGTCTCAAAATCCATTCTATCGAACCCTTCAATCAGAGCCACACCTAATTTAGTCGGGATGAATTCTTTTACACCCCCCCTCCCACTAGCCGTAGATCCCCCACCTCGACCTCGACCGCCGCGACCGCCACGACTACCTCGTCCTCCTCGTGCGGCTGGGGCATCTTCGTCTTCACCCTCGTCGTCTACTGCTCGTGCGGTGCGGGGTACAGCACAAACATACTCTCTATCTTGAATCTTCTGGATATGCTCTGCCATCGTAGCGTCTGTCCCGATCCCGTTGGCATCCATGAGAGCAATCAAATCGGCTTCAGTAAGGTAATTGGGGGGTGCAGTCTTGCCCTCCGTCATGAGAGCTTCAGTAGGCTCAAAAAGCTCTCCAACTGTAAATTTGGGTAGCTGTCCAGTCCCGGTCCACTTATCATACGGGTAGACATCTAGATAATTTCGCTCTAGAACAACGACACCGTGAGCGTGGAAAGATTCCTCGCCGTATAAAATATCGACGTCTGTAGCAGCACCTTTAGCATCCTCCGAGCAACATGCTAAAAACCGTCTAACGACAAATTCGTAGACCCTCTTTTCTCTATCGCCGAGGACTGTAGGCGCTGCGTAAGTGATGGGGTGTATTGGAGGGTGCGCTTTATCATCGTTTCGCCCCTGCCGCGGTTGCTGAAATCCACCATTAACTAAATTCTGTGCGAATTCGCCCCATGAGTTAGATGGCGTTTGCTTTTGTACTAATGCGCGCAAGTTCATGCCAGAGTCGAAACGGTCGGTTTCTGTCCTCGGATAGCTGATAAACCCCTTGTTGTAGAGGCTTTCTGCAGCTTCCATCGCCTGCTGACCCGTCATATGCAAAAACCTAGTGGCCATCTTCTGCAGTTCTACTGTGGTTAGCGGTAGAGGTTTCCATTTCTTCGTTGGCTTCTCCTGGACCTTGGTCACTTTAGCCTTTTTTGCCGCAATACATCTTTCGTAGAGAACGATAGTCGATGCTCTATCGAAGAGCCGATTGCGTGACCAACCGAAATTAACATCCATGCCATCCCGGTTGTGCATGACTTTGATGCTCCAGAATGGTTCCGGCTTGAAATTCCTCACTTTGAAGTACCGGTCTACTACAAATCCTAATGTTGGGAATTGGCAGGACCCTAAAACGTTAGAACTAGATTATCCGGTAAATCTTAGAATGCATTACAAACCATAGCTTAATACAAGGTCTTTGAAAGGTCCTCCTAAAGTCCTTAGATTCGTGGTTAGAAACCGAGTAAAGGCGTATCCTATCCTAAGATCTAATTCGATTCGAGAAGACACGGCATTGACTTGTTTGTGATCGAGGCCTATAAGGTTTCGGGCTGCGTTCAAGATATGCCTAGATATCCTCTTTAGCTAAACATCCGGCTGGGGTTTAACGAATCGATAGACGAACGCTCTCTCGATGTTACTGAACTTGGCCCTCTTAATATCCAGAGTCCTGTTGCCTTTTCTAGCGGCCTCGCATATTTCATAGCCTATGTGCTCGCCTTCACGATCACAATCCGTCCAGATGCATAGAGCATTGGCGTAGCGTGCCTGTTTCTCGATATTGTCCGCCACCTTGGTCTTATCCTGTGGGGTATGTTAAATTCTACTCGACATGCAACCTGAGCGGCTATAACGCGTAACTACCTCGGAAATGATTATGTTCACAGGCGCATCAAATAAGCGTTCGGGTGGCGGATGTTCCCATCTTTTATACTCGGCAGGAAATACAGCTGAGGTGATATGACCAAGGACGGAGGTCATGGTGACATGGCAACGACCCCAGGGATGTCCGAAGTCGTACTCAAAAACATAGTTCTTGATGTACTTTTCGGGCGTATTGAGCTAGACATGTGTTAGCAGGCCAACATTGTGCATGCACGATCGACTATATCATTTGAGATATCATCTAAGACTAACGCTTTGAACCTGACCACCTGAGAGATGGCCTGCAACAGCTTTCGCGATGGAGGGTTTCTCGGCGACGCAGAGAACTCTCATGGTCGACTGGAGTCGCGTAGGAAATGTAACGGAGTAAAGCGTTAATATCGATACTCGACGTGCCTTTTCTACACGACACGAAGAGCTAAGCAAGCGTCTCATGGGTAACGGTCGTTTCTCGTAGTTGAGAAGGGCAAATGATCAAATAGGTCACATCCACGTCTAATCCATTTTGAAAAAATGGGTTCCAAAGAGCTGTTCAGGTTAGGTTGAGCATAAAAAAACCGTGTGGATTAGTTTTATTGTGTACTTTATTGTGTGTAAGGTAGGTACTAATACATTCATCGTGTGCCTTCCCGACTTTTTATTTTGAAGTTTTTTATTTTCCTAGGCAAACTGGTCGATACTTCTCAGCCAATACCCTGAACTAATTTAAACTACGGATCCGTATTTGATTGGTGTTTAGGTAAGGCTTTAAGGTTACCCCAGTAATCCGTAGCCCCGGTCGCTATGATGCCGTTTACATCCTGCCCCTGTTGCCCTGTTCTAGTGTACCTAAGCCCAAAGTGGCACAAAGTGGCTCGTGCTATTTATTATTTTGGAGCTTCAGCTGAATCTCGACTTTCTTAAGCAAAGTCATGACGTGGTCCAACAATTGAAAGTGCAATAGGCAATAGGCAGTAGACAATATAATACTTCATCGCCATCTCTCCTAACCCTCCCGAAACGGCCGAATACGTGTCCAACTGAAAAATGGCTTTGCCTTGGGTAAAGAGGCTCGAAGACTGCGCCGACTACTCTCAAGTAGTTGAGCCATACCTACCACAACTCTACGAGCTCCCTGGGAAGATAATCCATGCTGCGTCGACTCACGGATCCTTCGTCGAATTATATAAAAATACCAACCCCTTCATATCGGGACTTGGCTTTTCTATATTCCTCGGTGCCGTCTTCTTAATCGTATCCGAAATCAATCGTAATTATTCTCAGGTTGACCGCATGTGGAGTCTATTGCCAACAATATACAATGCACATTTTGCTGTTTGGTCTCATCTGAATGGCCTTCCAAGCCAAAGGCTCGACCTTGTGTTATTATGGAGTGCAACATGGAGCGTGTGTGAACACATAAGGAAATCTCTGTTCTAGTCTGCGTAGCTAATATCTGCAAGGCTCGGTTGACGTACAATTACTTCCGGAAAGGTGGTTATAATGTTGGTTCCGAAGACTATAGATGGTATGTCATTCTTCATTCTATTATATTGGCCTCCGTTCAGGTATCTGATTTAATCTATAGGGAGATAATTCGCAGCAAAGTACATCCGGTGCTATTTTTCTTACTCAATATCACTTTCATCTCCTTCATTCAGAGCATATTGCTCTTCTTCCTCGCAGCGCCGACATACATTATCCTACTATCGTCAAACTTTGAACGGGAGGTCACAGCGGCGGATATAGCTTTCACAGCAGTCCAGCTCGGACTCATACTCTCCGAATGGTTTAGCGACCAGCAACAATGGGGTACGTGGTGTTCTTTTTGCTCTGTATACCTCTACTAACAAAAGGGATATTTAAGACTACCAGCTAGCCAAAAAAGAGTACCAACAGACGGCCAAGGTGCCACGGGGCTGCGGTTTTACTCAGGAGGACCTTGACCGAGGTTTCATTACTTCCGGTTTATGGGCTTACTGCAGACATCCTAACTTCGCAGCCGAGCAGACTATCTGGTTCATTTTATACCAATGGAGCTGTTACGCAAGCAAGACCCTCTACAACTGGGCAGCTCTAGGCCCTCTGTTTCTAATCATGATCTTTCAGGGGTCGACCTGGCTCACGGAATTGATCAGCTCCGAAAAGTATGCAGAGTACAAATTTTACCAACGACAAGTCGGGGCTCACATACCCAGCTTCACTCCGTATAAAACTCCGGCGCCGAAAGTTATTCGGACAAGCGAGATAGCAAAGCGACTAAAGGCAAAGCAAAAGTAAAACGCGCCCCAATATGTAATCGCTATTCAGTATGTAGATAGCGTAGGCCAGACGCTTTCACATGTGCATAGTGCATATAAGGATGGGTTCACAGCTGCATAAGTTTGCGGTCTACTGCGGTATGACGCAGACATGCATAACTCCATTCAGAAGATTGAAGCTTTAGCACGATAAGGTATTTGTCCTCGTGAGATGTGCGGGGTGGTGTTCTAATCAAGGGAGCAGGTAGTAGTTGATCTTAGATAGGTAGACTATTTTACAGAGGGCCGATTGTTTTACCTAGGTATTCAACAAAATAACCTGCAGACGGTCAACAATTTCCTTTTCAAATACTTTGCAGACTGATGGCATGCGCCTATTATGTGTGATGCCGGAAGAGACCAGGTTTGCTACGCAGGCCACGATCCTTCAGGCCCACAATCGCCGGACTCCCGATAAGACTCAATACTCATTGAGTATTACTCAATACGGATGATGATGGCGGACGGCATATGGAGGCGCTTCCTCGCATTAGATACTTTAGGTATAGTTAACCGACAACAAACAATGTTACGTAGGTATACATACCTCATACATACATACCACATACATATGTGTTCATGCTACCTGCTAGTGTATATCACCTGATATGTCGTCTCTTAAGTCTTCTATTCTAGAAAGTGAGCAGACGATCCGTCCAAGTTACCCCAGATCGGCCTATTTAGTCGAATATCCCCCCACGACAAGGTCACATTCAAAGTAGTAATGTGGCCAAGCGGAATGCTTCACGGCATTGTAATTCGTAGACATATTTCAACTAACCCAATACTTGTATACGCAACTGGGTAAGTCGGCTTTAAGCAGCCGACGACCGAATTAAATAATTCATGGATAGCTGCTTCGCTTATGTAGATGGGCCCCGTCAGCCCGTCAGCCCGTCTATCTACCGAGTGAGTTGATCACGTGCCCACTTATACTTGAGACAATGCCTTTGGTAAAATACATATTATTTTTTCCTATTAATACCTACTAAGGCAGGAGATCGCCAGACCAGCATCGACTTGCATCTGGTATGCTATGTAGGTTAGCGTGCTGTATGAAATGGTGAGAGAGATCAAAGCGATCCAACCCCGAGGGTTCCACCGCTGACGGCCACCCAGGCCACCCCATTCACACCTCCACCCACCTACCCATCCAATATCCGACTATTTTCACGATAGCATGCACCGTATTACGCTTAGGAAAGTGGGGCCGAGGACCCTGATTGCAGCTAGTTGGTAAACTAATATATCGTAATAACATAATACACTAGTGTAATTCAGCGCTGACGAGACCCTTGCTTGCATTTGTTGCTCGACCCAAAGATGCATGAAGCATGAAGCATGCAGCATGCTAACCTAGTACACTAGTAGATCCATCTCCCGAGTCCAGAAGAGAGTGGGGGTTCCATTAGATGACATTAGATGAAGAGTCAATATTTTCTCTCTCTCACTTCGCTTACGAAGTACATGTATTCACTCAAACGAGGCGTATACATACATAGGTCTCGTGCCCTCCTCGAAATCTTACTCCCCTTCTCTCCCTTGGTCTCCTCAGTTATCTCCGTATTCCGAGGCTTAAATAAGAACCCTCTATCCACCGTAGCGGGAGGAAGACGTTTTCTAGAAAGACTATATATAACATAGTTATCCAACTACCACTTACTCTCACTTACTCCCACTCATTACTACGTAGCAAATAGTCTCAATTATTAAAGCGTCCCACCGTTGTCTCTACCCCCTTCTACTTCGTACAGAAATATCGACCTACCTAGATTAAGATATCTACATTGTCGCCATGTCTAGCGCTTGGGAAGCACTTATGCACATGATGCGAAGCCGCGTCTCATTCTTCGACGACTCCGCGCAGTCCCCCGCGAAGGGATGGAGGGGATCCAAGCTGCCATCCGAAGCAGCCGACAGCTACTTCCCCGAGCGAACGCCGTCACCTGCATCATCTATCTCGGAGGCGGAAGACGACGCTCCCACGCCCGTCGCCAAAGCGAATCGCATGATCGGTCCCGAATATCCCATCCCGCCTTTGGAGCGGGACTACAGCCCTCCGACCGAGGAGCTCGACGTCGCGCAGCAGCTGGCCAAGAAGCCCCTGCCGCGATCGCTGCACAGCTCCCTCAAGCGCGCGGCCTCCAGGACCGCACTGAAGCCCGTGGACGACGAGGAGACTAGGCGGCAGAAGCTCGCTGCCGCTAAGAAGGAGCTACTCGCCCTAGCCGGCCAGCTCTAATTACGGGGACTACATAGTAGTCTAGAAGCTTTGGAATTTTCTTCGTGGGATATCGTCTAGAGTGGTAGAGTGGATATAAAAAAAGGGGGGAGGATACTATGGCAAACCGACATCGCATTGAGCAAGCTTCCCTTTGTATGCATTATACCCAGGGATCGGTGCGTATTAGATACGCTTACTGTTTCGGAATGTTTTAAACCGGCGTACTGTTACTTGGTGGGACAGCGGAAATTGAGAGCAAATTATAACTGGGATTCCTAGCAATTTGGAGCTCGTGCCTTTTTTTATTTACGGGAAGGACTGGAACTTGTTCGGTAGTCGAATCTTTTTTTAAGTTTTTAAATTATAATAAATTGACAATCTGGTTCCCTAATATCGTATGTACCTCGTATCGTCTTTATTGGAAGCGCCAAGTATGTCTCATCCCTTTTTTCATATACATATAATTCATTAAATAGCATTCATTGGCCCCGTTTATACGATTCGGGCAGATAGGTTAATGCCGTAGACAACTGTCGCAATTACCGTGATCAGGTTAGCAAGCGAAGAGATGCCGTGGAGCTGTCCGAACTTCTTGTTCAGCGCAGTCATCTCCTCTGACTGAACACCCTTCTCGTGACTTGCTTTGCCGTCCTTCAGTTCTAAGTCACGGAGCCGTATTAGTCGAAAACTACCTAACTTAATTGTTACTGGTCCCTTTCTGGCTTACCTTGCTCTCGCCTCAAGGCAGTTACCTTGTTCGTCTCGGGAAGTAGATATACTAGATTAACAAGCCCCGTTACGAGTACGGTGCCAAGCGGCACAAGTACGCCCCAGCGGTTTGTCGGGTGGAACACGCCCACGAGGCCCGAGGGAACGCCTAGGAGGTTCTTCCTCCCAGGATATGTTAGGGCGAGAAGCACGGGGGCGGCAGACTGGATACCGAAGTATGCGGGGAAGACGGCGCGTTGTAGGATTGCGAATTGGGGTCGCTCGAGAACTTTAAAGGAGAGTATCGAGTTTATAAATGTCTAGTTAGGGTTTTTTTTCGTTGTTGGTTAATAAGTTCCCTTTATCGAGTACGAAAACAAAGGACTGCGGCAGGTTTGATGCGTCAAACTACCTAACCTACTTACATGGAAAACCTCTGTTCCAAGTAATGTACCGTAGCTGTATGGGAGTTAGCATAGCTCGTCGATTCTATTATCATGGAGCTATGAACTCACGATAAGACATGGTAGGGAGCTGGGGTAAGGAGAACGTGCGCCATGTTAGGGGTTAACTTGTTTATATTTAATAACGATGCAAGAGATATCGATATATATTATATATCAAGAATTAAAAAGAGACTTTGCAAACTGTAAAAGGGAGTTTTAACGATTTCATCAAGGTAAATATATTCCAGGTAAATATAGGTATAGGTAACCAATAGGCAATGATGACGTTTGAAAGTGGTGGTATGTTCTAGCCCCTCGTAGCCTCAATCGTGCCATTCGGAGTTCATCGGCCGAGGAGCTTGGGCCATTGGTTGATTGATTGGTCCAGGGCAATTAGGTGCATGGGCATACGATCAGGTGCTCTCGCGACTGCCTGTTGGACAAGAACGCGCTTTATGTAATCCGTAATTTACAGGTGTTCTAACCTGTCGCCTGCCAGCCCACCTTTAGGTTAGGTACCTACATCTTAAGGTACCCGTATACAAGATACTTGTTACTTCTAGGCAGATATCCAGATATCCTGCCTCACGGATCATTCTAATGCCATCTTAAGTAAACTTCTATTCTAGTATGAGTCTTCTCATAAAAATAATAACAAGGTCAATGACCTAATAATTAACTTTCTATTAGTCCTCATTTCTCATTTCTCATCACATTTATTCCAAACCCAATAATCCACAATATCACCGCGACGATGGCAGACAAGGAGGCTACGGTGTATATCATCGACCTCGGGTCGTCGATGGGTGACTGTCATAATGGTAGAATCGAATCCGATCTTGACTGGGGTATGCGCTACGTGTGGGACAAGATCACGACAACTGTTGCTGCCTCGCGGAAGACATGGACGGTCGGGGTCGTTGGTGTAAGAACCGACGAGACCGTCAACCCTTTACAGGAGCAAGCAGGAGAAGGTTATGAGAATATCTCCATCTTACAGGAGCTCGGGCCAATGAACTTGACTAGCCTTCGCGATTTGCAAGGTCGTATAAAACCTAGTGATACTGATACTGGCGACTCTATCTCGGCTATAATAGTGGCCGTGGAGATGATCGAGAAGTACACCAAGAAGCTGAAGTATAAACGGAAAGTCATCCTTGTCACAGATGGCGAGGGCCCTATTGACCCCGATGATTTGGATGACATATCAGCAAAGATCAAGGGCTGCGGTATCGAGCTTATCGTTTTGTAAGTTGAAACTGTAGTGAGCTCATGGGTTCTACTAATTCTTTTCGGTTAGAGGTATAGATTTTGACGATGTCGAGTTTGGCTTCGAGGAAGAGGATAAGTCAAGTCAAAAAAGAATAAATGAGAGACTTCTAAAATCCCTGGTTGATAAATGCGACGGATTATATGGTACCATGGCAGAGGCCATTACTGAACTAGAGATGCCGAGATTAAAGCCTGTCAGACCGTATAAGACATACGATGGGGAACTTACTCTTGGAAACCCCCAGGAACACCCAGATGCTATGAGCATTAGCGTGGAGCGGTACTTCAAGACACACAAGGCGACGGTGCCGCCGGCTAGTCGAGTAGTGCTTAAAACCGAACCTAGTCCGTCTCAAGCTGCTGAGGGTGACGAGATGGAAGGTGTAGAATTCACAAGCGGATTTTCTGCGGTGAAAAATGCTCGGACATATAAGGTCAACGACCCCGATGCACCAGGAGGTAAACGGGATGTCGAATTCGAATCATTGGCAAAGGGGTATGAATATGGGAGGACGGCCGTTCATATCAGCGAATCTGAATACAATATTACCAAGCTTGAGACCAAGAAATGCTTCACCATCCTAGGGTTTATACATCAAGAGAAGGTAAACAAACTCAGCTTCTCGAATTCAAGTCCCTTCGTACGCTAACACCTCCAGTATGAGCCATTCTTCAATATGGGAGAGACAGGTCAGACAATTCCCCAGAAATTTAACGACGATGCCGCGCTTAAACTCTCATCGTTCATACACTCCCTTCAGGAACTTGAGTCTTATGCAGTAGCACGGATCGTAACGAAGGACGGAAAGGAGCCATCTCTCGTTCTACTTGCGCCTCACATCGAACCTGACTTCGAGTGCTTATACGACGTGCCCTTGCCGTTTGCTGAAGATGTCAGAAACTACCAGTTTCCCCCGCTTGATAAGGTGATCACGGTCACTGGAAATATCAAGCACGAAGACCATCGGCTTTTGCCTAGTCAGGAACTATCAGATGCCATGGATGACTACGTGGACGCCATGGATATCTCAAGCTGGGCGAAAGATGATGACGGGTAAGTGTTACAAATCGATAGGTAGGGTACAAAAGCTAACAGCGCCAAGCAATCGCACTATGGAATACGCTCCCGTTGAGGATGTATTTTGTCCTCCGCTTCATCGTATTAATCAGGTCGTCCGCCACCGAGCAATCTATACAGATCAGCCGCTTCCCCCAGTTGCTCCCATCCTACTCAAATATTCAAACCCGCCTGAAGATTTAATGGCTAAAGCCAAATCGAAACTTGAAGATCTCATAGCTGAAGCTAGTGTCAAGAAAGGTATTATCTATTATAGGGTTAAAGCATTTACGTATCTCTACTAACATTTGTGAAGTACCACCCAAAGCGAAAGGGAGACGAGAAAAGGGAGCCAAGCCCGAGCCTATTTCGGGTCTTGATATCGATGCACTCCTCAACCAGCCTCAAAATAAGCGTAAGAAGATTGACTCTGATAACGCCATTCCCGAGTTCAAGCAGATGGTTGAATATGCCAACGACGAGTCCGAGATTGAGAGCGCCGCAAAGCAGATGGGTACTATTATTCGTTCACTTATCACAAACAGCTTAGGGGATAGCGGCTACGATCGCGCCATAGAAAACCTTGGTGTGTTCAGAGATACGATGGTCAAGTGGGAGATGCCAGCCTTGTACAACTCGTTCTTGAAAGATTTGAAGAATCGTCTACTCTCGGGCGAGCTTGGCGGTGACAGAAGAGAGCTCTGGTGGCAAATGAAAGGGGCTAAAGCCTCGTTGGGCCTGATCGACAAGAGCCTGTCTGAGCCGTCTAGCATAACCCCCGAGGAAGCCACAGAGGTATGTGACGTTTTTAATACGGATTTATGCAGCCTCTTACTAATTCTCTCGTTAGTTCTTCAAGAAGTGATGCTCATCATAACATTTAAATTCCATAATTCAGTCAGACATGTAAGAGCCTGGAGGTTTTGCTTGTAGGGAATAGGTCAGGTAGGCATTTAGATGTCAGTAAGTGTTATATGAAAACGGGGAGGGAATGCAGTAATTTTCAAGGCCTTATAACTAACAAAGAGCCCTTCAATAATTATAAAACTACACCCCGAATGTGCCACGGAAAATTCAGGAAAAACTACTTCGTCGAACATGTAGTACCTAAAGATTCGGTAGTGATATAGGGGTTTAGCATAGGAGAGATGGTAGGCAATCCAGGGGCTGCACAGTCGGATACGTACCTACCTAAGGCAGCATGAAATGATAGACGTATAAAAGTACCATTTAGAAGTTACGGCGGGCACGTGAAATCAAAATACATTCGCCTACTTTAATTTCGGATAGGTAATGGTAAAGCTCTCGCTTGTATTTTAGAAGGAGCACTTTCAACTTGGAAACTTGCAGAAGGGACGCGTCCCCGAGTGGCAGGAGGCTAGATCGATTCAACATAAGAATTATCAATGCGCCTACTCCAATGTGTCCGTGACTCACCAACGCGATCTTTAGGTCGATTTCTCGTAGGTTCCTCGTACCTTCCTTCCTTCTTTTCCCGCTACTACCACCACTATCATCACCTCTCCCTCCGCCTAGACCTTACCTCTTTCTCATTCTTCTTCTTCTCCCACTCCCTTTTATCCATCACGAAAACCTGGCCAACTATTATCTTACTTTATTACCATCATCGCGGTAATGAATAGCGTTACGACGCCTCGTCCGTGATCACACCTAGGTCCATACCCACCACTAGGGCGTCTATTTTACTCTCACCTTTATCTGGCGCGCCACTTCCATATCACCTGTTTTCGAGGAGTTAGAACACGCAGGTGAAACACTGGTTACGTTTCCTTAAGAAGCAGCATTCTAAAAATTGCCGACCACCTCACTTTCGTTACTCACTTCCGTTACTTAGCGCTAGCTGGCAGTGATAATCCCTGATAGGAGGTAGTCACCTAGAAGGAAGGATCCAATATTGGCTCCTCACCTAAGTACAATCGCCAACGTTCAAGTCTCTAGCAGCCAGACAAAGCAAATGCAACCAGATCCTTTAAGGGACTTTAACCTATGATAATCTCACCAAGATACCGGTTGTGACAAGGCCTAGAATATATTCAGGGCTTCGGTTAGTTGCCCTAATTCACGTCTAAGGCGCATTCAACTTACATTTTTATTTAGAATATCGTTGGATTGAGACTAGGCAGAAGCCAGTTGACTTTATCAAATATACAGTCGGCTTCAATACTAAGTCTTGACATCTCCGTCGCCTGCACATACGAGTTCCTTCCTCGCAATACTCTTGATTATCCACGCAGCCCGCTGATTTCGACCGTCATCATGCCTCCTCCGAGCGAACAAGAGCTATTCACCTCTGATCCTAGGTAATTATTCATCGTTATATTTTTGGCTTCCCATACTGACGCCTTTCTTAGTGATGGTACGGACGTTGTTTGTATCATGCTGGGTGGTTTAAAGAAAGTCGTGGTCCACACACACTTACTTGCCTCCCATTCCGTGTATTTCCGCCGGGTGGGAAACCAAGTCAATCCGGAATATTTCTACGCGGATCACTGTCCATATGCCACCGAGCAGACTATTTCCTTCTTCGTCCAATGGATCTATGGAAGAACCCTCGGCCCCTCTCATCTCAACGAGGGTCTACAAAAATTATGCCGTCGTCAGCAGTATGAAACCTTGATGAAGTCTTGGGTTTTCGGCGAAAAAATGGGAGCCACGGAGTTCCAAAGGGATATTATGCGATGCATAGCGGAAGATACTAGGACTGTCAATCTGGAGATATCGGCCGATATATGGATTGACATGGAGGTGGTGGCTCCTAGCAGTAAATTGCGTCCCTTCCTAGCCGCCATGTGCTGCGAAAAGCTTCATAGCAGCGATGCAAATACTGTGAACATGTTTCTAAGCGCTATTCCACGAAGCATGCTAGAAGAGGTCACTAGGTGCAGGATTTCTGGGCCTCGCAGACTTCAAATGGATATGGAACTGGGCAGGTACTTGGAATAGGGAGGGGGGAGGGCGTATTCGGACCCATCTCTTTAGCAAGGCGTTTCTCGTTGCGTTATGATTTCTACGGCTATTGAGCCATCACGCTTTGGTGGATGTAAATCTGGCTTTGAATAATGCTAGATAGCACGCATTATTAAGGTAGTGAAGAATTGTCAAAAATACTACACGATGATTTTACAACGAGCGTTTCAGATAATCCTTAATTGCATTAGGTACCTACCTAAGATGCCTGGTATAGAGTGAATAGGGTAATACTAGCTGTATTGCCCATCCACGCAAACACATACAGTGGAAAAGGGGGGGAAGGGGAGGGGGCATCATACACAAAACTCAAGCCACAAATAGATTTGGCCTTTGATTGGCTAGCCACACCTCAGCGCACGTCCGATGAACTTTTTGTAAAATTAATTGAATTATTTTAGCATTGTATAAAAAGTTTAATGATTGGTATCGTTAGATAGAGCTTGTTTTACATGATTTTTTGATATTATTTGCACCTTTTGCAGACGTTATGCGATAGAATGGCAAAGGAAAAAGTCGCAAACTGCAGGGCGATTCTAAGTATCTGATTGGATGAAAAATTTGTGGCAGTACTACATAATTAAATATATAGGTAAGAGTTGATATGCGTAGGTACGTAAGACAACCTCACAAATAATATGCCGATTGTTATACATACAGCCAAGGTAGGTACGGTTTGAATATATCCAGCACATAGGTGCACTTGCAGATGTGGTCACGCCTCTACCCAACACGCGCAGCCAGCCACATTAGGAAACAGGTAAGTACGCTGTACAGGAAAGAATACTCCAGTCCTTTACAAACACCCATGAGAAACATCTCACACAATCTGCAGGAGCCCTGTGGAACATGGAGACAAACCTACTTGAATCGATACCGGCTGCACCTATCGAATTTGCCGACAGGTTCAACGGCAAGAGCTAACAACGGCCATTTACTGAAGTGTTATTCGAAGAAATCGCGCCCAAGAAATCAAGTACGCTATTTCTACGTTCTTCTTTAACTTGTTTACCTAAAATACCCAGATAATTTACATCTCGTTCAAGCTAATGAGGTATTCCTCAACCATAGGTAAACAAGATGAACGCCTTTCAAGACATGACTATGGGAGACCAGTCTTTAAAAGGCCAGAAGTTTTGTCCCTGGAAGCTCGTCCAATCTTATCCCTATCTATTTGCCAGTCAGAAGAATCAAGAAGAGGCTCTAAAGCTCTATACGTCGATACTATTCGAAAATCGCATCTGGGATTTGTATGTACGCCCCTTTATTACCACACCATATACAAGGAGAGCAATTGGATATGCTAACGTTCCTATAGTTTCTGCCTGCTAGATCCTGGCAAAACTGGTAGAAATCCTCTTCTACTAGTCCCTAGCGCCCAATTCCTGGAAATTCTAAAGCATGTTAACTCTCATCTAACTTTACAACTCGACATCCCAAAGGGCAAGGCCGGTAAGAACTTCTTCGCTACCTTTGGGGATTCGGATACGCCTCTTCCTCGCTTCCTAGGCCGTGCTAGTACTTCTGCTGCTGTCGACGAGCTTAAGCTCCGTATTCACAGACTGCCTATGGACGATTTGGCTCATCTTAGCGCCACTGCCCTGCAGAACTACAGAGTGAAGGTGGATAAGTTGTATAAATCACTCAAGTCGGTCAATAAAAAGGCAAAAGCGAAGGCATCAACGATCCAGAGAAATATCGAGCGCCAGAAGAGTTACGGACGGATGACCAAGCGAGCACAGAGATACCTTGGGCTTCGAGGCCGCCCCGGATATCCACCTAGCTTAGGTTAGTACCTCTATCATACAGGCAACCGTGTTCAGAGGGGCTGACTGTTCAGATGTTACGGCCACGGATTGGAACGTGGATATGCCAGTACCCTTCAAAGCTGAAAGCTCCATACGATTTGTCTCTGTTGACATCGAGGCATGGGAAGACTCGCTCAACGTAATCACAGAAGTGGGCCTAGCAATCCTTGACACTCAAGACACCATAAGTATTCCTCCTTGTAAAGATGGCCGCGGATGGTTCCCATTGATTAAGTCACACCACTTCATAATCGAAGAGCATAAACATAGGATAAACTACAAATATGTCCACGGGTGTCCTGGACGATTCAACTTTGGGTATGATATCTTAACCTTGAACGAAGAGCCAAGCTTACGTGTTGTAGCGATTCCGAATTTGTTAGTGAAGATGAAATTGGTAAGGTAATTGGCAAGATTATCGGAGACAATGAGTCTCCGGATCAAAGACCTGTCATCATGGTAGGACACCAAGGCAGCCAAGACTTAGCTTACCTCAAGAAACTCGGATATAACATCTGGCAGGTACCACAATTTATAGACGAGATGGATACGAGGTCGATGTTTCAGCATCTAGAAAGAAACTCTAAAGGTCGTGGTCTCAAAAATCTTTGCGAAAGTTTAGGGATGTTATGTAGGAATTTCCACAACGCGGGCAACGATGCAACATATACACTGCGCGCTATGATCAGTATCGCGGTCAGGCAGATGACGAATAGCTCCGGGGGGCAGAGGGGGGGAAATTCTAATGAATCAGAGTAAGTCTGTATTCACCACAAGTCCACCTATGGCGCCATTGCTAACTCCTTAATCAATCATCGTAGGGAGGATGAATGGAGCGATGGTATAACAGACGACGGAGGTCCACCTCAAAAGCCAGCTGAATGGTTCCCGAAGGGGGTTCGCAGAACCAAAGAAATATAATATAGAAGCACATGATGGACTCATATTAATGGCTATTAATGGCCCCGCTAGACTCATAAGAAACGATCTGTTCCTGAGTACATATGGAAAAAAAAAAAAAAAAAAAAAAAAAAAAATCAAAACAACCATCAGTCCATTTTGAAAGTTGCCGCAAGAAAGCAGTTGAGAAGAGACTCGCCCCGAGATAGATCGGCATTGGCACTAAATATAATACAATCGATGCGCAGCCCAATGCAATAAAACCCCTTCTAAGTCATGCCGTGAACGCCCTCGCTCCGTGGATGCTGCGGTATTATACATTTTGTAATAGAGGCACAATCGTTACCACCTTACAAGTCATATATCTCGTTAAATCAGTTCGGCGCTAGCTATTCTTTTCCAAGAATTCCTTTGCTTCGTTGACTTTAGTAGCTAAATAAGGGCTTCCGCCTCGATCGGGGTGATTGAGGAGCATGAGCGTCCGGTGGGCTTTTCGGACTTTCTCCTTTGTGATGGCTCGTTCACTAACACACAAATTTGTTAGACAAGGCTGTTGATGTTATTGTCGTAGAAGTAAGGGCGGCAGTTCGTACTTGAGAGACAATATTAGAGTAGCTTCTTTCTTGGTCATGCGCGGCTCGAAACCGCCCTTGTAAAATGCTTTGCCCAGCGCTCCAACGCCTCCCCGAGAGCGCCTCCATGCGACGAGTCCTGCGCGGCCCTAGTGTTTTCTCTTCGTTAGTTTATACGCGTAGAGAAACATATTTATATGGGATATGCGTACGAGAAAGGCTGCGGCCGCGACGCCTGTTCCAATAGCAAGGGCTGAGGCCATATTGACTGACAATTGATGGTGCGAACCAGTAGGAAATTGAAATATGATGTCTGTCGATCGGTGGAATATCGCAATGATTCTTTTTCGAAAGTGCACGGACCTCATGAATAGATTTGCCGCGGGACATTTATCGATAACAATACATACACCGAACGCCGGGATGGAAGGCAAAATGCGGCGTTAAAGTTAATCCATTGCCTATCAACATGATAAAAGCCAGAGGACCCACCAAAATTTCACGGTGTGAAGTTTTCGGAGGGGCGCCACGAAATACTTCTCTATCCCGATTCATATACCATCCAACATCGTCAACGAAGTCTGCGTCCGCCGTCAAGATGAGGTTAGTATTAACACATTTTATTTTAGGATTTCCTTTGTGGATATATAGCTATTCAAGTACTTCATGGCTCATATGGGGCTACCAAAGTCTTTAAATTGCCATTGCGAGCCCGAAGCCCAATCCCGGTTCATACACGAAATATAGAGATCGTATTTACTAACTAGACGCTCTACAGGATCGAGACGTGCTACTTTTGCAGTAGGCCCGCCTACCCAGGCAAGGGAATAGTGAGTCTTTCCATCCATTCTTCCAACTCTCCTCGAACTAGATAGAACCGTATCCCTAACTCCTCCTTCCCTCTCTCCCAGACATTCTGCCGTAACGACGCCAAGCAATTCCGCTTCTGCCGCAGCAAATGCCACAAGAACTTCGTGATGAAGCGCAACCCGCGCAAGCTGAAATGGACCAAAGCGTTCCGGCGCGCGGCGGGCAAGGAGATGACGGTGGACTCGACGCTGCAGTTCGCGGCGCGGCGCAACGTGCCCGTGCGCTACGACCGCGAGCTCGTGCAGAAGACGCTGCGGGCCATGGACCGCGTCTCCGAGATCCGGGCCAAGCGCGAGCGCGTCTTCGCCAAGCGCCGCCGCGCGGGCAAGCGCGCCCAGGACCTCGCCGCCGACCGCAAGCTCGTCCAGACCCACGCGCACCTGCTGCCGCGCCTGCGGGGCAGCGAGAAGAGGAGGCTCGCCGAGGAGCAGGGCTTGCGGCCCGAGGAGATCGAGGAGCTGGAGCGCAGCGCCGCTGCGGTTGTTGTGGAGAAGAAGAGCGCGAGGGTGTTTGGCAAGGAGAAGGTGCGCCAGAGGGTGCGTGTCGACGGAGGCGTGGAGGTGGTGGGAGAGGACGAGGGTGGGATGGATGTGGATTCCGAGTAAGCGAGCTGATTGTTGTAATGTTCGCGGTCACAATTTGCAACTCGTACGGAAGGAGGTGGTGTATCTACGATGGGGATGCGCAAAAAAAGAAATCACGGACAGTGGCGTTCATGTGTATGGGTTGTTTCGTTTCTTCTGCATGTCCTGGCGTTGGTGGATTCTATGTAGGATTCTGATTCCTTTCCTTTCCACGAAATGAAACACTTTTGACCTGCCCAGTTCCCTATAGGAAGATGATACATCGGTGCCAGGCTTATTCATTGTTCGTGCCATATTTCGTGATGGAACAAGAGTCTCGCTTTCTTGCTAATTGTTTGCTATGTTGCGTATTATGATTATCATTACTGCTAATTTATCTGATGTAGATGTTCTAGATGGTAGGTATGTAAGCCATCAACGGTGTTGATCTTTGTAAGGTTTATCCATCTCATTCCGTTCCAACATTGAGACTTTAGATATAATAGCGATATCTTCCATGTCGCATTTATTAACGACGAAACTATCATTCAGCCTGGCTAGGAAAGCGGATCCGGCTTCCGTCCCCGACCCGGGCCATGCATATAGTGGATCTTGGGCGGCTGCGGGAGCGAGTCTCGGATATCCTCTAAGATGTGCGCGTCGAGAGCCTCGCGGCGTTTGCGCTCCTGTTCTCGGTCGTACGGTTCGCCTTCTCCATGCTCGGACGTCCAGTTTCCTGCGCCCCCACGGCCCGAGAGCGCACCCCCGCGGCGCGGCGATGTCGGCGGGGACTGTGGATGAGACTGGTCTTGGGGTTTCGAAGCATGAGTAGGAGCGGTCGTGGCTACAGGTGAAGAAGGGACGTCGACGAAGTTTCCAGCGCCGCCTCTGCCGGAGCGCGCATACGCCTTCGCGCCGTTAGTAGTGGAGCCTGCGACGGGTTGCGCTGGGCCATCGGCTGGATCCGTCAGCGGTTCATCATCGGCAAGCGGTTGCGATTTCTGCGCCTCGAGATCCTAAGGATTGGGCTTCTTAGTAAAAGCCACTCACTCACTCACTCACTCGCTCACTTATTTACCTCGCGTGGGGCTTTGGGGAGATCTAGCGTACCTCGGATTTCCTCTTAGTTGCCTCTTCGATATCTTTTTGCGAGTAGAAGTTGCCGGCGCCGCCCCGCCCGCTACGACGATATACGGTATCCGCCATCGTGCGTGCGTAGGTGCAGATAGGTAAGTAGGTATGTGTATAGTCGAGGAATATGTATGCTTCTTTGGGGAATTTGCTCCGTCTACTATGTAGTAGTAATCTTACAGTTACTTTATGTAGGTGGTATTCGAAATCGGACGTCAACGCGGCGTATGTACGTAGGTTAGATGGTTAGTTAATAGACGCCGAGGTGTGTATGTGTGAGCAAGTAATTAAAATCGACCGCGCGCCTAAATGGATGCGGGGTGATAGCAATAAAAAAAAGAAAAAAAGAAAAACTCGCGCGCTTAAAGAGTATTGCTCGCGATCGTGATACGGCAAATCTTGTGTCCGTATTGGAAGTGAGTAAGGTTGTTGTTATTGAAGTTGTAGAAGTGAAAACGAGTACGTATACATTTGGAATTCGATGTTCCAACTTGCTGGGAGCGGCTGCCTACATTGTGCGACTGACTACCTTACTGCCTCGTGTAACCTACCTTAACCTAGTAGAATTTCCGGTAGAAAACGACGTCATGGAGGGGCATTACATCGAACTAGCATGACCTTCCTCTTCCAAGTTCGTATTAGATACTATCAAATAGATGCTATCAAATGATATATCAAGCAGCACGCACCGGAATAATACCTCGGTGGGCACACAAGATACCGCTGCACACCTTCGGGCGGACAAAATTCAGGCACCAAGCCTTACGGGCTCCGCCAGGGCTTTCATAGTATGCTCGTACCTGCGTCTAGTCGAATATATAGAGCGGCGACCTATGTATATGCATGCTGGCCCGTATGTATGTACGTACAGGACTAAAACCAAGGATTCCGAACCCAGATATCCGGTTTCTTTAAACGGGCAGACGGGTTCGAATATGTTTGGCTGGGCAAACTTGGAGTCTGTCATTTTCATATGTGGTTCCGAGCGCCCAAGTCAATCTTTAGTGAAGTGATGCGCAGCCGGGTATGGCGGGTCAGTGGGTAAGGCAGTGTTGATCCTTTGATCGACAGTTCTCGAAATGGAAAACGCTACCTATTGCCAGCTTTTGGCTTTCTTACGAAGTACAGCTCGTATGTATTGTCCTCGTTAACATTGTTGACTTTTTGGTCTTATGGGTCCTCTATGAGGGTTTGTTTCAAACTAGCAAGTTTGACAAGCTGACAACTTGGAATAGCGAAACGACATGGAACACATTTCTTGCCTGCTTTATCGAAAGTATCTCCTTGATTGTGGGACCTAGAGAACAAGACACTCGATAGCGTGTCGACTCGCGAGCCGTTGTCAGCTGCTGCTTTTGCGTTATCCCAATAAGGCATAGTATAGTATAGGTTCTTATGTAGAGTCACTTGATATTCGAAAGTCCACTGGGTTGGCTCAGTGGCGAACGGAATACGGAATCGACACTAAAACAATCGAGCCGGTGACCCCCGTTTTACCAGACGCACTAGCAATACCAAGTGTTAAACGATAAATGTCGAGACTTTTAAAAGTATACTGCGTATAAATGAATTGAACTTCGGCCTTGGCAGCGTAGCACCGTGGCCTATCACCGCCCATGGAGTATGACACACCCCCATTGGCTAATGATGAGATTATCGTAGACTATGATATGAATGAAAATTAAGATAACGAATCAGGCGGACCGGAGAATATAACAAGGGCCAAAAGGCTATAATGCCGATATCTTAGTCTGCAACTCTACTAAGATACCCTTTAAATGCCTAGTCCGTGGCAAGAAAGCTCAGATGGTAGACCCCGCGCCAACTGGTTCGAGTCGAAAATGAATGGACTGTCACGGTGGCGGACGCTACGGTTCACTTAGGAAGGAGAAGACGAACTGTGATCTATGTAGAAACCTGCGAATTTTATTATTCTCATTATTGTTATTATTATTTATTATTTATTATTTTAATTTTTTTTCGTCTCGTACAAGATTATACCGAGATGTAAGCTAATGTTTGGTATGCATCTCCAGTGGTCTAGACCACTAGATTCTTTGGTCACTTGTGTCGAAGGAACTGGACGGGAAAAAAAAAGTTTCAGCCTGTGAGGATGCTCTAAAATTTAAGTCAACATACTATGTAGGTAGGTACTCTGGAGCTCCCCGGTGAGACTTTAAATATATTCTCCCTTGCTTTATCTATGCCGGGAAGTATCGTCCTGAGCAGTGTCTCATTCAAAGAGCATGCTCGAAGCCCGTAGAAGAAATTAGGTAAATTTGATAGAGTTGATTTGATAGACATGTATGTGTATGTACATGCTTCTTCTTGCATAAGCCACCGTACCATACATAGTAGATTAGGTACCCCAATGCGCATCTGTGTATGTATGTAGTATGTACATCATCGCTATCCAATGAAACGGAATGGCGTAAGAAGACCCGGCCGAGGCGTGAGCATAGTGTATACCATAGTGAACCTCTTTTATTTCTCCAAATTTCGTGACTTACCGGCGCGAGAACCCCATGCACGAAAGTACCTGCATCCGGAAAGGTCAAATGGCCTCGCTGATCTCGTGGATTATTTTTTTCTTCTTAGGAAACATACCAATTCAGTAAAGCATAAACCAGCATATATTGTCACTAAGGTGGCTAGATTCAAGATCACGGGAAAGTATTGAGTTTGTCTTGGTGTCGAATTGGTATTTCTTATTGGTGTAAAGTAATATTGCTAAGAAATATGAAAAAATCTAATAGAATACAATATAATAAGTACATGTAGTTTTAGGTAATGTTTGTGATACTTGTACGAAGCGTGTTACGGCTGAAGCTATAGCCTACTGTAAAAAGAATATTATAACACTGTGTTTTGATATGCTTAGCGTAGACCTTAGTTTCGTGCTGCGTAACGGGTATGTACATACATATTATTGTATATTGGGCTAACCCCTCTTAGTATTATTTGAAGCTTTCATGACGGGACCGCGTCTCAGGCCTCTTGTTAGACTTTATGTAATTATGCATTTATACATTCCCTTCATAACGCTTATTAAACGGAGATAAGCAATGCAAGATTAGACTTGTTTGACAGCCGGAGAAAAAGGATCCTTTGAAACCAAACAGGCAGAATACGAAATACCGCACACATAGCCAGATATTCTTAGCAGCCAGGCAGCTTAATTATTTATGGAGGTGTTAGGAATCGTCAGGGGGTAAACCCTACCCGCCAGGTGACGCGCCCTACGATCGTAGCGTTGATCCGCGCAGTCCGGGGAGAAGCCTAGTGTATGGTCCTTGGTCAATTTATAGACCCGAACCAGGTCACAAGGGGTCTAAGGTTGTTACCAACCATAAGGAGTGGAATGAAGCTGGAATACTTACCTACGTGTTTTACCGAAGGTGATATCCTTTGCTAATATCTGTTTAAAATATCAACTTTTATTCTGCGCTAAAGTATAAGTACTTAAACTGACTGTCTATTCGAATAGCTGATTCGGCTTATAGGAATCTGTAGCGTCGGTACGCTAGTAAAGTGCCTTGATAGTGTATACATAGAAGTCCCTCCTTAGGGGTGTGTGTTTATGGGTACCTACATAGGTATGTAAGCATAACTGGTTTCCCCCTTGTTCCCCCCCTCTTTTTTATTGTGTGTACCCCCTCGTTGGATTATATATACATACACTAGTGTAGACCTCTTGCAAGGGTGTTGCTCCAACAATATCATTATCTAATTCCGACGGACGAATGATAAATCATTAGGCCGGCATTCCTATGTACGTACATTATATGTAGATATCTATTCTTCGTAGAGTTATTCGCGAGTAATAAGTATGATATGCCACGTTATACTGCCACTTGTTAATAAAGATGTGCACGACGGATTATTGCTGTCGCTTTATGATAGGCAAATTCCGCATACACAGTGTAGTACGCACCTGCGTATTGCTCGTAATCGCAAGATAACTTGTCTCTCTTGAAGACTCCGATGTGAGTTGGAAAGCCGCGTGTTATGTATTTGTCCGGTTCCGCTATCTTTTACCAGATATATGAATATGCAGGGCACCAGGGCATCAGGGCACCAGGACCAGGGAGCACACCAGCTGCCATTCGAGCATTGGAACTATCCACGTGCGAGTAGGAATGTACGAAGTAGGCAGTTGAATTCCTACTTTCGTCCCATTTCAGACATGACGATAGATCTATCCTGACGTGGGTTACCTCTCGAAATCGGCCATTTCTGTCTCAGTCCAGCTGTAATTGCGTCCAAATATGTGAAGTAGTCAGTTTCAGCTTGTAGAATATCAGTTAAGCACACGTCTACTAATTCAAAAGGGGGTTTCCCTCAATTGAATTATGTACCTAATGTTGAGCAGCGTCTGCATCCCCACGCCCATCCGCTTGGCCGTCATCCGCTTGGCTGGCAGATAGGTACAAACTTGATCGTGATGACTTGATCGTAATGATTTGATCGATTCCCACCTGTCGTTACAGCTCAGACGCATTCAGATGGAATTGCTCATCTTCTCGTGTCCAATCCAATGGGTCTACATTATGCCGCCTTAACTAACAATTCGTCAAGCGGGTTTGTTGTCTGTACCCTTTTTTATGCCGCTCCGACTTGTTTCCAAGTTTGACGTTGTGCCTGACAGAAACCCTGACCTGGAATTGAAGCTTGTCCAACTAGCACATGCGGACAGGCGAACCAAACCTTATTGTACCTACCTAAGATATAAGGGGCCGCGCTAACTACATGTACATACGTACCTCACTTATCGTGCAGCGCATGCGTACTATTATTGTATGGATACCTCATACCTAGGTACGCACTAGATAGGTTAGGTAGGTACATAAGTAGTATAGTATCTTTCTAAACTTCCAATATGTTCTTGTGGAAATATGCTCTTGTGGATTCCACTTAGAAAGATAGGACGGGGAAAGAGATGGGGGGCCCGAATGGTGAATGGGGGAGGGGGCAGGGGGGGGAATTGAATAACTTTGAGCCCACCCATAATGACTACCACACCATTCAACGTACCACATGGCATACGCCCAACTTCCATTTAATACACTTTCTCTAACGTACCTAACCTAGCATAATTAGCAACTATCGTCTACCTAGCGTATCTAGTGTAAGGCGATATCTACACACCATAATATAATAATAGTAATAGTAATAATACCATAATACTTCGAAGGAGCATAGTGTATTCTAGTAGGCCAGAGTACCTAAGGTAATAAGCAGCTAAACGAAGGCGTAGTCCTAAGCCCATTTTCCTAATAGGTATTCCGTATTATGTATTTAACTCGGTTTGACCACCTGACGAACAGCCCCGATGTATCTTGGTATCTCTGTATCTGTGTACTGGTACTGTCTTGTCCGTACCTGCCTAAACGTTCCTACATTATTACCTACCCGTACTTGAAATCCATAAAAAAATTATTTTTTTGTGCAATGGACTGATCTTTGTTCCTTCTTCAATTCTCAAGGGGTTAAAGGGGAAAAAAAAAAATTATTACCTACAGATCATCGGACGGCTTTTTTCTTTTCCCAGTGCCTCCACCATCAGATCCTAATCCAGCCAATACCTCTCCTAATCCACCCACCATTGCCGACGAACACCCTCTTGCTTTGCTTTTTGCTCTCTCTTTCTTGTCCACTTTTGTATAATCATTCACCTAGTAAGACACGAGCTACACCAGGAAAAAAACAAAAAAAGATAAATAAATCCTTGAGACGATTATTTTGTCGTTCTACTATCTACGTGGTCGGCAATGGCCTCTTCCAAGGTAACTAACAAGTTGCACTAACCTACCTCACCTTGCCTTTTTACCTACCTTGCCCGCTTAGCCCGCCCCCGACACTAGGTAGGATAGTCATGCTGATCACTTGTGTCTATCACTTCAGGAAATGCAAACACCAACGAGGCCATTGAACCAGCACCGTCAATCAATCTCTTCTACCTCAGCGTCTTCCTTAGGCGCTTCGAGACCATTATCCCATTCACGCAACAACTCTCACACATACTCCGCTTTGTCCGGCGCCCTCAATGCCACCCACCGCGTAACACGTCGGAAGAGCATGACTGGCACCGCTGCCAATGTCGCGGCCGTCGCGGCTGCTCTTGAAGAAGCAGGGGATAAGGTTGGACCATTACCTATTGCTGTCAATTCCCGCCGCGGTACCATGTCCAAGCCTGCCACCGCCCGACCTACCATCGTGGGCAGCTTACCTTCTCCGCCTGCTAGCTTGCCAACCCATAGATTCTCGATGAACATGAAATCGGAGGGCCCAGAAAACGCTATCGACGACTCCTCGAACGACATGTCCGCCGATGAGGGAGAAGGGAGTCCCCAGACAGCTCGCATGCGGCGGGCGAGCGATGGTCAGCCGCTAACAAAAGAGGGTAGGAAGAGCAACCGAATTGAACTCCGCTGCGACAAGTGCGGGAAAGGATACAAGCATAGCAGCTGCTTGACTAAGCATTTGTTGGTGCCCATTTTCTTGCCCACTGCCTCCCTTATGCATTCACTTGCCCAGGCCCGTGGATAGAGTATCTCCCTGCCCCCGGGGCAAGCGTGGACTGGCCGAGACCCTTAAGCCCTGAGTAAATGAACGTGGACTTTTGTTGACGAATTGCTTGCCAGGTGGGAACATACTCCCGAGTGGTCTCTCACGTCCAAGCTGCTTATATCCAAGCACCAACAAGTTCAACTGCTCGAGGCGGCCTCAGTTCTTGTCGCCATGAACACGGAGGCGACCACTCCTCCAGATTCTACCAAAGACTTCGCCAGCGACCCCGAATCCGCCTCTCCCACCGCATCTGGGTACTCAGATCTCCACGATGGTCGTAGTTCAGCCGACACCACCCCACCTCCACCACATTTGGACGCTTTTAGCGCCATGAATTCTCTTGCTTATCGTACGGCTTCCAAGAGGGACAGCAATGGGAGCAGCTTTGCGCGATCGTACCAATCGGCCGTTTCGGGTTCGTTCTTCTTAGGTAGCGTGCCAAATGGGAATGGATTCGGTCACGCTCGTCATGCCAGTTCGGACCGGCGCCCCCCTTCTTCAGGAATGAACAGTACTGGCCAAGATGACCGCGACCTTGCAACAGCCATCGAGTTGCTCAGCTGCAGCTTCAATAGCAACGGAGGGACCCGAGATTCTAGGCTCCCTGACGATGCTCCTCCTGTACCGCCGCTACCTGCCCAGTATCTCGATCACGCAGCCTTTGCCAGCACGAGTTTTATCAACAGCTTCCCGTCAGGGCAGATGCCGGAAAGCTTTACCCGGGGTGAGCTCCGGCATACCGAGGACGTGAAGATGGAAGACAGTGAAAGTAGTATAATGGATGAAGACGAAGGTGAACGGGGATTTAGGGCACGCAGCAGCGAGGAAGATGATGATATGATGTTTGGCCGTATGGAGGATTAAACTTGAGATCGCCCGCCGGCTCGCTCATCAGAGAGACGGCACGAAACGATAAATGGCTCTGGTTGTTTCCTTTGTGTCACATATATCAGCTTCTGTAAACGAGGTGGTTTCGCTCCGCTGCCGAAATCTCAGCACCGAAGAATGGGGGGCTCTAGGTACGAATACTCTAAGGCATGCTCCAAGAGGTTAAAGTGAGGATCGGAGAAAAGCGTCGAGCGAACACCTAATCTGTCGAAACCGTAGGGAAAGTGTGGATTTCATTAGGTAAAGCGTGTGATGTCTATTAACAGGGCTGATGGGCTGATGACACCCATTTGTTTACCATGAATGAAAACCAATTCAAACGAAACTTTTGACTTAACTACTAGAATATACTTGACCAATAATATAGTTGGGGGCTTTTGATTGATAAATAGGATTCTAAAGTTTACTATTGCCGGACATAGCTATCCTCGAGGTAGCGGAGCTGCGGAGTCATGATGCCAGTGATCTTGATGATCTGCATGTGAGTGCAGGTTGGTATAGAGGTTGTAAACGGAACCGGCTAGGCAACGGAAGACATCAGAAGTTTGGCGACGGTTGCCTAATGACCCTCACGGAATATGTTCAAAAAGAGGAGAAGCTGAAAATAAGAGGAGAAAGTCTCTAAGATGGAGGATCGAGAACCCAGGTTCCTTTTGAGAAACGAGGTTTGTTGTCGATCAGCCCAGTTGTGGGGTTATTAATTAGTACCTAAGGTTAGGTACGTAGGCTCAATAGTAGGAATAATTTAGTAGGGAGACTCGACGAGGAGTCGTTCGGAGACGTCACTGGTGCTAGCTAGGCTGCTAGGTACATGAGGTAGTTACCACCCGCTTTCCCCAATGTTCGCGTATCCACCCCCCACCATTTATAGAGGTAAGTATTACATATGGCGTAGCTTTTAAGCCTACCTACATACTACCTCAATCAGGTACATAACCTACACTCGTAAGTAATCGCGACAATATCTGATCAGCTTCATTTTTTATACCTAGCACGTGAGCGCATTAAGCTTGGATCTCTGCAAGGCGCATACAATTTTTTTTCTCTCTTTTCGGGGAATTTTCTTAAATCTTTTTTCCCCTTCTAATAATAGATACATAATTGCAGAATCTTCACGGTGTAAACACAAGGCAAAATGCGTACTAGGAAACAAACTCGCGAGGAAGAAAATGCGGCTGAGGCAAGGCAAACAGTGGTGTCTATCACCAAGATCGATACTCCAACAATCTCGCCTTCGAAGCGCGAAATTACTCGTCCCAGCAGCACACCGTCTAAGCTGCCTCGGCCGATTCAGTTCCCGCTCGTCACTATTCTGAGCCTGTCGCTCGCCGCGGTGGGCTACTCGTTAACGTGGCGATATACCAAGGGTCCGATAGCGCCGCACGCGAGGCTATTGACTACTTGGGATGATGTCGCAATTGTTACGGGATGGCGAGTGTAAGTAGCATTTTACCAATCTTCCCATTTACGGCGGCGCGTATTTAGCTTCTAAATTTGGTCATGACGAAATTCCAACAACACTTTACTTACCGTGTTTTCTCACAGGTTTGAACTCGCGCTGAGTTGGTACGGTAACTACGACGGCTACGATATTACAGCGTTGAACCTCCTGTCCCACGGTCCTCTCGTAAGTACCTAAGATGGAATCACCAGCACGACAAAATATATACATAACCCTAACGAGGACAATAGCTGTATCTCCTACATACCTTCTACGGGGTACCTGCCGACACCCTTCTCCTAACACTCGCCATCGAAACCCTGGCGACATACATCCCCTTCCGCCTTCTACGTCCGCTTTCCACGGTCCACGCCGACCCTAGCCATGCGCCCAACGCAGACATCGTCACGGACCGGCCCATCGTGCTGCTCACCACACTTCTCGCAGGCGCCATCTACAGCGTGACGCTATTCATCGCGTACGCGACGTACCTACCGTCATACCTAGTCGTGTACTTCCCTAGCCTGCCGTCCATCGCGCCCGCTCACGAAGCCACCTACGTCAGCCTGCTCCCCGTAACACTCGTTCTGGGATTTGCAGCGCGCGCCTTCATATTCACGCCTGCCGAAGCGACGGCCTCAGCTAAGGACAAGCCGTTCGACCCAGTTAGCGCGAGTCTTCGCGAGACGCTGTGGTGGAATTTCTGGGGCTGGAGCGCGCAGACCAAGGTCCTGATCCAACGCACGGTGCTACTGATGCTGATTGCAGGCATGGATACGTTCGTCCAGACGCGCTTCACGATTAAGGGTGTTGAGACGCCTGGTGCGGCGGCGTGGAGCAGCGTGTGGGTGATTGCTGCAGCGATTACCGGGCTCGCGCTTGGTGCCGTTGCCAGTGTTTAAGTCTAGGTAGCTGCCTGAGGAAAAAAGGGAAAGTAGTGTAGGATAAAAACGGACAGTTGCGGTAGGGGCAGTAACAAGTTAAATCATCTCGAGGTGTTGGACGGGAGGTAGTAAGCATAATTTATTATAAAATGGACAAAGGAATGTATCTAATGGGGCGTACCGTGTCGGCGGAATCAAATATGTCATTAAGAGTTTCTGCTTTATTAATGTTTATTCTGCGTTTTTCAAACGGAGGTATCCTATAACCAGGCTAGCCTATGTTATATGTTACATATATGTAACTACGTATATTAGACTTCATGCTTGTCTATATACCTAATCTAATACTCTGAATCCTACTTATAAGGTAGCTTGAAAACATAGGTAGGCTTACGAAGAAACCCTTTCTTGTTACCGATGGAATGTAACTATTACATTTGTTACTCGAGTCAGTACACTATAGTATAGTATAGTCGTATTGCTACCTACACTAGATAATAGGGGGTTAATATAAGTCTCGGGGTTGATATTTAATAGCACATACGGCTAAGTGGGGATGTATAACCCAACATGGCTAATAGGTAACTTAATATACAAATTTATATGTTGTGGTACTAAGCATTGATACTTTTTAGTATATTCTTAAATCTTATTTTGATGAATAAGCACCACTTTGGTTAGTACTTATCATTGAAAAGTTGATCTTTCCATTGATGTTTAGTACCATAACATATAAATTCGTATGGAAAGTTACCTATTAGCCATGTTGGGTTATACATCCCCACTTAGCCGTATGTGCTATTAAATATCAACCCCGAGACTTGTATTACTACAATTGGTAATTCGTCTATGTCATGATTGGCTCTTCTTTCTACGCTTGCTTTATAAAGGGATAGACGTCTAAGACAGGACCCACTAACTAGATCATCTCCAAGCTTATACTCGAGCTCTGACTTCTCTACATAAAGGGTTATTTTATCAGGTAGCTGCCTCCCACATTATTATTGCTACTAAATTACACGCGCATGTGTTTATCTAGACCGACATACATGAGCTTAAGGTTTCTACACATAAGTATTGCCACTGCAGTTTCCCTTAGGTACTTAGTTTAAACAGTTTGAGATAGGCTACATAGGTACTTAGGTAGCATAACTCCTTCCTAAGGTATGGCTATGTTCTGTGTAGATGTCCAGGCACCTGCCTATCTGCCCTACGCACTTGCCTGATTTCCAAAAGTTACAACCTGAGGTAGGTATGTTAGGGTTGTTTATCCCGCTTAGGCAAAGGGGTATAAATACTTGGGCATTCTCAGCCAAATCTCAATTTCTTCATCCAACACAACTACATTCAACACAACTACATCCACACGCCTCTAAACTAACCCAACAAAACTTCTAATTACTTAACCAATGCCTTACTACCTCTTTAGACAAATGGCACATTAGGGATGATCTCTACCTCGGTAAAGTCCTCTAATAATTATCTATATTTGAAAGATGAAGGCCAGCGACGCATAGAATGCCTGGTTTTGGGACATAATAGCTCGCTGCTTCTGACCCCAGCCTTCGTGCATCATGCAACAAGGACGCTGTCCTCCTTTTTCCAAACTCTTTATTCTTGTTGCTTGGTGCATCTGCATCACAACCTGTTGACAATCATTCAACAACATTGTCATCAGTAGCCATATTCTTTCAATTATCAGGTACGTCCCTCCTTTTTTACCTTCTATTTTAGAAGTGCGTTACGGCGATGACCTCTAGTGCCGGGCCGTGTCTTTAGCCTACTATGGACTTCGCTCACATTAGCCCAGAACAAAACATCGCAGAAACTACCTATTACTGGCGCTTACTAGAGCTATTCATTTAACCATCAGGCTCGTGGAGTCCATCTTAGAAAGAGCTTACGGGCCAAAGAGTGCCGACCATTAGATGGAAAAGCGATCTCTATGTTGAACAGTATATCCATTGTCCTGACGAGGCTCTCTTACATATCGGTCAGATCCTCTATCTTCTTCGCTCACTTGATAATTGCCGCGTTTGGTCCGGAGATACTTACTCCCGACGACTACTACGGCAAATACGTCAAAGAGCGCCCCATCGAACAGGGCGAATGGCTTGACGTAAACAAAGTACCCGTCCCGCAGTCGACGGCGGTTTTGAGCCGCTCTCTGACCATAGGTTGATATTTAACGGGGCACGATATTTGTATCATAAGTTGTGTCGCCACTAGGGAACTGAGAATCTCGTAGCGATGCCACCCCCGAAAGCTAACAAGTAAGTCTCCAGTGTATCCATTCCCTCGGCATCGCTAATCGCGTAGCCAATCATTCGACATTACACAATTATCTAGTTCATCTTTTGACTCTGTCATGTCGGAGTCGCTAGTTGATCCCATTATGGACTGGGATCAGTTCGTTCAGTACGACGAGGAGCCAATCGAGGCCATTCCATATGACTACGACTTCTTCTTGCATCGCTAATCACGTAGCCAATACCATGTCGTACGTGTCCGGTATCAACTCTTCCACTTCCCTTATGGGTTTCTCTGTCTATCAGCCTGCCATTGGTGCCCCTTTGCAGTTTTTCCCTCCCATGGGGTCCAAGCAGTTGAACGAGATGATCGACGCTTATGGTTCGGATTGGACCATCCAATGTTACCGGAGCATAAGGGTAGAACATGGTGGTTCCTCTTCGCCTACGACCTTGAGGTGGAAGTAGGGGAATGTTAGTTTTATTATCTACGGTGTGGACCCCGAAGAAATTCTTGGGCCTGTGAAGGGAACAGCGGGCGGAACAACGACAAATGGGAAATCCAACGGGCCGACAAGCGGACCTACAAATGGTACTGCACGAGGCGCTACTAGTGCGCAAAGGAACGAGAATAGACATACGTCTACAGGTAGCCGGAAGAAAAGCCAGAGGGCTCAGGGAAAGAGAGATAGGATTTGGCCCTGGAAGGTACGTTCTCCTTCTCCTTCTCCTTCTCCTTCTCCTTCTCCTTCTCCTTCTCCTTCTCCTTCTCCTTCTCCTTCTCCAGACCGCAAGACAAGTCTAAAACCTAACAAAGTACATACAGAAGGGAACATGCCATAGGATCGCAGAGGATACTTGGCAAAAGATAAAGGCCATCCTCGGACACGACGCGACGCCTCTACCAGCTACTAGGCGCGACAATTTAAATGGGAATCAAGCTTTCTCGCAGCCATAATGGCCGAAGTCCGACCCGAACCCAACGAAGACTCGGTGGACTGCCCCTCTGGATCCCATCAGAAAAGACCTGCGCCTAAGGATCCCTACGACAATGGCTTCCTGTCTGCGCCTAGAAGCACCCTGTGTCCTACCTCGAAGAATAAAGGAACACCACCATCGAACGCCAAGGCGAATGGCGAGGGATCCAGCAACAAGTACTCTAGACGTCTAAAGCGCCAAAGATGCGCCGCTGTACCTACGTAGGTAGCATATAGCAGACCAATAGACGTAAACGTTCTCATCATCATCATCAAGTCCCTCGAGTCTTTTCCCTTAATCATCGTATTATTACTACATGTTTTTCTAGCTTGCGAGTATGTTTCCCAGCATGTCTTTGATCGCTTCCTTCGTGTTGTCGAGTTCTGCTTCGATTGCTTCTTCTTTGCCGTATACGAGCTATAAGCTTGCTAGATAGGTTTAGAGTTCCTTGCAGAATAACGAAGTCGTTTCCATACTGTTTGGTTCCACCTCATGACAGCTATATATGGAGAGGTCTCTTAACTATACGTAGTGGAACTCGAATCTAAAACTAAAATCAACACCATTATATACCTAGATCTCTAGGTCTCATCTTGGTAAGCGTCGAAATTATTCTCCCCGAGAATCTCATCCAAAAGATTGGCCACCTCATCGTTGTTTATGTCCGCGAACGCGGTATAGGTATTTCCACTAAGTCCCCCATCTTTGGACAGCAGGAAGACTTGGCGTTTCCACCATAAAGGTTGGTGAGCTTGGCTGCCCGTCTCGTTTGCTGGAGGAAAGAAAAGGATTCCTTCCTGTGGTTTGCAAGCCTACTTAGCCTGACCAACCCGAGGCCCGTCCCAGAGGTAGACCGGATAGCCACGACGCAAGAACATGTCCTTGTAGCCCTCGCCGCCGCCCCAACGGTTCTGCCATACTTGCGTGGTGGAGCTGTGCCACATGGCGAGACTGGTTTTCCGCGATCTCCAAGGTATGAAGTATTCTATATACCCATGATCATAGGAGAGGGTCTGATCAGGGAAGATTGGGCTTCATATGACTCTTCCTTCTATAGTGAATCCGCCGGATTTTTCTAAGACGATTGGTCGTCTCTCATATTGCCGTTTGTCACGGGCCATGCCGCTTACGAGTGACAAGAGCAATCCGAGTAGGGTGAAAGTAACTGACATTTTGGGAGGTTACTCAACGCCTATACCAGCTGGGAATATGACATGCTACTAGTCAGTATAAGACATTCCCAAGCCTTGTTATTTCAACATTTTCTAAGGCTCGTATTCACATCGCCTTCATAATTGCCGGCACTTCAGAAATACATTTTAGCTATCCTTGGGTGGTTCACATCTTTGATGGCTAATGGGGCGAGCCGTATAAGTCATTCTAGGCGTATGCGAATTCATTTAGTCGAGATGTTGTATTTTAATGACTTTTTTGTTTGTACCTAAGTGATGTATAGGTAGATTATATTTAATTTATGTATAAAAATCTGGAGTATAATAGTATTACATCAGTATGAGAGGTAGGTAAGTTTATGAGACGCGCTTTCTACGGCATTTAGATGATGGTTGCGCTGTCCTTACCTAATCACTCATCAGCCTCAAGTGACGGCGGAAACCTCTGCGGGGCAAGAAGGTACCTAAGTACTTTTCATACAAATAAGGAAAGTGTACAGTTCTAATGATTATTAATACTGTTGGCAGTAACGCCGCCAAGAAAGAACTTAGGAGCTTTAGCCCAAACCTTGACGCGACAACCTCTCACATCTTACATCTCTCACTTTAATTGCAACGAATTCTCGTTTGCGGTCTTTTTTTTAATCTTGTCGCACAAAAGCTCGCCGACGACTTATCATTTGCCCCTCGTTTTACTTTGCTAATTAATATATCCTGCATTTATCAAAATTCCTACCTTTGTCTATACCGCTCTCAGCGGTCTGCACTATGGTCATGGCGACCGCAGTAGAAGCAAACAACGATAGAGGTGTGGAGCTCGATGATAATATTTCACAAGGCAACAAGGACTCCAGCTCTTTGATGCACGTTATCCCGCCGTTGGATACTTCGAATAATGGCCTTGAGTCGCTCAACATGCGCGCCGACCCAGACGCCCAAGCCACCGTAACCGATTTCCTCGATTTTACAGAATATCTGCCATCCGACATGATGCGATCTCTTACCCTGATTGGAAAGCTTGATCAAGCCTACATCGATGCATCAACTACTGTGAACGATCTCACTACCGCATGGGCAAAATTACCGACACTCCCAGTCGACCAACGTCCTGCACCGGTCCAGCTGCGCAAAGATATATCCGAGAATCTGAACCGCGCTGTTAGCTCGCGCGTCTTCTCCCACGCTGAAGCCGTCCGTATTCACGAGAACGTGATTAGACACTATAACCGAGCCAAGACTATACATGCGAAGCTACTGGCAATGCGCGATAACTATCCCACCGCCGAGGAACAAAAGAGCCCCTCCCAGGTTAAGTCCCCACAAACAGTTCGCACCCCTAAGATCACACTTCGGCTTGACAGCAATGGACAAAAGATCCAGAGGCCACCTCGAATCACCGTTCCCGGGGAGGTGCTTGCGCCTTACGAAATAGATTTCAATGCTTACAGCTCATTGAGCGACGAGAGCTCCGAAGAAGAAGAGGAGGAGGAGGAGGATATACCCATGTCACCTCCTAGGCGAGTCGCAACTCCGTCGACACGTATCAAGGTGGTCAAGCTCCCGAAGTCTCCTAAGCCCCCTAAGCAGAAGATTCCGAAGCCACCGCGACCACCCCGAACTCCGGCTAATCGGTCTGATAATGCGGTTCCCATGATGTCCACGAGCACTGCCTTGGCGCAACTTCAGCCGCCTCCCGAGAACGCTGTTCCCGGCAGCGCTGACGCCCCGTGGCTCCAACTGACTCCTTATGAACTTGCCAAGTTGCGTAAGAGGATGAAGAAAAATGCGGTATGGAATCCCAGCGATACCATGATAGCTCGAGAGCTCAAAAACTTGGGTCGTGGCGTCGAAGCATATAGGGCCGCCCAAAAACAAGCTGAGGAGGAGGGAAAGCCGTTTGAAGCTACCCTTCCTACTCCGGTGGTTGACGCCGAGTCTGGAGCGAAACATCCCCCCGAAGGTGCCATTAGTGCTGAGGCTTTGACGGCAGACGAGGTACAGTTAAGCAACCGCGGTATGAAATTAAATGAAGCCAAGAAGCTGAAACGTGAATCAATGGCAAGGATCGCAGCCGAGGAAGCAGAAGAATCAGCTAGGAAAATGGTAGAAGCTGCTCGCATGTTCCTTAACCACGAAGATTCTCCGCCTGTAAACGGGAGTGCGCAGGACAAAGCCCCTGAGACGAGCCAGAATCAAGGCAAGACCAATAAGTCCAAGACCAGAAAGCGAAAGCGTAACTCGATGTCGGAAACTCCCGTTGCAGAGAAACCTGAGGGAGTTCAGAGCTTACCGGCGAATCAGCCGCCCAGCCAGACGCCCAGCCAACCCGAGAAACCCCCACTAAAGCGGACCAAAACTGAGACGCCTGTTCCGTTGCCCCAATTAACTCCTCGGCCGCCATCTGTGCCACCTCCGCCCCCGGCGCCTACTGTATCTACCGCGCCAACAGAGACTCCGGTCCCTGTCCCTGTCCCGCAGCTCGGCAAGATCCCTCAGGTGGCTGCTACGTCAAAGACGCCGGTACCTGTACCCGTTCCAGTTTCTTCGGATACGTCTATGATGACTACTCGGTCTGCTGCTTCCTCGGCGGCGACGAGTCCAGCTCCGTCATCTAATATTGCTACGACGATACCCGTCAAGCCGTCGGCGGAGACTCCTATTCTGCCTCCTATCAAGACCTCGACTACGCCTATTCCCCCTCCGCCCCGGGAAATGCCCAAACGGGAAACTAGACAGAATATGCAACCAGCCCCGGCTCCAGTTTCAGCTAACCATAGGCAGTCGAGTTCTCAAAACAATACGCCTGCAACCACGCCTGCTCCCGAGTCCCAGCCTATCTCCGTACGTCGGCCTACTTCACGCGGGAAGGCTGCGAGCCAGGAGCCCCTTCCAACCTTTGCGGCCGAACGGCCTCGGCGTACGAGTACCGCTAGAAACACCCCTGCTCCAGAACTGCGTCAGCCTAGCAAACGTACTAAGCGGCCTGCTCCAGGCGTCGTGACTACGAACTCGGGCGGCACTAGCGCTATAGGAAAGCGTAAGGCAGCGCCACGTAAGAAAGCTCGCGGCGGTAACCCTAAGAAGGAGAGGGGTGCAAGCCAGCAGGCCGAGCAGGAAGTAGAGGTAGAGGTGGACGACGATGGCAATGTCATCGATCCCGACGAACCTAGATACTGCCTCTGCAACAGAGTCAGCTTCGGCACTATGATACAGTGCGATAACGTAGATGTGAGCGCAACAAAGACTACTGCAACCCCAGCATGTGGTGACAAGAAAGCACGCAAAAAGAAACTAACCAACCCCCACCTACAGAATTGCAAGCAAGAATGGTTCCACCTCGAGTGCGTGGGACTGACTGAGATACCAGCACGCACGACGAAGTGGTATTGCCCTGGATGTCGCGATCTGCTAAAAATCGGAGGAAAGGGAGAAGTGACTTCGCGAGGCGTCAAGACGTAATGCTTGATCCTCACCGCTAATCTGCTTCTAATAATTCGAGCATTATGGCTCACGCCCCTTACAATCCTCATCATCTTTGTTTTCATTCGGCATGCGTTCCTCTTTACTGATACCCGATGTCGTTTATCTGACTTTTCTTTTAAACCCAGTCGTTGACCATTGCCCGGCAGACTGTCGAATACCCAGCCTCGATTAGTCTTGGCGTGCTATCCCAGATCCGCGGGGATGCTAACATGTATACTACTCAAGAGGGCAAGGTTCTGGATGGTCCGGCGGGTTCAAAAGGATTATATTGTTTTGTGCAAACCAAAAGCTTCGAAATTCTTACATATGTTATAGCATCACTTTCGTGGTTTACTCATGCCGTCGCCAACATGGGGTATTCAATTCAAATTGTGTCTACTATCATCATGTCTCTTCAGCTTATCCATTGAAGAGCCTAATATTCACGAGACCACCTGGACTCGATAGCCCCGAAATGCTTCAAGAAATGGCAAAGCCTTATATTATAAAGGTCTGGGGATGATACCGGTCGAGTTGTTCGGTTGTAGCCAGCCTGTAGATAGTTAGAGCTACGATATTGGCTTGTAACTTTTAAATGCTAGATATTCTTAACCTTGCGTAGCCATGCAGAGAAATGATTTTAAATCTGTAATACTCTTATACCCCAACATACCCGACGACGGGGTGCTTAGTAAATACCCCTCATGCAAGATAAAAGTTACATTTAAATATCACCAATTCTGATGATCGAAATAAATGTCTTAATTCTTTCAATCTGTATTACCCTATCATTTTTCCATTTTTCCCCCTTTAAATCGTGACGCCTAAATAAATACTTACGCTCACTTCTTAGGGCTTACCTTCGTGATGGCGGCTTCCGATGATTACACGCCGTTATTCCCGATCGATCGCCCGGTTGATGGGAAAGTCAAGAACTTCATATCGCAGTTCTACGCCATATCTGATGACAGATCAAGGGACGAGGATTGGGTCAACTCCTTCCTACCTGATGCCACCGTTATTATAGGAGATAAGATGGCAGTGGGAACTGAGGGTAGGCGAGATCCAGCGGAGATAGATAAGAAACCGCATCTATACATAGAAGCTAACACGGAGGCTGCTGGCGTGTATCTAGATATTCGCCAAATGCGCAAGGGGATGTGGGAAGGAGTGCAGACGCGAAAACATAAACCTTTGGCGGTGTATCCAGCCACCTTCTATCCAGAGACGGCTTACGGCGAAGGCGAAAAAGAAAAACCGGCGGCCCGGTATATGATCGAAGGGACGTTGATTTCGACCGGGGAGAAGCTCGAGACCCTGGAGATAACGTGGGCGGCGCGCGCGATCTTAAAAGAGGAACGGGAACGGGGAGAACTGAAGTATAAGCTTTATCAAGTCTACCTGCATAAGAAACTCGATACCCACGACGAATAGCTCGGTGACTTCTCTCGTTTGCATTTGGTTTGTATGTACCATTTCTCACTCCTGTCCTGTCCTCTAGGTACGTGGTACTTGGACGGTAGAATTGCGCGGATAGGAAATCCCGCCTGATCCGTTTACCGCTAGGCGCCGGGATGATGCAATTATATAAATTCTGTCATGATGGACGCTTTTGGGTTTGCTGAAATTGCAAAACTTAGGTACCTGCTTGCGCCCTGGGTACCTGACTTAAAGTCTCAAGTCTTATGTGTATTATATACATACATGACTTGACTTAGACGGATGTCTCGCACACCAGTCTTTAACGAGAAACTAACTGTTCTAGAAATAGAAAAAGAATCAATCTGCTCTCGTGCCTAGCGCGCATACACATGGTTCTTCAGCTCGGCGTCAGCTGATCTTGTACGCCCTGATCACGATGGTGGGTTGGGGATGGGAAGGGAGCGGGAGCGGTGGGAGAAGCTGGAGTCTAGATAGGTGGCTGGCTGGCAGGGGGCGTGACTGGTTTGGTATATTATTGATTACCTAGTGTATTGATGATAGATGACGACGAAGTCCCGTGATGAAATCATTCGGAGCAAATAGTGTATCATTATTATTTGGATTCCTGGTCCGTGACCTCGAATGTGCCCCTTTTACTACTACATATGTATGTACATACGAGTTGTCTTCTTTCTTGCCCCTTTTTCTTCAAAGGAAGTCCTTTTTCGGAGCCCACGTTGTAAAGAGCTGATGACGTAGCATTGGAGCTGCTGATAAGGGGAGATTCACATGAATGCATCGAGGCATCATTCACTGCTACCTACATAATCCGTACATAGATTATTGTTCATATATATGTAAGACAAGGATAAGCTCTGTCAGTTGAAGGTTCCCAGCTGTATATTGTCTTACTCTGATCCACTTGAGCATTCCCATGCTGCCACGGCTGCATAGTGAGGGGCTCTTCGCAGCTGGGTTGTGCATGTGCATCTTTTGGACAATGGGGAAGTGGAAGAGCTGAATCCCCTTTATCATCCATCCGTCTTTATCATTAAACCATGTACCTTGTTAAAACACCCTAACCGGACTGGAATTATGCGCCGTATTGTGCTGCATTGTATTGTATAATAGTGTAGGTTAGGTAGGTACAATGTAACATAAAGGGCACCTAATGCATCTAACAATATACACATTTATCCTTGTTCCTTGCTTCTAACAACCCCCACAAACCCCCAGCATATCCTCCACATGGTGCCTATCGCGCCTATGTACTTACACGTATGTAGACTTACCCCTGTTGATTATTAGTACCTATGATATGTACTCAGATACCGTTTAATGCCCCTCCTTTCCGTTGCTGCTTGTGTTATCAGTCACATGCCTTGACTCATATAATTGCTTATGAATGAATAATAATGCGTAAGAACGGTTTGTAAAAACGGTCTAAACCGGTAACTAAGCTAACGGTTGGGAAATGTTTGTTGAGAGGTGATCGTTCCTCTTAGTCAACATTACCTTAGGTACACTAATTAGCAAGCTAACTATTATGACTAACTATTATGAGAATGGTAACCCCACGATGATAGCTTCGAAATGAATATAGAACAATATTAGCCCTACAATTATTCTATACACTACCCAAGGCAAGATGTCCGAGCGGTCTATGGAGCTTCGCTCAAGTTACCCAACTTAACCCTGCGAAAGGGGGATCGAAGTGTTGCAAAACGCGTGGGTTCGAATCCCACTCTTGTCATAACTCTTGATATCCCTAATCGGATATATCTTTTTGCCGTTGGTCGATACCGTCTCGTAGAATTCTATGGCTTATCATGTAAACAATATTGTATAACTACCTGATGCAAGTCTCCGTTTCCGAGCCGCGGTCTGCCGAATTGAGTTGCCCGTTGGTCTTTCGGCGGACTTGAGTCACTCGCAGAGCCATGTATGTAGACCATCGTGCTAATTCTTCGAGCCCGTCGGAATGCCTGGAATTGATGACATGGCTCTGGTGACGTAGATTGAATATGCAACGCAAGATGAAGTAGCTTCAGGGAAACATTATGTACATTAAGAGGTGATTGATCAACTATATTAGGTACTTATGAAATATGTACATAACCTACATGTAGCAAGATGAAGATGTGATATTAGAAGAAAAACGGAGATGACATAGGTATTTCACGTCAGAGCCAAACCGGAAAGAGGCGGTATTATTTTATGCAAACTACACTATGTAATACACTATACAGTATACACTAGGTACTTTCTGTTAAAGCAGCACTGATTCGGTACTTACATACGGAATACATAACGTATGTATATACAGGTTCCAATTCAATTGACTCAGGATTCACGTTCCTGAGGACGTGCCTTATGTACAATGGTTATCTTACAAGGTTCCTGACCTCAACTCTTCCCCCCCTCCCCTCCCCTCGGTTCTGTTCTTCCTCTAGACTTACATACCATACCTTACCTTACCTACATAACATATTTGAACAAAAGCTTTCATAGATCCGATACCCTTCTTTCTAAATACGTACATACTATACAGCAGTGCTGACAATAATCTCTTGATAACCTCGTCTATGAAAGATCTTACAAAATCGTAATAATTCCCTGCCGTTTTGTTCGGCTGCCTGCGTCTTCTTCTCCTTTGTGCTTCCCCTCCTAAACCTAGCCTCGGTGTCAATCGCGTACAACGCGCTTGTGTGTCTTTGTCCCTCCGACGAGTTGTCGAATCAACCTTGGACTCTTCGACGTAATAACCTTAACCGACTCTCAACTTATTTGCGATACTGCCCTGATTCTTCTTTCCCCCCTTTTTTTACGTACTCCCTTCGCGATATTCGTTGCGACCCCTACATTCTGAGTTGAGCTCCTTATCGAGCTCCTCCGCTGGCGAGCAGGAAACTGCCCCGGCCGTCCTGCTAGCACCGCCCTATGCCCGGTTCGTCCACCCGCGATACCTCTCCGAACTCGTCCTCCTCCGTGGGGAAAAAGAGTCGTAATAAACGATCACAAAAACTTACCGGAAGTGATATCTCAGGTTCAAAGAAGAAGGACAAGAATGTTAAAGAAAGCGGCGGGGTTGTCGCAGCGGTGACGAGACATGGGGCTAAGTTCTCGTACGTACTCCGTACCCCCTATCCAGTCGTTATCGAGCAAGTCGTTTATTCGTTGGTCGCTTGGGATTTAATCCGGCTGTAGATGGAACTTGGAACTTGTGTGTTAACTGTAAAGTAGTAGCAGCAATAATGCCAGCGATGCATCTCCGCCCTTTGACTCCCCTCTGGCGTCTCCGGAGCTGAAACCTACAGTTCCCGCATCCATACCCACGAACGGCAATGCAGTCTTCTCCCCGACGTTGGATGCGGCTTCAACGACCTCTGCATCTGCCAGCACGGCCCCGAGTGCTAATGACTGGGCGCGAGCGATGGGGCCCTTGGCTGGCTCGCCGTCAAACTTGATAAGTATCATGGGCGACTCTCCACCAACTCAACCTTCTTCGTACGAGGATCCGCGGTCCTTACCCTATGCCTGGAGTGCGCAGCAGCAGCGACAACATTTCGTAAACGGTCATGCTTATTCTGCTTCCCCCCCTACTGGTACTAGGCGACCTTTGAGCTTCCAGCTAGATGCACATTATCCCACGAATGACATTCGGTCTCAGGCGTCATCGCCTCCTGGTGTGCGAAGAAGTTCGATGCATTCACCATACCTGCCGCCTCGGATTGGGTCTCACCCGCCGTTACCTCACCAGCCTCAGGCTCATTTCTACGGTGCCCCTGATATTGACTTCGATTTGAACGGTAAAGCTGGCTTGAAGCCGGGTGAAAGGGGTTTTTACTTCGGATTTGATACTCTTCCGAACCCAAGCGGGGCTCAGACGTCGGGCAGCGATAATGTTGTTCTTGCGGGCTACGAAGGTGGCATCGATATTTACAGTGTTACAAAACATGCCGTAGAACCGCTTGCCAGTTTGAAAGGACTGCGGGGTGGTGTTTATAATGCAAAGATCCTACCCTGGAATGGCATGTCGGATCCGTACGGCATATTTCCTTTAATTGCCCTTGTTATTCATGGACCGGTAGTGCCACTGGCCACCCCCGAGATAGCTGTTGACCACCACTCTAATGAGTCGTCCAGTCCTCGGCTAGATGGTACTCATACGCCCCAGTCAGACAGCAACCAGCGACAAATAAGCATTGGAAAGGCGCTACCAATAATAGACGCCTATCAGACCACTGTCGAGATATATTCTCTAACAACTAACAGGCTCGTCGACGTACTCTTGCAGACACCAAAAACCCCTATCAAGACTCTAGTGACAAACCCAGTCTTTAGAAGTCCGCCACCAGCTGGTGCTTTCCAACTTCGCGCCGATGCTGGGAGCGTTCTAGTTTCTTCAGGGGTCACGGGCGAGTGCTGGATATACCGGCAGACGAAATGCGAGCAAGACCCTGGGTGTCAGTTTTGCTGTGTGGGTAAAGTATGGACAAGTTTGAGCGGAGGTTCAACCCCTGAGACAGATGGCAGTCAAAGCCCGCTTACTGCTGGAAAACATCCGCAGATGCCTATCGTCGCAATCAAGGGGAGGTGGTTGGCATATTGTCCACCAGCGCCTTCACCTCAGAAATCACTCAACCCGTATATTCCGGTACCGCTGGAGGGTAAAGCGCCCGGTTTAGCGACCCTTGCTCCTCCCATCTTGCCAAATGAGAGTTCGGATGTCGATCAGCCCGTTCCCGACGGCGTTATGAACCGCATAATGAGAGAAACTACCCAGGATTTCATCCAAGGAGCTCGGTGGGTTACGAAGCAGTCGGCTCAGCTATGGAAAAACTACTGGTCTAAGCCTGGCCAGCAAGCACAATCTCGCCAGCCTCAGATGGGCTCACCGCCCTGGAATGGGGGGTACTCGGGAAGACCAGATGCATCACAATTTCCTCCGACTTACGGCATACCCGGTCAGGCAGTAACTAAGGAACCGGGTCTAATATCGATTTTAGACCTACAGGGCTTGTCAAATTCAGCTGCAGTTCACCACGTTACTACGTTCAAAGCACCACTTGGTTGCAGCTTTTTGTCGTTCTCTCCTACTGGTCTATCTATATTCACTGCGAGCAGCAAAGGAGATGTACAGACTGTGTGGGATCTGATGCGTATTCAATACACGAAGTCCTCGGCCTTGCAAAATTCGCAATTGACTAACGGCCACACGACGCGAGTAAGGCAGGTCGCACAATTTTCGCGGATGACTGTCGCTCGTATCGTTGATGTGGCATGGGCGAGGCCAAACGGAGAGCGGGCCGCGATGGTGACCGAGAGAGGTACAGTGCACTTGCTCGATATGCCTCCGAGTGCGTTCACCTGGCCCCCTCCTCGTCGTCGGGTTAGAGTCGAGGATGGACTACCCGCGGGTCCTGAAAATGCACCCTCGGCGGTTTCGTTGGCATCAAATGCACTTAGTTCTGCTTACGGTGCCACTCGGACTCTAACTTCTCGCCATCGGCGTACGAGCTCAAACTCGCAAACGCCGTCCACCATCATGGACCGCGCTGGATATGGAGGCAAGGTACTTGCTGCAGGAATTAGTCATTCCTTGGGAAACGCGGGGACCGCCATCAGCCAGCTACGGCACACAGGAGAGAACCGTGTCAGCCTACCACCCGGTAGCATGTTGCCTGGTCCGTTCTGTGCGACATGGGTTACTGGTAAGAAGTATCACAACCTATTCGTATTAGGAGATGGGCTAGTTAGGACTTTTCCTGGAAAAAGCAGAAGACCAATAGCCGGAAAGGACAAATCTCGTTTCCAGCGTGGCAATCAGTACAGGGATTTCAAGTTGAATCACTTGCCTGACGATTTGATTGCGCCGTCTATTAAGCAGATTATCGACCCTATCGAGGATCTTGACCCCATTAACCAAGAACATGACGGCGGCAACACTCTAGTTTTTAATCCTCGACCACAACTTACCGACGCCGAATATAGCCCTGAGACTTTCATCCCGCAAGCTGAGATAGAGTCTAGCGCACCCTACCAGCCTTTCCACACTGATAGACGGGTGGGACTATATTTATATGGTGACGGGTCTGCAACTTCTGTATCTGAACTTCGCCAGGCTGCGGCCCCGGAGGATACGCCGAGGCGCGGCAAAACTCGGCGGTCCTGGACACCCCCGAAACAGCCATGGGCTTTCGGAGAAGTCTTAAACGTGGACAGGGTGAACGTGGGGATAGTACACTTCATTGAAGAGGATATTAGCACCAGCGTCGATGACCACCGTGCTCTACCCGCCTCAGCTATGGAGCGAGTCCTGCAGGTTGGCGAGAACGATGAGCAAATCGTAGTCACGACCCGACGGCGTAGAGGCGGTAATAGATCTACGGACGCCGACGAAGATGGATTCTTTGAGGATGATTGCGAAGTACTTGATTTTGCGGACCAGAGGGTTTGAGGTATATGCCAAACTTGGAGGAATTGGCCTTGTTACTTGTATAGGCGTTTCGGTTCAACACGGGAGCTTGATTCTCAGACTGCGCAAACATGTGCGAGAGGCAACAGACAAAGCTATCTCTGCGAACACACCCTGTTAAGACCCTCGCTTATCTGGTTTGGATTCGAAAGGCACGGAACGGTGGGATTGGCGTCTATTGCATAAGATCATATTGCATTGCATTGCAGACACGAACTATATAGTCCCAACAATACGGAGTTGAGAACACAACTCAATTAGATACCGTCAAATCCCCTCTGGCATTCATCTTCCAGGACGTGAACTGTGTTGATTATTGTTCATTTTTTTCTCTTTTACCATTAGGGGTTTATTACGTAGATTTAGCAACATAGATCGGCAAGCTGCCTCAATATAACGCTTGCAACGCCATAACTAGAGTCCAATCAAGTCCAACTTCGCCCAATTTCTCCGCGTATTTGAAGTACACGTTTTTTTATTCCCGGAGCCAATACCACCTACGCCTTCTTCTTAGATGCTGCGGCCTTAGCCTTAGCAGCCTTCTTCCTGTTGCTACGGATCATGACGACGCTCAGGAACGAGCCGACAACGGCGCATCCAAGTAGGATGAGGATAACGGGTAAACGAATAGCCCAGACCCGCGGTGGGAAGAAGTTGTGGAGTGGGTGGTCTGAATCGACAAAGGGCTATACGTAGATGTGTTAGACTACGGGATTGAGATAAAAGGGGGTAAATAATGTTGCCGTACCATAGCCAACGTCCAGATCGAATAGTAGAGAAAGACGACGGAGGCGGCCACCAACATGGCTAAACCGACAAGAGTACCGAGCTGCAAGGTGGTATGAGGTTAGTAAGATTGGAAGCTATATCATGGTGCAATGCGCACAGCGCACGGCGCAAGAAGTCGAAGACGAAAGAGGGGGATATATAGACGTACCATTGTCGATTACAAGATGATAAACGAATAGATTTTAGGTTTAGGTAAGGAACGTGGTGAGTTGGTAAGTAGATAGTTGGTATAGGTTTTGTCTGAGTCTGGTTGCTGTTGAGGTAGATGATGACCTGGCTTGAAATCGAAGTCTCCTATGGAACCAAGGAAACGAGACGCGACACGAATAGCGAATTGAACTACATAGGTCTAAGGGCCTGGGGGCTTGGTTATGTGGCTTGTACCTATTGTACAATACATACTGTCTTAGGTACATAGGAACCTACTAAGCTAATGCAGGTGTGTTAAGTTTAGGTGTTACCAGTGGTCCCACTTTCCCAAGAGCTATGTACCTAATCCAGCCTCGTCCAAACTTTCGTCACGTTCACATTTGCCCTTGCCTGCTTCAACTTTTTTCCATCGCCCAACTTCATCCTTTTTCAACGACAACTTTCCCAACGGCGGGGGATAACTAACTAGTTGGTTGTACCTCGGCACCCAGGTCATCAATTTACTACTATAGCCTATATAATTTATTCCAGGGTAGTAAGAGACGATGGCCGAAGTCGAGACGCGCCACCTAGGCGAACGATCGCCGAACGAAGTTCCCGTTCCTCGCTCTCCCCGTCGCGATCTCGATCGTGGTCAACGTCGCGATGGTGGTGATACGTATAGACCTGCGCGCGACCGCGGCCGTCGCTCACCTCCCCGGCAACGTTCGCCACCTCGTCAGCGCACGCCGCCCAAGATGCCTACCGAGGAGGAGAAGCAGGCGGCAGCAAAAGCCGAGTACCAGAAGCTTTTAGGTATGCGATCGGGAGGAACGTATATCCCTCCTGCACGTCTGCGAGCGCTGCAGGCCCAGATCACGGATAAGACCAGCAAGGAATATCAGCGGATGGCCTGGGAGGCGTTGAAGAAGAGTATTAACGGCCTTATCAATAAGGTCAACGTCTCCAACATTAAACATATCGTCCCGGAATTGTTCCAGGAGAATCTGGTCAGGGGACGGGGACTCTTTTGCAGAAGCATCATGAAAGCGCAAGCGGCAAGTTTGCCATTTACCCCGGTCCTAGCAGCCATGGCGGCTATCGTCAACACGAAGCTACCGCAGGTTGGTGAGCTACTTGTTAAAAGACTGGTTGTCCAATTCAGGAAAGCGTTCAAGCGGAATGACAAGGCGGTTTGTTTATCATCGACTACGTTCATTGCGCATCTGGTCAATCAACAGGTAGTGCACGAGATGTTGGCCGCCCAGATGCTGGTCTTGCTATTACAGAAACCAACGGATGACAGCGTGGAGATTGCGGTTGGTCTGACGAAGGAAGTGGGACAGCATCTGGAGGACATGAACCCGGCCATTGCAGGTATCGTCTTTGACCAATTCAGAAATATCCTTCATGAGGCGGATATCGACAAGCGGGTACAGTTCATGATTGAGGTTCTATTCCAAGTACGGAAGGACAAATTCAAGGATAACCCTGCGATCAAGGAGGAGCTAGATTTAATCGAGGAGGAAGATCAGATTACACATAAGATTGACCTAAGCGCGGACCTGGACGTCCAGGATGGACTCAACATTTTCAAATTTGATCCGGAATGGGAGGAAAACGAAGCAGCTTATAAGAGGCTACGAGCGGAGATTCTTGGAGAGGGAAGTGACGACGATGAAGATGACGACGATGAGGATGAAAGCTCTGAGGAAGAAGACGAGGAGCAAAAAGCCATGGAGATCAAGGACCAGTCTAACACCGACCTCGTCAATCTCCGTAAAACCATCTACCTCACCATTATGAGCAGCATGGACCCCGAAGAATGTGTCCATAAGCTCATGAAGATTAACCTACCAGCTGGCCAGGAGCCTGAGCTACCTTCTATGGTGGTAGAGTGCTGTAGTCAGGAAAAGACGTATTCAAAGTTTTTCGGCTTGATTGGGGAAAGGTTTGCCAAGATCAATCGATTATGGTGTGACCTTTTTACCCAGAGCTTTGAAAAATATTATGAAACGATTCACCGATACGAGACAAATCGACTACGAAACATTGCGAGATTCTTTGGCCACATGTTTGGTTCGGACGCTATCGGCTGGCACGCTATGTCCGTCATACATCTAAACGAAGAGGAGACGACCTCTGCTAGCAGAATTTTCATCAAGATCCTATTCCAAGAGATCTCAGAAGAGCTCGGCATGACGAAGTTACAGGCGCGAATGCGGGAGGATATGCTGCAAGAAAGCTTTACGGGTCTGTTCCCACGCGACAACCCCCGTAACGTACGATTCTCGATCAATTACTTTACTAGTATCGGCATGGGTGCCCTGACGGAGGAGATGAGAGAGTACTTGGCCAATATGCCGAAGCCAACTCTTCCCGCACCTCCTGCTGCCGACGATTCCGACTCAGATTCCGTATCTAGCTACTCATCATATACTGGTTCCTCCTATTCGTCTAGGTCTAGATCTCGTACGCCGCCACGAAGGGCTCTTGGTAGAGGCCGATCGATATCTCGAACACCGCCAAGACGAGCAAGATCGGCATCATATAGCAGGAGTAGGAGTCCATCCCGCTCCCGATCGTATTCGTATAGTTCGTCTCGGAGCCCGTCTCCGCGGCGGACTAACAAGAGATATTCTGGTTCCCCTAGTCCACCTCGTGGTCGTCGCGACTCCAATTATTCACGGTACAGATCGGTAACCCCACCACCGGCACGAGGAGCTGGTAGACCACGTTCGTATAGTCGTGACCGCGGTTCCACACGATCCCGCTCATACACACCTTCACGGAGCCGCAGCCCGCCTCCTCGCAAAGCAGCAGCAAGACCACCGTCATTGAGTCGGAGCCCGCCCCCACGTAGGGCACCAGCGAGACGAGGTTCATACTCGGTTAGTCCCCCTGGTCGAGCACGCCGTGGCTCGAGCTACTCCCGATCTCGATCCCCTCCTTTACAGCGGGGCCGTTCCTCCAGATCACCATCATCACCCCCGAGGCGACGTAGGAATACTAGCTCTATCAGCAGCGCTCCCAAGAAGAGGCCGCGATACGATAGCCGGTCACCTACCCCAGTCGATAAAAAGAGAAGACGGTACAGCCACAGCCCTAGCAGATCTCGGACAGGGTCGCCGCCGCCCCGCGCCAAGCAGGATAGTAGGATTAGAGGTTAGGTATTACATATATTGAAGCGGAGGATATTTACCCCGCAAGGGAGCGTTTCCGTCAAGGTGGGGAGTATAGCGTAGGGTGGGTGTAAAGTAATGAAAAATGGACTACGGAATCCATAGTTGAGTTTCGGTGTTGGCCTTTCTCGAACTTGCTCTTGCACTTGCACTTGTGCCGGCTAGGTTTACTTCAATGTAGAATATATCACAGACTGGAGTTACCGCAGCAGTAGATTAGATATCAAAGCATTGGCCGTAATTTTGACGAGTACCTAGTACGAAGTCCCGTCGTATTATCTCTATAACCATATGCAGGATCAATGGATTCTATACCACAAGAGAATAAGCTTACCATTTCAGTTAGGGTTACTGAACATGGGGCAAAGCAACATCTTACTACTATGTCACCACCTGTTGAAGAATCGAGTGACGCCGGTGTGCGCCCTCTAAGCTGGCTGTTTGGTCTTCGTGAGGTCTCACAGCAATCAGGCTCTTCCATATTCCAGGATGAGGGCCCAGTATCTCAACCGTTACCTCCTAGTAAAGACCCGTGGTACAAGGCACCGGCCGGGTTTGAAACTAATGAGCCTGGTACTATCTTCAGGATACGTCCTGCACTAAGTACCTAATCTTGCCTTTATTGGTACATAACAGCTCGGCTTCGTATAATATACTCTACCACCAGACTTACGATAATCAACGTACTTCTCAACCGATTGACCAGTCTACAAATGTTGATATAAATTGGGTCCGTGTCGAGAGTTACTACGCGACATGACCGGACGGAGTAAGTCTTAAGTAAATGCGAATCCTCCTCGCAATAGCCATATAGGCTTCACATCCATCCATCCCCAACGCCAGACCATCCCTCCATCCATTCCCACATCTTATGGGGGCAACCTGACTCAGACTGTTTGAGTAGCATTCCAAAGGAAGCTAGCTTAGAGCCGGTCACTTGGCCTATTATTCTATTAGTAGCTTTCAGTGAGGATTAAGGTCACCAGACATACCATCTACTAGAGTGCCAGACGGATTAAGTAACGCTCATGAAGAAGTTACCAGAGTACCCAAGACTGATCGCTTAGCCTGCTATTGTGTTAGCAACTTTCAGTATAGGCCAGGACAATTGGACATACCATGTACTGGAGCGTCAGTCTCATCTTGTCAGGACTAGTAGGCCATGGGAGTGACGGGATCTTGGGCATAACGGAGGAATATCTCCATGGCGGAGGCTTGATCAGTCCCGCTTGTCTTATATTCCGAAGTCACACCTCCGCCTACGATTTTGACCTCTCGTCTCCTGAGTGCAGTGAGATTTCGGTAGTAGTAGTGAAGATATTTCGGGTCCCAGAATGTGTCTCGCAGGAAGGTGAGTCTCAGGGGTTCCTCGTGAACGCGTTGCTGGATGAGAATTGCGCCTTGTTCAAATGCCCACCGAGCCTGCTCGCGTTCCCATTGTCCAAGATCCCGTCTCCCATGGTGTCCAGGAGTCAAGGTCGGCCATGTGATCTCATGATCGCCTCTGGTACCGAGGATCAAGTCGTAATAAGTCCCCATGCGTAGCCCAGTTGGAAAGTTGAACTCGGCTATTGTTCCAGGCAGCGGTTCTCGAAGATCCTCTTCGTCCTCTCTCCACACTTGCCAGTGAATCTTTGTGATTGGCGGCTGTGACACAAGCATCTCTCGCCAGGAAACATTATTAGCCAGCCATATTTCCCGCATGCCGTAATCGAGGGTACTGCGGATCTCATCAAGCGACATGTAGCTGTATTTGGTGTGGTTGGGATACGATCCCCAGTGGAATAAGGTCGCGTTGAAAAGCTTTGGCCAAAGGTATGCGACATAGTGATTCTTGGTATACCTTTCCCAGTTCAGCGACTTAGGACTGCTGCGGAAGAACAGGGCTGTCAGGATTTTGAGAGATCCCGCGATAGTCGCCCGCCACTCCTTGCACACCCGCTGCACGTTGAGGAAAAGCTCCCTGCTATCGATGTGCAAGAAGATAATTTCGAGTATCTCGGTGACTGCGAAGGCGCGATCCCGAGCTGAAGCCTGAACCAAACTCAAAGATGAGCTCTGAGCTGAACTCCGAGTCGAACTCGGGGCTGCTCCCATCTTGGCAATGAAGATGAAAGTTGAGTGACGGGTGAAGGGTGATGATGTGTGCAGCTGGGGATAGACGAGGCGAAGGTCGCGTCAACTGAACTGATTAGCTACCTAGGTAGTTAGCAGGTGATTTCGTTGACAGACGATTGAATCCACTTACGATTGAGTGGACAGAGACGCCCAAGTGAACAGGAAAGTAAGTTTGTAGATGATTGAGTCTATGGATGATAGAGTCAACCAATATATGAAAGTTGTTTTTTTTATTTTTTTTTATGTTGTTGTGAGAGATGGGAAGAGGAAAGTTTGAAAATGTGGGATGGAGGTCAGGTATATATAGCTTCCAGAACTGGTGCATATACCAGTTTACAGTTGAAGGTATGTCACCAATACGAAGGTCTGTCACCGGTACAAACAATGACTGTGACAGACCTAAGTCCAAGGTTGTTGGAAGTGACTCAGGGTGTAATCCACGTCACCTAGGCCATAAGGGTACTGGCTGGACATGCCACACTTGACTCGATCCGCGCGGTTCTCAACTTGGCGTGGTTGACCGGCGATACCAACATCACTACCACCATGTGGGGTTACAGCGGCGGCAGTATCGCCACCGAGGCCGCCGCCGAACCGCAGCTTCGATATGCCCCTGAGCTCGACATCTCCGGGGTCGTGGTAAGAGTCCTAGTAGACCATTCCTTGGATAACATGGACATGTTAAACAAGAGCCCCATCGCCATTCCCCTAGTAGCCGCCCTCCTCGGGACAATGTCGCAATATTCCGAAGCCGCGGCGTGCGTCCGCAGCCGACTCCGTCCAGAGACCGCAAGCGAGTTCCTTAGCGCCAAGGATATGGATCTCAGCGCTTCCCTTCGAGCTTTTGCGATGAAGTACATCTATCTATAGCTATTTCATAGGCGGGGCGGCAGATGGAAGATCCGGTGTTGCGCAGTGTGTTCAATGTGGAAGGGTGGCGCGGGTTCCACGGGGTGCCTGCTATGCCTCAGGTATGTTCGTATATAAGGCTATTAGGGATGAACTCTGCCCGGTAAACCTGACGGACCAACTGGTAGAGAGGTTCTGCAGCAGGGGGGGCGGATATCACGTACGAGAGGAATGGTGTGGGCGGGCATGTGTCTGAGATCGCGAATGGGAAAGGAAGGGCGGTTAAGTGGCTTTGGAGTATTTTTGACGAATCTTATAGCCCGGCTGCGGAAGGGGGTGTAATCCGAGATGTTGCGGTAAATACTTGTTCCCTGGATAGGTAGAAGCCTGTCTGTTTCTTATTTACCTACCTATTTGTTAATGCTTGCTTGCTTTTTTCTGCAGAGCCCATCGTTAGCAAGCAATAGCGTTAGCTTGATAGCCAAAGTGCGATATAGCTTAGTTTTAACCACTTGGTATTATTCGTTATAACGTGGAGTGATCTATAATGATTAAAGTACAGTTAAGCTGTTGAGTTAGGTACCTAATCTACCTCTATACTTTGTAATAACAATATAACGATACTGTAAATATAATATGCTAGTTAAATGTGATGACATATCCGGTCTCACGTGCGCTTCTACCCCTATTACGTATATTTGATATGTTGCTCAGCTGAGGTTGCTTCCCTACACGTAGAATATGTGATTGCACTGTTTAGGTATGTTAAAAGGCTCAAACTACTGTAGATAGGTACATGACCTTACATGTTTACATGTTTACATGTTTACATGGTTAACTTGTAAGCACTCGGCCTGGCACCTTAAAGAAATTTGCTCCGTAGAGGGCAATTGATACCTACTTGCTTCCATGTCAAGCTGATCAATTATTTGCCATCTAGAGATATCATCATAGACGATTGCAAACGTAAACATAGTGTTTTACCTTTTGAATGTAGTATATATAGTTGTACATAGCCGAACTCTCTACAGAATATATTTTAGTTAACTATATTTCTATTCACTGTTTATATCCCCTCGCTTCTCGCAGACTTGTTGATTACTCCAAGTAATATAACCACGCCCAAGGTTATCAATACACCTATTATTGGCACAATATGAAGGGATATTACTGAGAGTGCTTCATTATACTAGCTGAAGCAACATAGTGTAATGCCGTCCAAAAAGGCACGCCGTCGATATCTGTTACTATTTCGTTAAGCCTCAACGCCCACCCAAACAGTTTTGAGAGACTGGTATACGTTTAGAGAGATTATGACTTTTCATTACTATATTACTATATTTAATGTTATCGACTGTACCGACGTATTGAGGCTATTAGGGGGTAAACAGAGTTTGTTTACTATTTACTTCACATATATTTACTTCGCGTATGATATATTATATTTCAACTTCACCCTTACTAGGACGTACCTATGTACTATATATATTAGGTACACTCAGGTAAATACCATACGTACGTACCTACGGAGGTGACTTACCTGGGTACTAAGGTACGTCTCGTCTAGCTAAGAGGTACTTTAGGTACCTGTCTTGTTAAGCATATCTACACCTAGGTGGTTATGTGGTAGGTACGTTAGCAGTGGCATGACTCACGAACCATCTTTCTCAAGAGAGCACGGTTAATAGTAAGGCAGGGTGTTGTACCTTAGGTACAATCCAAGCTATTCTTCGGTATACGGTATACGTACCAGTCTCGGTGGGTAAGTTATCATACACCTGTGGAGTTTTGTCCTTGACATTAGCTGGTATGAAGGTACGTGTGAAGGTACGTATCAAGATACTGACCACCCTTCATAGTCTAAAATGTGCTTGCTACTGTCACTTACCTCGACAACAACGACAACGGGGCTGAATGTTAGTGATTGTTCCCCGTTGTCAGGGTCAAAGCGGGGCGACTCGGCTCCGCATTGACTCAAGACTCACTCCGTCCGGTCATGTTGCGTGGTAAGTCTCGACACGGACCCATTTTATATCAACCTTGGACTTAGGTCTGTCACAGTCATTGTTTGTACCGGTGACAGACCTTCAACTGTAAGCTGGTCTATGCACCAGTTCTGAAAGATATATATACATGACCTCCCTCCCACATTTTCAAACTCTTTCTTCCCATCTTCTACTCATAAGCATTCAGTTGTCCAACATTAGATAACAACATCTTCAGACGACCCATTCATCATCTACAACCTATCCCATACCATTCACCATACCCTGCACCATGCCTTTCAATATGCCTTTCTTCATACCCTTCACCGGGCTCTTCACTACCAACCACCAACCCTCATCTTCCCTCGTCAAGAAGAAGCCGGCTCAGGAGCGGGTCTTCGAAATCGCCGAGCTTCTCGAGAAAATCCTTTCCTCGGTTAACAAAACCGAGCTTCTCGTAAACATGCAGCGAGTATCGAAACAATGGAGAGATGTCATTAAGGGATCGCCCAGCTTGCAGAAGGGCTTATTCTTCCGCGCCAGCCCCAACTCCATGACCCCATACAAGAGATACATCAAGAATCTCAAGTTGGCATCGGTAGCCTTACCCTTTTTCAGCGTGTACCTTTTTGAGCGCAATGACTCCGAGGACAGACCGTTCACTCATGTCTGGATGAGGGATATCATCTGGCACTTCCACTCTGATATCATAAAACCATGGCTATTCGAAGACGCATCTTGGCGCGACATGTATGTGTCTCAGCCACCCATCAAGCGGATTTTTTGGCAAATTCGCAGAGATGACCAGATGTGCCACGGATTATCCTTGCCTACAACCATTGCAGAGTTCGAATTCCCGGAGGGGTTGCGGATGGGCGACTACTACGATCTCATCCTTGGCACCAGGGGTAGACACCAAGTCTCATGGCCGAGCACGGAGAAATGGCCCCGAGGCCGCAACGATCCAGAGCCCCAAAGCCGCATCAATCCAGATAGTGAGGCTCGGTGGAAGGAAGATGTGAGATCGCGAGCTTATAAGGAACATGCAATCGTGGTTGAGCAGCATATAGTTGCGGAGGAGGCAAACCCTAAACCTAGCCGGGATGAATATTGGAACCCCAAAGACCTCCGGAAATATCAGCCAAACTTACGGATGGTAAAGGAGCTGGAGGCCAAGAAGACGGATGGGGTCATGAATTGGGGTTACAAATGGTTAGGAAAGGACAGCGCCTCAGGCATGAAGATGTTTCTTCATCGGGCGCAGAAGTGGATTCCTGAACTGGATGACTACTATTGTTAAGGGCGCTATCCCACCATATGGTATGTCTTAATCGCCTTAGCCTTCATCGAAAAATGCTAACTAGTCAACAGCCTCAGGCGATTAGCTCCGGGAGACTTCACCATAGTGTTCCTCGGTGAACCTAACTTCCTCAGTCTACTATGATAGGGAAGGGGTTACGGTTTTCGCACAGGCTTGGTTTAGTGTGGACGGGTTAAGTATGCAAAGGGCACTTCTTCTAGCTACTACCCAGGGAAATGAGAATGAGGATGGTTCTAGTTTGGTTTCGGAGGATATGGTTTGTTTATTTTCGGAAGGATAACGGAGTTAGGCGTGGACGGGCATTAGTTGTCAGGTAGACAACGTACCAAGTTACTAAGATTGGTGGGAATCAAGCTATTTGTTACTCCCATGATAATGTATTGCCTTGGTGAAGATTCAAGATCGTGATGACTATATTATACATATGTACATGAAATAAGCTTTTTGGTAATGGGTTTAGTATAACCCCTTCCGTTCGTAAGACCCGGTTGTATTCTCGAAGTGGGAGGTAAGTCTTGTATATCTAGCTACTATATAAGACTCACTCATCATTATGATAGGCTCATTAATGAACCGCCGAAGAAACTTCTATCAAGCATATGAATGATTGTATTAATAAGTTATTACAAAAACAAGTGAGTTACTACCTATATCAAGGTGTACTGGGTAAGAACAAATGTGTATAGGAATTCTAAATGCTGACCCCCTTTTATAAACATACATGATATCTAAAGGATAAAATATTCTAGGTACCTGTTATACATACAAAAAACAAGAGTTAAGATGAAATTAATATTCCTACCGCTACTACATTGAGGCGGCAGGATCGAACAGCGGAAAGTTGGGTTCGCACACGGTTCCCGGCGCAGGTAACTTGCCCTCGAGGAAGTAATTTTGGATGATGGAGTTTGTACAATTTGACGGCTGCGTGAGAGACAGGTGCTGTATGGAATGGTTAGCTCCTAGTTCGCAGGGCATAAAATAGGGGCTGAGAAAATGAAGGAGAAGGAAAAAAAAAAAAAAAAAAAAAAAAGATTACTCACGCCGTGACCGTTATGCGTAAGAAGAACACTTCCCTCGAAGCCAGAGCTCATGTTCTTAGCCGAGGCGAGCGGAGTGACGGGGTCGAAGCTGTTGCTGACGAATAACACGGGGTTCTTGGTCTTGACTTGGAAATCACCCTCGTACCGCTCCTTGGCCTCGAATCCCCATTGCGCACAGGGCGTTACGTCGTACCCCCAGGCCCAATCCCAGAACCACTTGCTGGTCTTACGATACTGCTCGAAGACGGGCTCGAGATCGGATAGTTTGTTCGTCCGCAGCTTCTTATCGCCGCAGCGGATTCCTAGGATTGCCTGGTCTTGAGACGGGATCGAGAATGCCAAGACCCGGCTCACGAACGTCTCCAGGTTGCCCTGTAGCACGTCCTCGAGCGCCTGGGCTAGGCCCGGCCAGTCCGATGGCGAGTATAGCGTGCTGAAGATGTGGGCCTTGAATAGATCGTAACTGAATACGACCGTGCCGTTGAAGACGGGCGGGTTGTTCCGGACGGTGTCGAAGAGCTCGGTCATGACTGCTTCTAACTCATCGTATGTCCTGTTTTTTGCTAGGGCGCAGTTGTTGGGCGTTGCGATACACCCGCGCATGAATTCCTCCCAAGTAGCGTCCGTGGACGCGACCATCTCGGGTTCGCCGCTAGATTCAGCTTGTTAGTTGGATTTGTTTTTGGGATGTTATACCGAGAAAAGGGGGCACATACAAAGAGTTATAGTACTCATGCGCATTCATCACGCCGTCGAGAACAACTCTCTCTACCCTGTCGGGGAACATCGCGACAACGGTAGCTCCCAGCGTAGTGCCACCCGAAATTCCTAGGAAGAAGTTAGCTTATTAGTGCGTTAAACATCAGTTTGCGACTGGGATCGCACTCACCCCAGTATCGAAGCATGCCATCTTCGTTCAGGGCGTCGACGATGGACATCATGTCCCTTGCGACGAATGCCATGCCGACAAATTGGCCGGTCTCTTTCTGCTGGTCGTGGCACCGGGTCGCAATAATGCTACCCTCCGCCCAGAGTTTACCCACCGTCGAGTCCGCACTGCCAGCCAGGCTATTTCCCATAGCGGCGTAATACCCTGTGGTATCGTCGGGCCAGCATGAGAACCGAAGAGTTTTACCCGTTCCTCTATACAGCATTGTTAGTATATGCGATGATATGGGGTATCGTGAGGGAAACGACTTACTTACCTTGGGTCCCAACTTATGAGATCGTGGTAACCTCCAGTAGTCCTATTGTAATAATATACGTGTTAGTTAGTCCTTCTTTAGGTTATACCGAACTGAAGAGCTCGGCAATATTAAACTAGTATCAAACATACGGGCCCATCAGCTCTGCATAAGCAAGCATACTTTCTAGACCGTCTTGGCCCGGACCGCCGAAGTTGAGGAGAATGCTACCGCGCTTCGGCTGCTTCCGAGCCGGGTACTTGATTAGATCGAGATTGAGAGTGTCGCTACGAGTCTTGTCGGTGTAGTCGAGCGGGACGGGCAGTTGGGCGCATTGCACCGGGAGTGTAGTGTTGAGTTTGCATGGTCCCCATTTGATGTCTGTATTATTACTGCGGCGGACGGTTGCCGCTTTGCTGGCATGGGGTACGAGCAAAAGGAATAACGGCAGGAGAGTCTTCGAAAATATCATGTTGAATTTAGTTACTTATGAAGCTGAGATGTCATGTAAATTTCGATAACTCTAGGTAGTCGAGGCATTTCGAATCCTTTTATATATTTACAAAAGTAACTTCATGACGGTCACAAATGAACGTTGCCATCCTCCTATGTCACGATCCTGTATTATAGCCCCATTTACAGCCGAAAGTGCCATCGACGTAAATCTGGAGAAGCTTATTCTCATACAGCGAATCAATTCAATTCCTCTTTTGCTTCTGAATACGTTAGCCAATCAAGGTCTTTGTTCTGTAAGATTCATACGGCTCTTGGCAAATCGAGAATACGCCGTATCTCCTATTGCGGCCTATCTCAGCCCTACGCTTAGCCCGCTGGATCTTGGCGTCAGAGCTGAGCGCTGCTCGCGATTCCGCTTCTTGTACAGCCAAGACTTGGCGAAAGGATGATTGTCAGGTCTATACGTCATCTATAAGGCATGTATACGGCGTATAACTCTCTACAATATTACGTAAATAAGAGGCTTATTTCTTATTTCAACTTAAACTAAATGCTTTGGGTTGATTAACCTCGCTTTTCATCCACCTCGTGCTCTCTTTTCTATTGATAACTCATAGCTTCGGTTTTGGTTAGCAAAACAAGCGCATTTAATACTAACTAACTTAAATACGATCCTACTTACGATGAGTACTTGGTCTAAGTCATATCTGCCGCCGCAGCTGAGTTGCGGTACCTGAGAGTACTTCCGTGCCAGTTCCTCTCTGGTATTCTGGAGGACCTAAAGAATCTCATTGTTAGCAATTGATTACCCCGAATTCAGTATTTAATACTAAGACGCACGTTTATATACGACTGCTCAGGGTTCTCTCTCAGAGTCCTAAGGAAAGCCCAAGACATGGCACCAGTGGGTGCTCCGGCAATGGATGTATCCGCAGAGGTCTGATCGTCAGCGCATCCAGAGAACATCCAGACATCTTTGCCTTCCGTCTCCCAATGCTCCTCGTAATTCTCAACGGCGAGCCCATCCTCATCAACATCCTCGTTCCGACGATGATGCAGTCCGTTGAAGAAGTCAGTGGCACCGCCAAGTAGCATCTTAGCGTCCTCTACTTTAGACATGGAAAAGCCGCTTTCGAAAAGTCCCTCGGCTGCGCGAATCAACCCGATTCCTTTCTTGATGGTGTCAACCATATTGACGTTGCCATCTTCGTCGGGTCGATAGACGTAAGGCAATTCGCAGGCCGAGCCGGAATGACAGCAATCAAAGAGTATGGTAAGACGGCATTCTGGGTTCACTGGGGAGACGATCGATCGATGCAACTAGGCAACGAATTATATTAGTGTGGGGTCTTGGAGAAGTAATATCAGAAGTAATATCAAGGGCGTCGAACTTGGCCGAGAACTCACTATTTCGCTCGAAATCTGTCCGTTTTCTGCAAAGTCAACCGGACATATCGTATCATCGAAGCTGGTTCACATTAGGGGTTAAAAATCCTAGACCGTTTACTTACATCGACAAACTTACCCTGAAGGCCGATCTCTTGAATTACTCCTAACCTGGGCTATGCATTAGGTTAAGTACCTACGTATTAGCCCTCACTACATGTATAGTCGCAACTAAATAGCTAACCTCCATGGCCAGAGTAGCTCAGCCAAAGTATATCACCAGGCTGATTTCTGGTAACCAGCCAGTTGATCGCTGCCAAAATGTTGGCGCCCGTTGGATAAAATGGTGTACCATCATTTTCAGGGGTATCCGATAACATGACCATGTCGTGAGCGCTGGGTGAGAAGCCCCTCTCCTCGACGAGGAAGTTCCTGATATTTTCGGCATCATTGATGCAGCCATTTAATTCATGCTCAGATCCGAAGTAGTTGATGCCAATAAGAAGAGCTTTCTTGCGGGCCATGATGCGACTTAAATCAGACGTAAACGTAAACGTAAATAGTTATCTTACCTAAGGTAGGTAAACCCTATGGAGGTTGAGAATGCGCATTCAAAAAGACGGATATGCACTTGATCTAAATATATAATATACCTAAACATGCCGTATTCCCGAGCTTGATATTAGTGAAACGGCGGCCTCAAATGATTTACTATGTCAGACACCTTATAGGCTTATAAGGTAACACTGCATACAGGTACAGACCCGTATTGTACAGATGTGGATCCGTACCTAGGTAGCTATAGTGATCCAGGCACTCATGCAATGAGGTAGTTGCTACCTACCTATGTACATCTACGCGTATAAACAATAGCTAGATCCTAATCTTTATAATCCTAATCTTATTAGGAAATCGCACAGATGTAAATTTTGGTGGAGCATGGGCATGGGCATGGATGGGCATGATGCATGATAGATACCTAACATAATGCTTCATGCCTGGCATGTACACTATTTCAGGGGAATTTGATTTGTTGCACGTGTTATCCAGAGTTATTAGGCAGGGGATATCTGTACCTACATCTACCTATGTAAATATAAATATAAAATATAAATTACCTACTATGTAAAGCTTTTTCGTCGTAGGGCTGAATCCGTAGACCGCTAATAGGTATTGTGCATCCGTACCGGGAATAAATGATAGAAGGTAGAAGGAATCAAGGCTTATTAAGAAAACTTTCCTTGCTTGCTTACGTCACATGTTTTCGGAGGAAAGTTTTCGCTTCTAAATTCCAACCGGGGGGGGGAGGGCTCAAAATTCAAGTGCACGGACCATATGACAGTAAAACTGATAAGATAAGCTTTTGACCAATCAAATTAGCTGTTGTAAGGGTGGGTAGGGGATGCACCCAATCAAATCAATAGACGATGTTGACAGTAAAACTGATAAGAGATAAGCACACGTGAGTTGACAGTGAAATTGATAAGATAAGACTTATAGCCAATAAGCGCTTCCCGTAAGTAGAAATATGGGCCAGTGGCAAAGCGTTACGTTAATCGACCAATAAGAGGCTACCGTGGCCAGGCTAGATTTCGAGAAAACACGCTAGAACGCCCTGGTAATAGAAAGGAGGGTCGGCTGTAAATATTCAGCCAATCAAATAAGGCGCACGCACCCCACCGGAAGCCTCGGACTCACAGCTTGGTGAGCTAGCCAATCAAATCAAGTGCAGCCCCAAATTGGTGTTACCCAAAACAACAGCTTTGACCTTCAAGCTCTTTCGATAGGAGATAAGTCTGACGTAATCTCTTTCTTATATATACGGCACCACCCCCTTCTCGAGATTCGAGCTTTTTTACCTAATACACCTTTTACCTCACCACCACACACGTATTGCTTACCTACTAATAACGCGATATCGTGAGCTTCACTTTTGCTAATCTAATCTCCAGCTGACTCATCTGCTAATCTATTAATTTAATCCCCAGTGGGCTCATTTGCTAATCTAATCTCTCAGTAGCTTATATATACAATAACCACCCTTTTAGCATTCAGCCTCTTTTTCCTTTTACACCTTTTACCTCACCACCACACACGTATTGCTTGCCTGCTAAAATTACGATATCGTGAGCTTCATTTGCTAATCTAATCCCCGGTGACTCATTTGCTAATCTAATCTCTCACCACCACACACATATCCCTTACCTACTAATATTACGGTATCGCGAGCTTCACTTTTACTAATTTAACCCTTAGCTGATTCGTGTGCTAATCCAATCAGCTGACTCATCTACTAATATAATCTTTCACCACCATACACACATCGCTAACCTACCAATATCACGATATCGTGAGCTTCATTTTTACTGATTTGATCCTCAGCTGACTTATTTGCTAATCTCTCAGTGGCTTATATATATAATAACCTCCCTTTTAGCATTCAGCCTTTTTTTCCTTCCTTTTACACCATTTTACTCAACACCATTCCTGTATTACTGCCTACTAATATCACGATATCGTGAGCCTCACTTTTGCCTGCCGTTGCAAGGCCTCGCACGAGGTTATTGACAGGTATGCGCTGCCAGCTTAGCCTCTGTACCACGTGACTAGCTTGCTTATCTTATCTCTTACAGTTGACTATATATACGACCTCTCCCTCCCCCTGGCTACTCGACTGCTCTCCTCCTACGTCTTTTTTTCCTGGCCTCTCAACACCACGAACTCGCTATTTTGCTACTCCAAAGGCAGTATCGTGAGCCTCACTTTTGCTTCAATGAGGTCCCTCTGAGATGTCTGATAACGGGGGTGGCGACAGCGTGGCCGACCCCGTTGACAGCCCTGGTAAGCTAGCTGAATCACGTGCTGTAGATTGTAAGATAGAGAGGCCTGCCGCAGGCAATAGCCCGCTGCAAGCGCCCCCCGGGGAGGGCCGCCGGAGGCAACGGGGGGTATAGGGGGGTGTCCCCCTGTATTAGAAATATTAATTTTATATAGGGTAGCCACCCTGTATGTCGCTATCCTGTAGATCCTATTGGCCACATGCATAGTTATGGGGTAAGTTACGTAGACTTTTTTTTGTCGCATATATGATATAATTGAATATATTACTTTTTTACATGCAGATAAGCAATTTAAAATCGTAACGAAGTTATGATTTTCATGTTATGACGAAAAGGTTTTCGTCCCTAAAATAGTGCTTGCTCAATTTTCACATTGTCTAGTCCCCTTAACCGAAAGCGAGTTCAACACTTCCGGCATTTCCAACCCACGAATCACACTTCGGTATCATGAAATCTTCCCCATCTCGGCTATAAGCAGCCCAACCAACAACTCCCTCCTAGCTTATCTAAATGCCTTTCTTTCTATAAGTGCGAATCCGACTACATAGTCACGCGGCACAGCAGAAGAGAACTAGGTACCTACCTATTCATCCTTGCTATGTCTGAATATAAAATGACAAGCTTTCCAACTGCTATGGAATGCCAGACTTTCAATGCGGCTCAACCAGATGCATCTATTCAGTCTCAGAATGTCTCTTAGAAGTATTGCTTTAGGTGGGCTACTAGCTTTCGCTGGCTTGGCCGAGTCTAAGGCTGTTAAGACACACAGCGGAATAGTCCATGGCGGTCAGTGCAGCACAACCGACATAGACTACTTCTACTCGATTCCGTACGCCAAACCACCTCTAGGCGAACTACGCTTTGCACCTCCGGAGCCCTACAATAATTCGGGCCGCGTGATCAACGCCACGACACCGGCACCGGCATGCATTCAGTTCGGGGAATTGTTCGCCGAGACGACTGCGACGAGCGAAGATTGGTGGGTGGCTCCGTGTGGTTATCTACCTAAACTTGAGTAGGCCTTCACTAACTCGTATAAAATATACATAGCCTTTTCCTGGATGTGTGGGCTCCGGCCTCTGCTACTCCCAAGTCAAACCTTCCCGTGAAGGTGTGGCTATATGGAGGAAGCAATGCAGTTGGTGGAATTTCAGATCCGACATATAATGGCTGCTTCTCTGCTGCGGACTCCATTGTCGTTTCCATCAACTACCGCGTCGGTCCTTTGGGATACTTGGCACTGTCGGATCTTGGCCTCACCGGAAACTATGGCATCATGGATCAACTTCTTGGCCTACGCTGGGTGCAGGACAATATCGCAGCGTTTGGCGGTGATCCGGTAGGTCTATACCCTCGTCACCTTACCCCCATCACGTTAAACAATAACTGTGATGCACAGCATCACACAGAGTACCGAATGTTAATAACAATTCCACTTTAGAGAAAAGTCTTACTCTTTGGGCAGTCCGCCGGCGCTTTGGACGCTTCCATTCTTGCTACGTTACCCGAAGCACCCCAATTAATGCGAGCCGCTGCTTTAGAATCTGGAGCCGGGAGAGATATAGTAACAGTGGCCGACGCGAAAGTGTGGTATTCAGAGTTCCTTTACGCGATGAACTGCACGAAACAAGACGTATGTGTCACGCTCCAATCTCTATTAATTTATCCGGCATACTTATTAGTACTTAGTTATCATGTCTTCGAAGCGCTCATGTCGATGGACTTCGAGCTGCAGTGGCCGCGATGCCAAGCACTAGCCTAATCACCCTTAACACGGCCCTCGTCAATAATGGAACAAGGATCGCTTGGACTCCCGTGATCGATGGAAAGGTAATCAAAGATCAACCAACAACTATCGGGGTTAGGGTCCCTTCAATACTAGGCTCAACTACTAGGGAGGGCTCTCTACTTGTCTTAGCCTCCTACACCACAACATGGAAGGGAGAAGCTCCTAGCCTATCGGACTACGATGATTTCCTAACCCTAAACTTTGGACCACTGGCGACACGGGTAAATGAGACGTTTCCGTTAGCCTCTACCTTTAACGGCTCAACACTTACCGCTATGGAGGTTATGCTCACACAGGTAACATACCAGTGTTCATCATACCGGGCTTTACAAGCTGCAGAGAAGAAAGGAATTCCTGTATGGAGTTACCGATTCGCTCACGTGCCTAGTTGCGCTTGGCTTGGCCCGATAGAGGCGGACTCGATACCCAGCCTAGGGGCAACGCACACGAGCGAGATCCCATTCGTGTTCAACTTCACCAGTTCGATGCCACCCCCTAACGGAAACTGCACCTTCTCAAAAGCAGAGCAGACAATGTCCCATGAGATGAGTCGTATGTGGACAAACATGGCACAGATGGGGGTACCGGATGACACGAATACTTGGCCTGCCTGGACATCGGACGAAAGTAAAGGTGTAGTGTTCAGTGATGCAATGGATGTCGGTGTAGTTGATTATTCTACTTGTGATTTCTGGGGGGAGATTAATGAGGATCTGAATGAGTACTGGAGGTCGCAATCAAGCCATGTATGATGCCACCTCTATGAAGTCTGGATAAGCTAATTCTGGTTTCTTACCCCTCGACAAGGATTGGGGGCTCAGCAAGAATCTAATATTCGTCTAAGTAAAACGTTTTGTTCATAAAACTAAGCTCCGTACCCTAATCTATTCCGCTATCTAGCGTAATTCAATAATATGGTACTAATATAGAATTCTTACTACCTCCTATTCATTGTGTCGATGGCCCATCTTCTTAAAGACCTCATATGCTCGAGCTGCACAACCGACACCGCCCAGTGTTAGCATTATCCCGTTAAACAGAATCAATATGCCATAGCTAGTCCCGTAACTCCGTGGCCACCAGAACGTTTTATCTGTCCCATTGGCTATCAGAACTTCACTTATAGGCCCGCTTACAATGCTACCAACTCCTCTCGCCGCAGCGGCAAATCCCCACAGTACGCCTAAATCGGCATGGGGAGCTCTCTTCTGTATCTCAAGACCTATGCCGACCCACGTTGAGCTCCAGCCGCCAGCGAAAACGCCATAGAAGAAGGCAAAAGCGCATAGAGCCCCAAAGTTCGCTGCGAACCCCCAGGCGAAGAAGACGGTAACGGCAGCACCTAGAGATAGGAGAAGTAGCGATATAGAGACATGGTAACGGTCAACTAAGTATCCAGTGCCGATGGCACCGATAACCGTGGCAGCATTGTAGAGCGATAGCATGCCAGCTGCGTCTAATGGCGATGCGCCAAAGCGCTGGGCGAATGCTATGCCTTACATTAGCCTACTAAAGCCGAGAATAGCCACGAAGAACAATAAACGGTGCGATACACATACACGGCAGGTGAATACCAGGCAAGAAGTTCCCAAGAGCCTGGAAAATATTACCGGCTTGAAGGATGGCGAATATCGGCGTAATAATAAATCCCAAAGTCCCGAAGCCAGAAGACACGGCGGCACGTGGTGGCTTAACTCGCGGGCGAAGGAAGTAAATTGAGGGGATAGATAGAGTAGTGACGGCGATAAACCAAGCAATCAACATAGTCCGGTGTCCGTACTTTTCGAGGCCCCATGTCATCAGCACGCTGTTGCACGTCGTTAGCCGTAGAATAGGTATGGGATGAATACCTATCACACGTCACCATACATACGGAACGATGATCCCACCCATGCCCGCGCCACTCTCCTGGATTCCAAAGGCGAGGCCTTTGCGTTCGACAAACCACTCGTTCAGAAACTGTATCGTCACCGTATTCACGACACTGGCTCCGAGTCCGTACAGGATGCCCTGCGTCAGAAGTAAATGCCACACCTCGGAAGCAAACGCGGATGCAAGTATGGCGAGACATGTGACAGCCGATCCGACAACGAGGGCTGGCCGTCTGTATGCCTGATATCGCTGCAAGATGATGAAAGATGGGGGCGACGTCAAGTATAGGATTCCCTAGGTAAGAACCAACGTTAGGTTTTTTTTTCGCAGAGAAATACGAAATTGGCGTTTGTTCCTGTAGATAGGTAACAGATAGGTAAATGTCAACGTACCAGCGCGGTGGTACCAACCGCAGGCAGACCCTCGGGATGGTCAGAAAAGGGCGGATGGGAGGAGAAGTAGCTCTGAAAGACGCCGTATGAGAAAGGAAATCCCCACGTTAACCCGATCATCAGAAAACAGCCGACCCAGAGAAAAAGCCACGCGTGTTTACCGCGATCCGGTTCTGGGTAGGCGTGAGCCGGCGCTCTCTCCTGGTCCTCTCCTAAATGGCCAAATTCGATTAATTCCGAGTTGGGGTCTTCAACCGGAACTAACTCTTGGCGGTCCATTGTTTACTCGTTACCCAAGTACCTATTTATATATGAGCCTTTTTATTTTATTTTTATAGATAGATAGATAGGTAGGTAGTTAGTTAGTTTGCTCGGGTCTGCTATATATATATATATATATCTTTTATACATAATGATTGAGGCACGTAAGCCAGCATGTAGTTTACTTTGACTGACTTGACTTGGCACGCCCTAAACTAGCCGATATATGATAACTTCGGCCGTGATCGGAAAAGCTTCCTAGGAGGGGACGTCAAGGGGTGGGGCATCGCACACGCATTTCGTAATAAGCTGTCTTTGTTCTATATAATATTATCATTACTAATCTTGGCTTGGGATAAAAGCTGCGTGATTGAAGCTCTCTAACCTTGGGTACCTAAGTCTAGCACCTCGGCCGAGTGGCGCTAAAGATTAAAGTCCTACAGGGTAGTTGGACGCCAATGCTCAATCTCAATAGTCCAATTTAAGCTCAAGATAGACAATTCCAGTGAACTTGGTAAAATGTCAAACATTTTCAAAATATAGAAGCAAACGATAACTGCAAGGTGCTAGATAATGTGTTTAATTTCCAATTGTATTATCCAAACGCGAGAAGTCTGGTTCTAAGCTCTCACGCCGTTCTAAGAGACTCTCCCAGAATGCCATGTTCTCAGTGTTGTCATAGGTTTACCAAGCTTTTCGCTTTCCCTCATAAGTCCACAACTTGCCGCCTGATTCTCTGGTAGCCTCATTAATCACCTTGAAGGTGCCGTCACAAGAGTCCTTTATAGTGACAAGAGCTTCGTCTAGGCCAACTGATCTCGCTGATGTGTTTCCCATATCGGTCTGGGTCCATCTAATAGGGAGAAATGAGTAAAGTCTATTCCAGAGAGAATAGTGATTTATTACTCACCCTGGATCTATCACAAATGCGATGATGTGGTCCTCTTCCTCATTAATGCTCTTTGTGATCCAATGAACAGCGGCCTTTGAAGGGCCATAAACAGCGTTGGGATATGAATACATTTCCTAAACGATAGGCATATTAGCATACTTGGACGTGGTCAAAACATATGAATCTTCCCACCTCTATAGACCCAGCACCCGAACCGATAGTCACGAATTTAGGAGCAGTGGCCTTGCGAAGAAGCGGTAGGGTAGCTTGAAATAGTCGTAGCACGCCGAAGACATTAACATCCATAGTCCGATACATATCCTCAATCTTTGCATCGACAACTTTAGTAAAACCGAGACAGATGGCGGCGTTAGCAATTACGATATCTAAATGATCAATTCCCTGCTTCTGGAGTTCCTTTACAGCATCCACGGCGTCTGTGTTGCTCGTAGCTTCGACCTTCACGATAATGAGGCTGCTTCCCGGGGCTTTAGGTAGGCTGGCAAGCTCCTTAGACGTGGGATGCTCCGGGTTGCGGTTAGCAGCAATGACTGTATAATTAGGCAGGGCGAGGTAGCGCTCGGCAAGGCCCTTACCAATACCTCGATTGGCACCGGTTATTAGAACAATAGTAGAAGCCATTGCTATTGTGTTTGTAAATGGAATGATCAAGAAAGATGTCTCCGAGAATTTATTCTAAGCGTCCCTACCTTTATTAGATATTGTTTTTTATATATGGAAAGACTACTTAGAGAAATATCAAGAAAAAATGTTAGGTTACACTCGTGTAAAAGCGAGATTCGGAGGTATACGCAGTAATCGTAACCACGGAAAGTTGGCAAACCAGAATTAGGATGCGACATAGTAGCATTACAAATTCACGGATGGATTGAGAAGGTTAGATGGGGTAATATTATCTCAATAAAGCTAGTATAAAAATGTTCGTTTAAATATTTGGCCGAGATTATGTAGGCACCTATAAGACGGGCTTCCACGGAAAGCCACCATCCTTATATCCCCTTGACTAGCATTCAACTACACCTCCACTATTTTCAGTATTGATACATAAGGATTGGCCAGGAAAGAAAAGATGGTTAAATCGACCAATGATATTTACGGTTTATACTAATTGTTGGACCTTTTCCTATCATGTTAATGAACGTCAAGTCTTAAGTACTAATACTGAAAACAGTGGAGGTGTAGTTAAATGTCAGTCAAGGGGATAATTCATCAACCTAACTAAAAGCTAATAACTTGGGTACGAAACTACCCAAGGTTGCAAAACTAACGTCTCAAAAGATAGAAGCATTAGGTTAGGTACGTAATACTTTGAACGGCGACTTTTACCTACCTAGGCAATTCCTTTTTAGCAAAAGACCACCCCGGAAAACATTTCGGGTTTTATTAGGTAGCTTTGTCATAACAACCTAAGCTACAAGTATCGTTACCGGAGAATTATTGAGTATTGTCCGGGACTTATTCGATCATTTCGGATCCAAAGCAAAAGGTGATTAGAGGTAAGTGAATGAAGTCGAGTATATGCGAATCTAAATTCCGATCTAAATACCGAAATTTTGTAGTTTAACTGTCCTGGTTAGGTACGTGGTGTAACCCTGGCCCGCATTCCACCATCCGGTCCCATTAGCCCTTTGCCTTCTTAAAGGTCACCTGTAAGACCGGTCCGTTTTCCGGTTTCTATTTTTCGGTCGGTCTCCCGATACCGAGTTCACCTGACGCTTAGTCACGGTTGACATCGGACACCCTGCCGTTCCCTTTAGCTAACAACTTCGGAATATAAACCCAGCTTTGCTTTTTAGTTTTCCTAGCACTCTAACAGTTCAATATCTACAGCTTAACATACACAACTGTACAACAATGGAGATTCACGAAACAGCCCGAATCTCCATTGATTCAAATGGAAGCTTCATTTATTACCGTACGAAGATCGCTTGAGAGACGTCGGCAACGAAATTCTCTAGACCTAAGTTAATCGTCGTATAGCCGCTTGACCGTGCCTATACTTCACCTGGCAGCCAGCGCCACTTACCTCGACATCGCGCACTCCACTGTATGATCATACTGCTGTATAAGACAATATCGGTGTATATTATGCTAATTTTACTTGGAAGACAGGCCAGCCCGTCGATGCATGCGCATTGCCCGTGGCGCAGTCTATCATCTCGAGGTGATGGATGCCCAATAATTTCATAGCTTGCTACGGAGGCGTCAAAATAACGGATGCACCTCTAGAGACAATCATGCTGATAAGATGCGCCCCCTTTTTTTGGCGTCCTTCTGCCCCCTTTAGATAGAACTACGCTTACCGCGAATGGATTAGTCACTATGAATCATAATGAATCATTCTGACTTGGTTCCACGTGATTACACGTGACTATACTGCCTCAAAAGTTGCTATAGTCATATAAGCTGGCAAAAATAACGTCAAAAAAGGGATGAATTCGTCAGTATAGTTGTTAGGATAGTTGCCAGCCATTTTGAGGTTATTCAGATTATTCTGGTTGGCTACGAACTACGGAGCTTATCCCCCTTCCATCATCACCATCATCCGCCATGGCCACATCTCTCAAGCCTACCGAAACCATGGATTTCTACGACATTGCTATGAGCCCACCAGCATCAGTGAACCCCTGGAAGGCTCGATTGGCGCTGAACTTCAAAGATATTCCGCATAAGACTACATGGGTTCCCCTTCCTGACATTGGGGAAGTTCGTCAGGGTCTTGGCGTGCCCACTTGTCGCAAGCTTGCCGATGGCAATGACTTCTTTACACTTCCTATCTTGGTTGATCCTAATACCAACTCGAAAATCGGGGACTCGTTCGATATTGCCGTCTATCTGCAAAAGACATACCCGGAGTCAGGTGCCGGCGATTTATTCCCCCCTCAGGAGATCGATTACACCTTCGATCAAGACCTTCCCCCTTGGGCACCACCACTATCAGCACGGAAGGAGGGTGAGTATGACGAGTACTCCAAGTTTAATATGCATGTCGACAGAGCATTTAGTGCCTACGTTGGCCTCATGGGGTTCTTCCTCCCCTTCGACTCGCAAGCGAGCAAGGATGAACTCGTTCGCCGTGCTGGTGTAAAATCTTGGGATGATTTCGAGATAAAGGGCGAAGCACGGGAGAAAATGAAAGAATCTTTCCGTCTTATGCTTGGGGACCTTGCGAAGTTATTTTCAAGGAACACCACGGGGCCTTTTATTCTAGGTAAACAGGCCAACTATGCCGACCTAATCGTCGGAGGGTGGGTATACATGATGCACGGGACTCTCCCAGAAAATGAGTGGCAGGAGGTCAGGAGTTGGCACGGAGGTATCTTCGGACATTTATATGATGGGTTACAAAAGTATGCAGAAGTGATGTAGGTTCTACTCTTATACGGCAGAGCCCGACACCGCTATATATTACCAGTAGAAGTTTACCAAGGGAATCTTAGTCGCCATGTTAAAAATTACCGCTAGGTAATATTTACCTTGAGGAGATCGGATTATGGTAGATAATGGAGTTGCATTAAGGTTAACAACTTATCCTCAAAGAGAAATAAAGGGACAATGAATTAATAAAATCAAATCAATTCGTATGGCCTGGAGCACTTCCAGCCTAATGCAAACGTGTCCCTGCCAATTAACCGACCGTGATGCCAAATTATGATACAAGGTGAGATTCTTCATGAACCGTATCCTTAGAGCCGAGAGTTTTCTTCCCTTCATAAAAACCCTGCGCGCACACGCGAACAATATGCGATATGAAGGCTAGTAGCTAAACCTGCGTTACCTGACTGCTGAATGGAGCAAGAATAAAGATGAATCTTTCAACAAGTATGCCTAGGTAGGGTGGACGTTAAACGGGGCCGAGTATTGGATATAGACAGCGGTGGACCATGGGCGCAGTGCATACTGAATATAGCAAGCTGCATATGAGTAACTGCAACGTCGGCGAGATTTACAGAGAGGGCTTTGTCTCTCGGTCGATTGCGGCGCCAACTTGCTGGGCTGTGGAAGAGCTGGGGCCACCGGCGCCACCTGCGGTTAGAATCTATTGCATCTGTTAGATATTATGTATTCATCAAGTGAAGAAAGTAATATTAGAATAAGGTCCTTACCTCTCCACCCATTTCACGCATCTTCATTTCCTTTTCCATCTCCATTACTTGTTGCTCTTCAGCCCACGCCAGAGCCCACGGGACGCCTAGAATCAGCGCAGAGGTGCTGATCACCCAGAGAGTCTTGCCGCCAAAGGAGAAGAAGCTTGAGACTGCGCTAGTTGTTGCGTTAACCTTGTTGGCGATCGAGGTTCGGGTCTGAGGTGGGATGATATCGCGAAGCGCATAGAGGCGCTCGGCAAGAGTTTCGCTGGAAGGGTCATAGTCCGACTCGGTTGAGATTTCGGACTCTATACAGACAGATTCATGATTAGGTAGCTGTAAAAATAGGACCCGGGACAAAGGCGCGTAGCAACCACAGATTCAATATAAAAGCTGGATATCTACAAGGTAGTGAGTGACGTACCGGTATCAGTGTAATCCTCGTCCTCCTCAGGACCAGGCTGGTCCTCTTGGAAATGCTCGTCGACAACCTCTGTAAGCTGAACCATTGCGACTCTCGGATGGTTTCCGTTGAGGGTGAAAAAGGGTCCTAGGTTGAGTGGTGGTATCGGGTCTTGAGCTGGAATAACGGGAGAATTGGGAGGAGCAGGAGGAAAATCTTCAGAATCCGATAAAGAATCCATTGCTATCGGCTAGCAGGGGTGTATTTAACGCTTTGTTTTGATTGGAGCATTGTGACACAGGTTGGCGTTATTTCGACAGTCATTAGGACGAGTTTTTACTGTGTATTTGAAAAATGCAATAACGTGAAGGAAAAGTTGCGTTTCAGGCATCAAAAGATTGATTCAGTATGCGCTATATGCATATGGCTATGTGCTACATGCACATAGCCAGTTTGCTATAATAGGACCCCTCTGAACCCCTCTGGACGACCGTCTTAATACGCTAACTATCTGCAACCCCTCGGTTACTAACGCACCTTACATAGTAACTTGGGTACTTGCAAGTGACATCATTAGCTAAGAAATCGACTTGGCTCTTGTACATGAGCCTGCCTTATACTGGAAGTTCGTTGTTAGAGAAGTTTTTGTAGCTATCAACACAACTATTTTACAGTAGATAAAACTACCCAAGTAAATAAAGGAATGCTAACTTGCTTTAGGTATCTAGAATACAAAAATAATTAAGAGAATTTAAACCATGCAAATGGAATCAATCTCATTATAGCTAGCCAATTCCTAGAAAATATTAGTTATTAAACACCAACATCTAATAAATACATCAACACTGGTGCATTCGGACGTCTTTAGACGGAAAATAATATTTACTCTATCTCATAAAGTTATAGTGCTTACTTTTCGCTATACCAATTCAGCATACAGTCATAACCTAAAACAGAACCAAATTATGTCTCATGAAGCGTGTGCCTCAGCCCTTGTTGGGCGGAGAGTCTGCAAATCTTATCCCTCGTCTCGTAGGGGGTACTCTAGGGGTATCATCATCTTCACTATCGCTGTCTTCAGCCCCAACGCCATCTACGCCTAACGCAGCCTCCCTTCTCCTCCTCTCTGCGGGAGTCTCCCCTAGATCATTATCCTCGCGGACGCTAGCGAAGGCTGCCAATCGTCGCCTTCTCTCGACGGCTGTTTCCGGTGTATTCGATGTCGGAGGCTGTTCCGGGTCTGTCGTTGGGCTACGTCCGCGAGGGGGCTCTGGGCGAGAAGGAGATTTGCTCGCATCCCGAGTGCTATCACTTGCTTGAGTCACACTAATTTGAGGGTGGACTAGGGCCTGGTCCTGGGCCTCGGCCTGGGGTTGGACTGCGCTTGCGTCGGGTGCTTCCCTTGCCATCGATTTCACTGCTGGGTCCGCATTGGATTGGTCTACCACCTCGCGGCGGGTTTTAGGATCCAACTTTCGCACTTCTCTAAGGAAATCATCCTTGGTCATGCGTTGTCCAACGCCACCGATCGTGAATCGGATACCTCGATCATCTTCTGCGCTCCTTTCGACGGGAGCAGTAGCATCCTTCCTAGCATCCTTCCTCTTCTGTTCAGCAGCACCTCCACGACTGAAGCCTGGCCACCCTCCGGTTTTCGTCTTGGCTCCAGGTTTACTACTGCTAGGCTGGGTAGGCTCTTGCTCGGACGACGCTTCGACCTTGGGTGCTGTTTTATCAGTTGGCTTAACAAGACCACCCATTCCCATGTATTTCAAACCAGTAGCTACATAGTCTTTGCCGTTGCCGTCATTTCGCTCGGTAGGAAGATCATACTTCCTCACGACTTCTCCGTCTTCGTCTTCCACAATAATCTGCAAACCGATTAGCTGAGTTTCCTACTACTCGAATTAAGGACAACACTTACTGTGTTACCAAATTGGTATGCTCTAGCCGGCTCGTGCTTTCGTACAGTCTTTGCCTTGTCTTTACGTTTCTGGGCCTCCTCGTCACGCCATTTCCCAATACTTTTCTTGAGTGACTCGTATGTCCATCCCGGCTTTTGAGTCTCGGCTTTGGCTTTCTCCTTAACTTCTTGTAGATCTTGAACCGGTTGATGCCCTGTTTCCGCAACCGCAAGAACTTGGCCATCGTGGTCTTCAATTATAATATGATCGCCCTCATCAAACACTTCTAGTTCGTCGCGTTGTTCGCCTCTGGATAGTTGCTCACGGCCTCTCTCACGTTCCGACCCGCGTTCCTTTGTCACATGCACTGTTTTCTCGACGTCCTTTTCGCTATCTTTCTCGGGTAGATCGTCCGATGGCGAGCTGGGGCTTTCTTGTCTTGGTGAGACAGGCGGTACGGAATCAGACGGTGACATAGGCTCTGCTATTTCACTTGTGCTCCTTTTCTGGGGGAAGATGGCCGACTGGCTTACGGGCCCGCCAGGCCCAATACCATCATCCCACCTTCTCCTACTGCGGCGCCGAGAAGAAGCACGGCTTCCAGCTCTACTAGGGTTCTCCTCCTCGCGTTGCCGACGTAAGAACTGTCCAGGTAGTCCAGTTGGTGGCAATGTGCCAGGTGGAAATTCAGGTAGTTTCATCTCCTCAAAGTCGGTATCTGACATTGTTCGGGCTTGTGATCGCGACTGAGATGTGATCCGTGGCAAGCGGCTCATCCAAGCAGGACCTTCTTCCGTAGCAGTGGTAAATGACATGGTGAGTGATAAAGTATTGATGCGCTTTCCTAAGGTGAACACGGCCACTGAAGAACCATGGACAATAATGGAGGAAATAACCATGAATGTAACAATAGGCCACACGAGGAGAACAACGTTGTAGAACTCGCTACCCTTCGGCGGCAGTTCTGGTTCAGGAATTGTATGCTCACTCTCCAACTCGGCACGAGCAAGTAGGGCAACAAAAATAGCACCCACGCCGATTGGACCAAAATGCCCGGCAAAGAGAGCTTCTCGCCATGTCTTCACGTCGGGAATGAACGGTTTGAGAAGCATCATAACCGGAATCCGGCGGAAAAGGATCACAAATATGGCCATAACCACCAGTCTCCAGGCAGAAAGGCCAATATCCGCGTTGTTATATTGCTCCCAGGGAATAATAGTACCGAGATAGACAAAATAAGCCAAATTGATTAGTAGATCGATAACGTTTGACACATGAGATTCTTCCGTCTTCTCGCTGAACCACCCATCATTAGAGAAGCCAACACCGGCAGCGAACCCGACAAGTAGATCGTCTGTGCCTAGAATACTGCCCGAACCAGCGCAGAACAGAGCCAAGGTAAAGTAGAAGACGAGAAAGCTTTCACGGTCGATCAAGTCGTGCCTTTCAGCGTATTTGATGCCATGTCGTGCAATGTACCCAATCAGAAACCCGTACACAGCGCCGAAAATACACTCGTAAAGGACGGTATATACAAGCCAATGATACGTCGTCTCCTTGGCGTCCAAGTGCTCCTGTAGTAGGTACACGGAAAGGTAGATGAAAGGGAAGGCCATGCCATCGTTGCAACCGGACTCGGCAGAGAGCAGATCTCTCAAGTGCTTGGGTACCCGTTTCGCAAACTTGCCCTTACCAACAACTGACGAAGCAAGAACAGGATCCGTAGCGGTGACGCAAGCTGCAATAACTAAACTCTCGAGCCAAGATAGTATCGGGAACATCCACCAAACGATCAAACTTGTAATCAACCATCCAAAGGTCATGACGGGAAGCAGCAAGAATACTACAGATTTCCAATGCCTCTCCATGTAGTATTTGGGCAATTCTACTCCGACGGCGAAACATTGAACGACCAAGACGATTCGGGAAAATTCAAGGGTAATCTCGTCGACATTTCCCCACGTTTCGGGATCAATCAGATTCGCAGCGTGAGGACCGAAGATAACACCGCAAAGAGTAGCAACAGTCGCTTCGCCTATATACATACGCTCCTTAATAACTGAAGAACAAAGCATAAAGAGTGAAGTAAACCCTCCTAAGATGATATACACCAAATGGGGTTTGGTAATCGAGAGGTGATCCCACGCCATTGTTTATAGCAGCGTCCCCTGGACGACTCGTACGGGGCGGGGCGTCCGCAAGGCGAGAAAGGAATAGATAAGACCTCAGTTAACGGGTCGAGGCTCAGGGAGGACGTTGGTCGGACGAGGGCGTGTATATTGGTTTCTTTGCGGATAGCGAAAAGACTCCAGGAGGCGAGGCAGGACTTGCGACTCCCCAACTTATGAATACCGTTCTAGTAAATTTCTGATCTAGATGCATTCAGGACGATGGTTTGCATGCCAAGTAACTGGCAGACTAGCTATACGATGGACCAAGACGCGATTGTAAGTAAAATCAAACCCGAGATAGCCGCTGACTGCGATATTCTGAAGATCGCTAGTTCATTCGATATTTTTTTTTGTTTACGCGTAGGGGATCCGCTCATGAGAGGGGGGATGCGCCGCGGCAGCACGAGCATTAAGCAAATGAAAGATGCAGGGGAAAGATCAGGTTATTGTCTCTTGATGCCCAGCTAAAGAAATGAGACAATAAAAAAAAGATGAAAAAATAAAAATAAAAAAAGACCCGACGAAGGGGGTTGTTGTAGCACAAGAAGCAACAACACGGAATGACGGAAAGGGCTGGCAACTTCGAAGTTTTTGTATTGTACTTTCTAATAAAATAATTCTGAGCAATAGCTCATGTCGGCCTTTCGTAATGATGAATTTGGGGGTTTAATGGACCCGACTCAATAATCCTAGTCATTTCCTATGTACATATGTACAAGGTAGTCACTACCCTAGTAATTTAGTGGGAGCTTTTGGGCAAAATGTGCATGGGTCTTATGCATGCCGGCTGGGTACCTTAGGTACTTACGGGACTCTGATAGGTCTTATGGCGGTGAGTACCTGTCATGTATTTTGCAAGTATCGAGATCCTTGCTGCTTTTACGTACTTCAATATTCTTGGTACACACACGTCCTCGACACGGATGACCTGAATTATGGTCCGGCTTACCACCAAAGTAGCTCTGCAGAAGAACATTTAACCAATAACTTAATAGAATTGAGGCTCAACCGAAAAAAAGGGTGATGGGGAGCGGGGGATTGGAATTCTAGATGGAAAATGCGGAGTGTCAAAGATTGCGGGGGTACACTAAACTAAGACATCGGTGAAGCTCGCCTCTGTTTGCATGCGTATAAAGTCTATATAATTCATAATCCATATAAATCCAAGCCGACGCCCGACACGCAACCTCGAAATGAACCGGCGGAATGTTGTCGACGGCTGATGTCTCCGATGCTGTGGAACTCGTCCTATCATTCCACACAGCCCACGCCGTCGAGCTTCTACCTGCTTGATAGGTTAGGTAGCTATTTCAGGCAGTTCAAGTACGCCTTTGGAGATGCCTCGTTTGTGCCGAGATGCCGTGTACTCCCGGATGGTATTTTCAGAATCAAGGCCCTGCGTGCGGCCTGCGGGAGATGATGCCATTATGTATAGATCGACGTGCATTTTATATGTGTAGGCATGTGATTGTTAAGCCGGAAAAATAAGTAGTTAAAAGATAGACAAAAGATAAACGAATTGCAATGCATACCTGATGACCCTCGTAGATCCCACGATCCCACCTACTTTTATTAATTTGCTGCATTCTAACATACGATGATTAGAGATATTTTAAGTGAAGACTTGGTCAAGATAAGTAAAAGATAGGCTATGCTAAAGCTACTAGAGTCGCTAAAGTTGTAAAAAGCTGAAAAAGTTGTTAGAGAGTGGATAAAGCAGCATGGCGCTAAACTCGAGCCGGAAATCCGACTGTACAAGACCGGTACTTGGATGTTTCAACTTCCACGAGGAATACCGCGGTCTAAGACTTTGTCTCCAATTTCAATCGTTTCTTCGATATTCGACGTTTTCATCACCTTATTCCGAAACTTTCTCTCGATTACTACCAAAGCGATTGGTCCATTTACAGGAACAACCTTCATTCGCCTATCATTGCATCGTATTACCTAGATCTCACTTCGAGACCGATCTATTAATTTATGCCCTCTTATTTCTAACTTAGCGAAGATATTAATTCGTAACAGTGGCGCAACTAAAAAGTGCAGATAAGAAAGAAAGAAAAGAAAAAAAAGAAGAAGGTCGTGGCGTATCACGCCCATGTCTAACGTGACATTAAGCCCTCTTGGCGGCTCTTAGAAGACTCCAATCGTCTCCATCACATGACGTCGTTTTACTCGCTTGCATGCCTCCGCCCCGTATCAGCCAACCTGCGCGCCGGCTTAGCAGTGCCCAAGGCCTGCTTGCGGACTCGGCGTTCTGGGCATCCAAGTCCCAAGACATTGGCAAACAGAATTTGTTCTTCGTGACCGGTTTGCCTGGTTTCTTTGAGGGCGAAAGACGTCGTAGCAAGCTTTCCCTAGAGCATGCCGAGGTTTTTACCCCTATGACAAGCAATGTGATCCCAGATGCCAATACGTAAAAAGAAATGTAGCACTGCCGGGCTCGTCTCAACTCATCGTTTCCCCGACGTGCTCCCCCGGCCATGCCGGTATCCGGGTGTCTCACCGGCCGCACGTGGGGCTGCTGTTGGACTTATGTTTCACTACACAGGCTGATGCTTTTTGGGCTGCGCAAGCACAGCAGGAGATCGGGTCACGAGACTATTTGAACGTCCGTCTGCGGCGCGGAAGATCCAGGCGCAGCCCATACCCATACCCATACCATATATTATGTACATAGTTCTTATCACCGCACGGCTTGCTGCAGCTTTAGGCGCGCATGCGGTTCCCAAGTTCCGGGAATACGGCCCCCTTAATTCAACCACTCAACATTCATTGTTAATTCGTTGAGAACTTTGACAGCAGCGACTCACTCAACCTTTCGGCTTCACGGAAACTATTTCTATGAATTTTGATCCACAAATAGTATGCCTAAATGTTGTTTCGAGGAGAATTTCCACTTTACATACCCAAAGTTCGCGTTCGCGAGAGACGTACGCGTTTCCTTTCCATGTACGCTATCTCACGGTTACCCGCAGGGTCCACTGGTGACGCGATACAGTATTTTCACCTATCTTTTTAGAAGCCTTTCGGCCTTTTAGTTTCGCATCTTTTTTGACCGAGATTCAGCTTCTTGGCAGCTGATCCGGTGGTCCCGCTATTGCTACTAGGTAAATCTGCAGTTCGACGGATCCTTTGTGTGGCAATGCAAAAACTTATGAACCATTGTTCCTAACCTTTGGTAAGAGTTCATCCAGAAGCTTCCTTGTCATTGCTAATAGTATATGTATGTACCTGCAAGTCACGAACCCCCAAGTAGGCCGAACCAGCGTATGTATCGAAACCACTTTTACGTGCAGATGTATACACTTGAGATGTGGCCTTTTATAAACATAGTACATAGTATCGCGAACGCATCAAATGCGCCTGGTCACATGAATTGCTAATTATGTAGGTTGACCGTACCGGGTTCAGCCCTGATGAACATGAGATCTAGAAGTTTAAATTTTCCCCAGTTCTCATTAACTTTAATTGAATGTACATAGCGAAATTTAAAAATAGCGATTGGTTTCGATCACCACTTTCCCCACATTGGGCGGTTAGACAATAGACTCGAACAACTCATATGAATACGAATGCTACCGAATACTTCTTGTTCCAATTATCTACCATGTGTATACCAACCATTCAACATACACATAATAGGAGAGAAACTTCCTCAAACATCATCCGAGCCTATAGTAACCGAGAACGTCCCCCCTAAATAACCCTTATAGACTAGCCGCAAGACCCTCCAACTTAACCGGGATACCCTCCGCCTTCGCAGCAATGGCATCTCCAAACTCTTCACGGCCATCGGCAAATACCTTCTCAAAGTCGTACTCACTCCAGCGGATGTCAGGATTTAGACCAGCAAACTTCCAGACGCCGTCAACCTTGCGGTACCAATGGACATTGGTAGAATGAGCATGGCCCTTAACAGCGACCTGGCTGCGCGTCGAGTCCGTGTACCGCTGGTGCGGCACACGCAGCTGATGTGTGCCTATAACCTCTGTGTCCGATACCTTCTCCCATTTGGAGCCACCAATGAAGTGCTGCGTCTTGAGCAGCGGGTCCCCTAGTACCGCCGGGGACGAAACCATAGTCACGAATTCCTCGGCCGGCATCGCCTCCCAAAGCTTGTCTAAGAACGAGCGGTAGTCAATCTATCAAAAGTTAGACCACAACGAAAGCCCTTCACTTGAAGATAGGCATGGTTAACGCACGCGCAGAGTAGGCGCTATACACCCCCGTAGTCTATTCCAGTCCTTAGTGTCGTAACTGTCCGCCCACTCGATTAGACAAGCCTGTAGACCGAGGTAGTCTAGTTCTCATCAGCATGCACAATCCAATGTTTGATGCGACCTAGCGTATACTAGCAAGGATGTATTTGCCATACCCTCGAAACTAATATTTCCGGTAGCCATCCTGTGGATCTTTTTTTGAGAGCCGCGATTGTAGATTGTGGGGTAATTCAGCTTAAATCATATGCAGCGAGGATACCCTCATACTTCTTCTATTTCAGCCTTAAGAGCGATTCGCATAGGGCCTCCCTTTAACTTATATTGGTAAACGGATCCCCCACACGTCCGATGTGTAGTTAGGGATGTCCGCCCTACAGTAGCTGACTGGAATTTTGCGTAACCCGAGTGTATGGGAAAGCCTGGGAACGCAGTCCGCTCCGGAGTTCCCCACCTACTATTATGTTCTAAATCAGGGGTTCGGGATTCAGCTGTTACAGCTCAGACAAGATTATAAAGTGTGTCCTTTTCCAGCGCGCCGTGGGTAATATTCGCTGTCAGACTTACTCCCTTGGTAGGATATTTACGACAGCTGTCATTGGAATGTTATGGTGTAGTACATACCGGTTCATATGTAGGGCGATCAGTATCGATCGGAGCCAACCTTTAGGTACCTTAGGTACCTATATGAATGTAGATACCCGCCGGAGCCGGCAGTTACCATTATTTGCATTAGTCCCCGCACGGCTTGCAGCATTAGGGTGATACAGCAGAGCAAGTTGCCTGAAAGCTATCATATCATCATGTGGCTAGTGGCTAGTGGCTAGTATAATTCAAGTATCACTAATGCGGCATAACTTGAAAGCGGTGAACATAACAAATAACAGCCATTGATGTTATATCTTGCGTCATACGCAACAACCGTTTCACAGCAGAAGAGATCATCATGCAAAGCTACCTATCAAAGTATGTAGACCTAATATTCTAAGTATCATAAACATTATGTATTTATCTAAGCCTCGGGCAGAGAAGAATGGAACGCTCCATACGTTTATATCTTCGCTTTGCTACGTATCCTTTATATCTACATACTATTGTCTAAATGCAACATCTCGACGATTGTACATCTTAGTAACGAACGAACTATAACACCGAAATACTATTACCTAGGCCCTACTATACTGAGAAAACATCCCAGACCTGTCTAGCAAGGTATATATAGTCGCTGGCGCGAATACTGGGCTCGGCAAAGAAGTTGCCTAGGTACTCTTTCATAAGAAAAGAATGCGACTGTCTGGAAAGCAGTGTGCGACAGAGGAAAGCCGTACCTAGTGCGATAGAGTCTAGCCGCGAAGCGTCTTCCTCCACGGGGAAGTTAGAGCTTCTACACCTGGACCTTAGCCATTTGAGCAGCATCAAAAAAATCGGCCGAAATATTATTTTCCAAGGAGCAGCGCTCGGGCGTCTTATTTAACAACGCTAGTATCATGATACCGCCGCGCGGGTGTAAGTCGGCGCAAAGGGTACGAGCTACAGACAGAGACCAGCAGCTCAGGACCCTTCCTCTTCATTCAACTTCTCACAGCGAAATTGATCGAGACAATAAAGGTATCCCCGGAGAGCAGCGTCTACGTCATTTGGGTATCCTCTTTATTGGCCGAGCACATAATCCCCATGAAGGGCAGCGTCGAGATGAATAACCTAAATCACAAAAAGGACATCTTCTGTGTGTGTAAGTACGGCGTTAGCGAGGCGGGTAATTAGTATTATGCGACTAAGTACCCGCGACGGCATCGAAAGGATGGCATTCTTAGTGCCGTATGTTTCCCCAGGAAATTTAGACCCTACCGTGCATCGACCAACTTATGGTCTTAGTGGCCTTGAGGTGAACAAGGTCTAGAATGCTCTAACAGAATTGCGGTTTCCTTTCCTATACTTCTCCTGTTTTCGTTGATTGTTTCCCTCTTTTCATGGGTACATACGGAATACAAGGTGCTGACATGATCCGTCTTCAGTCGTTCCATGGGGTCGGTTTGGAGAGATTTAAAAGGACCTTCTCCATAATTCAAAACCCCAGTCGGAAGGAGGCACCGAGCTTGCTCGAGAGTTTTAGGACTAGGTAGACGGAGCAGATAAAGCCTTACCGTGTGATTCCGATCAAATATCCTTCGATTATTTGACGGGAGTAATAGACCGAAGATATTGCATGCATTTATGTACCTGAAAATAAAAAAAAACCCCCCCGCGAATCCTACCAAAAATTTTCGACGGTAGGCTGGTCAATTCACATCAGGGGTAAAAAAACTTTTATGTATTACTAGAGACCATATCTTACTCCGGATGTTCAACCCCTGCTTTCCCGTCTTTATTATCACAAATCATAACAGGGCCCTGTCAATTCCAACAGGAAGGATCTTTCAAATCTCTTAATTGCCCCAAGTCTTGCAGCTACCTAGCCAAGTTGGGCTAAGTATCGCATAGGGACGCATACCTAGGGAGAGTGTTACATACTAACCTAGATCCGAGACTTCCCCTTTCTATACTATAGTAACACAAGCTTTGCTTATAAGTTGTGACTACCTAAGCTATAAAACCTTTCACTCCCCTCTAGCCAATTCCGATGGCCGTAAACGCCGAAGCCCCAATCTATCTTATTGATATTATCGCAAATGCCGTGAGCTATCTCCAAGTTCAAGTCCCTAGCGCCTACTTTTGGAGGACCACACCGAGGTTATGCAGAGATCATTTCTATAGGAGTTTAGCCGATGCTAGATGTTACACATCCGACCACTTTTGACTTTTGACATCCCGAAAGGGCGCATTGCGCTTACTCTGCACTTTTGATATTCAACTGGTAAGATCTATAGAAACGGGCACCTTCCCTTTGTCGGCAAACCCCTATCCAGATAAACTCAGATAAAGCGACTATACTTTATAAAACATAATTAAGGTACCAGTCTATCTTAACTAGAACCACACATCTTTTCAAGTCTTTTTCGACTATTAAATTACCTTCGCCGTAATCCCAACATACGTATTAGTTTAATTAATTACTACGTCGAGCGGAGCAATGAATTCGGACAAGGAGGGCTCCGTAGCTGTAGCTGTTACAGCCTCACCACCTAGTGAGAATGAGACGGCTCCGGTCGTAGGTCCCATCGACATCGCACCACCGCCCGATGGTGGTGCCGGATGGATTCAAGTCTTTGTTGGACAGTAAGAATTTCTTTTACCTTTTCCACCATCGTGGCGGTAATGTTCCTAATAGACCTGCTTAAGTCTTGCCTTATTCAACACGTTTGGGTGGTTCAATAGCTACGGTATCTTTCAGGACTACTACACGGAAGAGCTAAACCTGCCGCTATCAGCTGTTTCTTGGACGGGCAGCGTGCAGGTCTTCCTGTTAGCTTGCATAGGCATGTTCTCAGGTCGACTCTTTGACGCAGGTTACTTCCGCTCGTTGATCATGATCGGCTCTATTCTACAGTTGCTCGCTGTATTCATGGCATCCATTGCCACCGAGTATTGGCAACTCTTCCTAGCTCAAGGCGTCTGTGGTGGACTCGGTGCCGGCATTCTGTACTGCCCTATTATCGCATGTGTTTCTACTTATTTTGCTCGAAAGCGCGCACTTGCGATTGCCCTTGTCACAAGTGGCGGCGCTACCGGCGGACTAGTATTTCCCATCATCGCGCAGCAACTTCCAGAAAAGATAGGGTTTCCTTGGACTATGCGGATCATGGGATTTGTAGTCATGTTCAACGCATCCGTAATGTTAATCTTCGCCCGCACGCGACTGCCACCGCGACCAAGGGGGCCAGTCATCGAGTGGGCTGCATTTAAGGAGTTGCCTTATTCGCTCTATACCGCTGGCGCGTTCTGCATCTTATGGAGCGTATATCTAATATATAATTACGTGAGTATCGTTCTAATTTCTACATTTCTGTAGCGCTTTCAAGTATCTTTATCGTAAACACAAGCTGACAATTTAGCTAGATAAATCACTACGGAAGGACAATCCTACACATGGAGCCAACAACCTCGCTCAATACGCTCTTCATCGCCAATGCAGTCGGTGTACCTGGTCGAATAATACCAGCGCTAATCTCCGATGCGTACCTTGGCCCGTTTCGGACGCTGGTGCCGCTTGCTATCAGTGCAAGTGTGCTCTATTTCGGCTGGATCGGCGTGCGGGATCCGAGTGCCCTCTATGTATTTGCCGTTCTATCCGGTATTATTAATGGCGGTGTCCAGACGATCTCTATGGCAGGTCTACCATCGTTGACAAAAGATTTAAGTAAAGTAGGTACCCGGTCGGGCATGATCATGACCGTTGGTTCCTTCGCTTGCCTAACAGGACCACCAATTGCTGGTGCGCTGATCGACGTTGCAGATGGGCGATACTTGTATATGCAAATATGGGCTGGTTGTATTATGCTGTCAAGTGCCTTCTTTGTTGCGGCTTCGTGGTATGCACGTTCAAAGCAGGGTTCATAACAGCCTACTAGAGGACTCCACTAGCTTCATTGTTAAGTCAGTTGCCTTATAGAATGTAATAGATAGGTATAGCTACCTACCTAGGTATGCAAGTTTATTGGCTTTGTTGAGTCTCTTTCATGTCTCTTATAAGCCGTATGCGTGCGTTGCCATCTTAGAAGAGGCATTCTGCTCGTCGACGACTAGGTTATTCCTATTATTTGGCTCAATGGTGGCCAGATGAAGCATTTACGAAAATATACTTATCTCCAAGGTTCTAGAAGTAATGAAGTATGAAGGTCGATAGCAAAATAATAACAAAAGTGCACATGAGACTTATTCCGAAGATACATAGGTAAATATACTCCGGGGTTCTTTGCTTGAGGGTAGCCTCTTATTTAAGTTATAACTTGGTATTTAGTACTAATCAAGTAAGATGATGTCCAAGTAAAAGCCAGCATCGAGGTGCCCATAGATGGCGTTGGAAGAAGATGGGAATTAGAACATTAAGTAACTGGAAAAGTCCCACAAGGAACGCGAGTACCTGTCCGACGTCGAAAATATCGTCTACACCGCTGAGATTATTCGCTCTTATTATGTACTCAGTCGAGGTAATAGACAATACGACCATGGCCATCGAGAGAAACATAAGCGTAATCTCAGTTTGAGGTCGATGGAAACAATATCGCGACTTTTCCCCACCTCCTTTTTTAATATAAGTCGTGGCAGCCCACGTAAGCAACCCGATTACTATAACAAGACTGATGATCGAGATTACTTTTCCGAACGTCTGAAACCAGCCATCTAGTGTCGACTTGCCGAAGAATACGATCTGTATGCATGGAGTCTCTCGCATAGTATCCTGGCCGACGAAGAAGAACCAGCAGCTATACGCCGACAGCGCGGCGTAAAATAGAAGCCGGCAAGTGCCCGAAAAGGACCTGATACCGGTTATGCCACTTCCAGTCAAGCTCGAGAGCGCGCCTACAAGTATCCAGAAGACGATGATAACTTCGAAGGCGTGAATAGTACCTGCATATGTAGAGAGAAGCGTACCGGCGAATATGGCTAGTTGCAGGAGTAAGTTGATGGTTCTATTCACAGCTTCCTCTTCCTGCACAAAGAGTGTCACAAGTAGCGTCGTCAACGATTGGGCATAGAGACCGAGCCTGATCCCAATCCCATAGGTGTCAGCATCACCGTCCATTTCGCAATTTCCGGAAGATCCCATCTTTAGGGGTAGCTTAGCGACGTCTCAGCTAATATTCACTCGATCATTGGTTAGTTCCGATTCAATCCTAACCTGGGATATTGTAGTCTATTGTTATTCTAGAGGCTGTGTTATTCTATTAACACAGAGAAACAACGTCGCAGGGTGTGTTGACGAACCATGCCGCCCAGCAACCAAAGGAGGGTGGACAGAAACTATATAAACAACTGAAAATATTTGCAGCTTTAGCGCGTTCCTATAACATCACTGGGGAAGTTCTGGACCGGTCTATCTATCGCCGTACTCGTTACCTCAGTTACACGTGGGAACGTGATGATGCTGTTGGGGCCCTAGGTGATAGGCACACAACTTAAAGAGGGAGTTGTGACAGGTTAATTGTTTGCTCCCCGAAAAGAATAGCTAACATATCTTTTATTATATGCTGGAATGATGGCGGACAACGATCCAGGCTGTCCGATCCAAGGCAAGCCAGACCTTTATGGGTTAGTCAAGTGCCCGACTTTATATTATTCTGTATATTTATTCTTGACATATACTAAACTCATCATCTAGGCTAGGCGTACGCCTTGGTCTTTACTTACAATTCATCGCTATTGTGTTGGCGAGACCGTCAGTGAAACCCACCTTCAAAGCCATCGCTGGCTCGACTGTCGCTTTCGTCCTCGCTAATTTCATCGTCCTCGTCAAGGAGAGCGCGTCGAGGACTCTATTTGCTCCGGAGGCATACCTCCTCTTCCTCCTCCTTGTTCCACAACTCATGGTGAACATTATAAACCTTGATATATCTAGGAAACACATAAATCCTCGTAGTGCCATCACCCTGCTCTTATGGGGATCATTTTGTTTCTATTTCAGCTGGTTTTGGTGGGTGGGACTGGACGTCTTACCGGCGTCCGGCTGCGAAGATGAATTTGGGTTCTTCTTCACCAAGGTCAGCCTCCGAGGTTGGTTCAGAACTTTTAACAAGGTCCTTTGGACAATATCAGATATTGCGTTTGTCATGATCATATCAGCAACTGCAATTCAAGTCCTGATGACATATTTGTGTAAGTTGCATATAAACTACAATTAAAGATATGCCTAGAGATATTAATCTAGTATCCTAATACTTTCGCGAAGTAGCCCGAGAAGGAGACGGTAAAGGACCAACCCCTTGCCTTGATTTCTGTCACTGATAACCCTTCCGTAGATCTAAGAGTCGCAAGGCTTACCGACGAAGAAATCACTCATAACACACTTCAACATATTTTCCTGCAGGGTTGGAGCTTTCTCCCATTTGCTATTTCCGTCTCTGGTGCCGAAATAACACTTCGGTACAATGATATCCGGGGTGTTAACACCGTAAACTCGGCCAGTCAGCTCGTCCCTTTAGTCCTTGCCCTTGGCTTGTTGGTGCACGTCATCGGAAATACGTTAGCAAGGCTGGCCTATGGGTTTCGACATGCTTTCGACGAAGATGCAGCAAGTTCGTGAACCGTCGAACCCCGCTAATCCTTCGTATAACGTTCTAACGTCTTAACTAGGCAGGCTGGATAATAATAACGACCATGATCGTAGTTTAACACGAACCGACGTTGGGCGCGAGCTGCGGGAAGAGCGGGGGTGGCTGGGCGTTGTTGGTCGCTTTCTTTTCCGATTTTGTTGTGCATTTGCTGTAGGATACAACCAGGAAGAAGTGAAGCCGGCGCATCCAAGTAAGCTAAATTCCTATTCAAGTAGAATTCGGCGACTTACCTATGCTTAGATTCCGCGGGTTGCCCAAAGAGGAACCATTGTACAGAAGTAGGCATCGAGCTGGAAGGTGGTCCGCGACCTTAAATCGGTCCGCGATTATTGGCCCCCAATATCTCAGATGAATACGATCGAGTGGAGCGAACGAGTAGTATTACGAACACTAACTACATTGGATCAGAGGCAAGGGTATGATAGATCACCTTAACAAGACACGATATAGATACTTGGTCTTCCTGCCGCTATGCTTTGATGTTCAGTTCAACGTTACATACGTGCAGCACCGAAATACCTAATTCTGCTTTCCCAGCCTGATCCCGCAAAGCAGGCGGATGTATTGTTACCCACTGTGCAATTTAAAATACTGCCGTCAAGTGGAAGAGGAGTACGACTGTATCACATAAATAAGTACAACTGCTGTCAACCTGCTACGTAGCATATCTATAGGTGGTTCATTTCGAGTTGCACATATTAATACACCATATAGAAACGCCATCAATAACACAAGCCTGCTTTAGAAGAGTCTGCTGATCGAGTTGTCTATGAGTCTGTAGGATTGTCGTTGCAGTGAGGCAACTACTATTGCATGAGCATAGGGCCAATAAGCAGAGCCCATGTGGTCACACTATTTGATTACATGCATCAAGCAAAATGCGGATTCCTTGATTCCGGGACCGTAGCCTATCGAGCCTGAGGCTCTTGTGTTGGAAGGTTACACCACTTATAACCCTATACTTGATACAAGTGATACAAAACTAAGCTCTGATGGCGAGGGCCTTGCTCCGCGAATTCTTCTCTCTTCCGTATTCTAAGGTCTATGTACAACCAGGGGACTAAACTCAATGGCCGAATCTGACATAGAAAGCGGTGCTGAGGATGTAAGTTCTATGCTTGGGATCTCGTTAAGTCATAAATTAATTCATTCTTAGTCTCCGGGACAGCAGCTTCACAACATGTTGGAAACAAGCATCGCGGACTGGTCGGAGCTTGGCTCAGATGCCTCTGCCACCGAAGACGATACTCTAAGCAGTGACGGCCCTGGGCAGCTCTGTAATGTCAAAACGCTGTACGAGGGCGAATCCAAATGTGCTTGCTGCATGAATTGGGTAGAGGAGCTGCCAAAAGATATAGGTCCGTCGGCGGAAGAAGAGAATGAAAGCAGACGCCACGCACTCCTAATTCGCATGCAAAGAAATCACAACGACGGAAAACCAATGGTGCTCCATTCTATTGTCATCCAGAGTTCTTACCTGAAGTCGATGCTGGGTGGCTTATTCGAGGAGTACTCGGGAATAACTACGACGCTCAAGAAGTTGGTGTTTAGAGCCCCGTTCCACTATTTCTTTTACGAATGGAACCGTCTCGAGAAGATCGTCAGCGAGATACAAGACCCCGTCAGCAAGAGTCATGCGCGCCTACTGCGGAAGGTTCTTAGGTCGGAATTAAGAGAGACTATTTCGCAAAGCAACGATTTGAATCAGAACGGAGTCATCACTTTCGACTATCTGTGGACGATTTTCAAACCTGGCATTGATGTCTACGCTTTTGAAGATGGGTATGATCGTATTTACAAGCTTCAAAGAGCTCAATACATCACAGGTTCCGGCGGTCAATTATTCCAGGTGACTGTCAATGAGATTGATTATGATGGGGATACTTCTGGTTATATGTCGAAGAGCCTCCTCATTTTTAACTTTCCAGGCACGATGAAAGTCAGCGACCTTGATGTTTTCCCTGCTTCTTCCCATCCGAGATTGGGCGAGGTAAAGGAAACTCTCAGAAAGCGAGGCGAGAAGTTTAGGGACATTCACCTCAAGCCGTATTACTACGGTGCGTACAAAGGTGTAGTTGTAGATGGAAAGCAGAAGCGCAATGTAGGTGTTTATATAAAACGGTGCCCGAAAAGAGGGAATCTAATAAGTATGCACAGGTTGACGGAAGAATTGTGGTCGACCCCTCCTCATATGCAACCTTTACCGACGGCTGGATCGATTTGATACCCTTGGACTCTAGTCTCCTGAAACCAGGAATGATGGTATCGGACCAAGCGCACAAGCCTAGCCCTCCTTATCCCGCCCCCCCGGGAAGGCCAAATGTAAGTGCCATAATACCTAGAATCCATATTATAAAATAACCAGAAGAGGATTGAAGTTAATAATAGATACCTAGGGACCAACAATTCCTCCTCCGCAACATCCGCCGCCTCTTCCTATAATTCATAGGGCTGGACCGAGACGGGTCATCAAACATTGTAAGCGATGGTGTAAAAGTAGACTAGGAAGGTAGCTAAACTAGAGTATCACAGCGCGAACGCAAGAATTAACCGACGACCTGCTGCACTTATGCACTGGTTATGTACGAGGATACTGCTTTAAGATCAAGAAGTGGGGTGAGTATTTTCAATGAAAGAGCTGAACATGGCTGCCTCTGTTACTTACCACATCTTATAGTCATATTCCATATCGACAATATTCAAGATATCCAATGGCGCGATGACGCGTTTGACAGTCTCGTGTTGGCTGGTGGGTACAAGAACTTGATCATGACATTTGTTGAGAGTCATGTCGAGAATAAAGATAGATTCGATGACGTGATCGAAGGGAAAGGTATTGCGGCCCTTGACATTAACTCGTTCATGTAATTGAAGCTGATAAATATGGATGACGTATAGGGCAGGGCATCAGTATGCTTCTCGAGGGGCCTCCAGGCGTTGGCAAAACCCTCACGGCGGAAGCTGGTAAGTAACATGGAAAAGTCACCTTGAACTTATAGTTTCTGACATGCCCTCTTAACAACTATGCAGTGTCGGAAAAACTAAGACGCCCCCTCTACCAACTGGGTGCTGGTGAGCTCGGGGCCGAACCTGATACGGTAGAAGAAAACCTCAAGATGATTCTCGAAACAGCTGCCAAGTGGGATGCGGTTCTACTCCTCGACGAGTGCGACGTTATCCTTGCGGAGCGCAGTAACGATAGTCTTGGTCGAAACAGCATCGTTGCTATCTTCTTGCGTTTGCTCGAGTATTATCGCGGCATGCTATTTATGACCACCAACAGAGTCGAAGCCATGGACCCGGCATTCCAAAGCAGAATCCACCTGACTATCCACTACCCCGTTCTCGATGTACCGGCGCGCCGACAGATTTGGGAGCGATTTATCCAGAATTCTCATCAGAAGTCGACGTTACTTCCGCATGACTTCCTCGAGTTGCAGTCTATCCCCATCAATGGGCGCGAGATTAAGAATGTTATCAAGACTGCTCAACTACTAGCAAGCCATGAAAGGGGTCCTTTGACTATTGAGCACATTCATACCGCATTAGGTGTGTCGCGGGTTGGCTACAAGCCTAGAGTCGAGACAATTCATTGCGTATGAATGAGCCTAATTTGTTATATGATGGTAGTTGAAAGTAAGGTGTTAGTCTATGTGTTTGTCAGTCGTTTTATAAGGACTTGGAACACCGGGGCGTCTGATGACTTATATACTGATTCTGAATGTTACGGCTTCATATGAGGGCCTGAGGCGGAAATTTCTCTTTATTTTAGTTATCAGGCGGTTACGTCGTGATACGGCGGAAATGCCGCGTTAAAGCACGCCCAAAATGCCCCACGATAGTCGCGTAAGACTGAGTTATCTTTCTATGATTTAATTCTGCCTCCAAAATTGTGAATGTTATGATCCCCATGATGGTAGATCTTATGCTGCCGCTCAGCTGCATAAATATTATTTGGTAGTTGTAGTTCTTCGCTAGTAGGCGTCCCGGGGCGTGTATGTTGGTTCTTATTACCCCTGTCAAATCTATCTCAAACGTTGCCGTGGGAGATTTAGATGGATTAATTCTTTGACATTTTTGATATGATAACCGATGGCGCAGCAAGTGGATGAGATGGCTATGATATGCTCCAGGGATAACTGCGGGGAAGATGATCCACGATAGAGAACAACCGACCACTAATTCAATGTACCATGTAATCCTTGGGAGCGATTGTGCGGAATAACTTGAATGCTCATTACCTCCACCTCCGAATTACCCATCCGAGGAAGCTGACGCCTGTGATCCAATGGCCCAAAGCCTTAAATTTCAGCTTCTCGCCCCCATTTAGCCAGACGACCAATCCATCCCCAAATCTCACCAGAGATAGAACGGCTGCGAACGTAGTGACCGCAGCTGCATTTCCCTGCCACTCCAAAGCTACCAGGGTCAGGCCATAGCTCATCTCGCGAATACCCTTGAAATACATGAGCGGCGACGTGAAGCTGATGCCAGAATCATCGTACTGGTCCGTCGGGGAAGGGCCCTCGTCGTGAATGTCAAATGGCAAGCCGACACTTTTGTACTCCGCCTCCGGCGAGAATATGGCCATAAGCCCACGGGCAAAGCATGTCGTGCCAAGAATGTACGAAGAGATGGGCGAAAACGCAGCCATTTCAAGGGAGACTTGAACGACGATAAACCCGTCTGTCAAGTAGTGGTGGCCTCCTAATGTTAGGTAAAATTAAAATTAAAATAGTTGTTTTTACGTTAACATTTCGACCTAACTGCTTTGCCCAACTAAATCGTAAATCGTGTCGTGTGTAATTTGATGCAGGTCTCGTAATAGGGTTAGTTGGATATAGGTATCTTGGATCGGAGCGAGACAAGCGAGAGCGGGTCAACCTTTCCATTCTCCGTCTCTTACCTGCTTACATAAACGGTAACACGCGTTTTCAGTCCACTGGACCCGTATTAAACTCGTCGTTTTACCGTATAACTATCTCGTATTTACGATACCTCTTATATTCAAAGGGTCTCTTTAGCTGGGAATATCCTGGCCTAGTGCATAACGTTCAAAACAACAAAAGCGCCGAAGCCTCGGAAATTTTTAATAAATATACAATACCTAATACCTCTCCGGTTTTTTTTTTCTTCTTCAGATGCTTGAGATGGCAAGCTTTAGGTATTTAACACCACGATGAAGCGCCCCGTCTTAATTCAGCTTCTACATGCATCTTGTATCTCGGCGGCTTACGTGCAATGGCAACATTGCGATGGTTACACTCCCGACGAGAGTAGACTCGTCTCGGAGAGTCTATCCGCCAGCTTAATGCACACCAATGGCACTCATGACCGGCTTTCTCTAAGCGTTGGTCGCTGGACGAGGGACAGCGAATGTGATGGATGGGCTACAGGGATAACGTCTATGAACGTCAATTTTCATATGCTTGGCCACATGAGTTCTTACCATTCCAAGACCAACACAATTTGTCGGCAACTGTCATCAACCAGCAATCAATACAGCTTGAGATTTGACGTGGCTATTGATACAATAGCATTCCATCCCCTTTCTACCTTTCACACTACCGTTCACTTAATTGGCCCTGATACGAATGAGAAGGGCTGTTTACAGGCCAACATTACCCCTGAGATTAGTTCTGCTTTGCGAGAGGCGCTACGATATGTACCAATAAGTATTCTCTTTTTCGTCCTATTTGTCGGCATCGCTCTATATGTCTGTGACAGCTCCCAGCAGGCAGAAAGTTCACTACAAGCTGTTCTTCCAGGGTTTGCCGATTGCTTGCAGTACCTCCAGTTCATCTTTCTCACGGGAAGCTTAAGTCTCTTTTACCCCGGCTTTTACCAACCAGCAGTTGGTCGCCTGGGGTGGACGTCGCTCTTTGCAGATGGTTTAATTCCTCACGAGTTTACTTATACCAGTATCAATGATGGCATCTACGAGGTAAACGGTACATACGGTGGTACGTTCGGCCTTGAGTTGATGACTCAAATTGTCGGCGCTCCTACGACGATGGGCACGTGGTTGAATATGGTCATACTCATTGTAGCCATCGCGGCTCTATCCGCCATATGCATAGAAATTTTCTGGCTCTTAAACCGACCTGTTGGTTCAGACACTGGTCTGCGTCGCGCTTTCAAGCGTACCTTACACGTTGTTCTATCCTACTTCATGTTACCTTTAATAGCACTATCGTGCTACCAACTTGACAATGCGTCACATCTCCCGTTTTGGAATATATTTCTCGCTTCTGTTTTCATACTGAGTATCTTTAGCGCATTTGCCTGGCTGTTCTTGCAGATCCCGACGCGAAGTCTAGGTATTCTGATATTCAACGGACGTAAGCAATATCACCAGATATCTTCGTCGGATGTATTGACTCAACAACACAAATCATTCGTCATTATTCTTTTCGTATTGGTATTTATCCGTGGTGTCACTATTGGTGGGCTTCAGATATCGGGACGAGCACAGTTGGCAGTCCTTGGAGCATGCGAACTTGTCTTACTAGTATGCGCCATTCAGTTCCAGGCGTACAGCTTACTCTCGATTGAGATGGTGTCCGCGGTCGCCCGACTTGTAGTGCTTTTATGTATGGTAGCCTTTGTGCCCGGGGTCGCATCGGATAATGCAAGGAGTGCCATCGGGTACTTGATCCTACTCACACATGCGTGTATACTCTTCTTTGGATTTTTTTATCCCAGCCGTGATACAGTTTGGGCAGTTATGTTGCCAACAGCCGAGCGATTCGGCCCCTTTGGTACGTTAACTAGATGCTAATAAAATAACATACTCAACACGAGAACTAACAAGAGATATTACCTAGGTTTATGGCCTTCGCCAACTTCGTCGACGGGAGGTTCTAAGAACTAGCTTACCAGATCGCCCTGGACTTTCTCTTTCTTCAGACAATGATACTTACCGAGATAGCACAGTATATCATGAATCTATGCATTATTCGGATGGCGGTAGTCGCTCTCATCATGACTCTAATTCAGGTTCGGGTCGGGGCTACTACCGGCCCCCGCGGCACAGTCGCTTTTCTCCCCAGCATTCCATCAATCTCTTTCAAGAGCACAACCTGTCACAGAATACACACTCAGATGATCAATATGCGAATCTCAATTCCACGGGCCGCTTAAGGACATCATATGAAGCCAGTTCCTCAAGTTCTTCGGGAACCGGCACGTTATCCACGGAGGCACCTACCAATACTGATACGAAGTCTTTGCATCCGAGGTGGGGTGATTATTCCTTCCGTGAATCGGATCTATATTACGGAACGCCAAGACCGGTACCGGCAGGAGGTACTACGATCGAAGCTCCTAGAGCTACGGATTCGAGACACTCAATGCGCCCCTTTTCTCTATCAGGGTTGTGGGCAGGGACATCCAGAGAATCGAACACGACGGAAAGGGGATTCTCTGTCGCTAGACCTCCTCGGCCCCCTTAACCTTCCGTCTTAAGTCAGGGTAATTGTAATCGTATTTATAGAATTATGTATGTAGACGACGACCTGATAAATTTGCCTTTTAGCCTCATTTTAGAGCGCTTTGACACATGCGCGTCTATCCACCTTCAAGATCAACCTCTACTGCCTCCTCAGTCATCGTCCTCTTCGTCGGTCGTCTCTTCTTCGTCATCATCGTCGTCGTGCTGTGCCTCAATATCAAATCTTTCCTTCGCATCATTTAGTGTGTAGTCCGCAAAAGACACCCCCGAAAGCAGCAGATACGCATCTTCGAATTTGAAGAAATACTTATCCAACTTTCCCCCCTTGCCTTTCTTGCCATCCATCACGTAGACCCATAGTAATCCGCCGTCTTCCTTCCAATCTTTCTTTGTCACTACGACAAAAGCCGTCGGATAGACGGAGATATCTCCTTTTGAGCCGCGACCTTTCCCCTTATGGGGCTTGATTCCCTTATCCGTGGCGACGTGAGCAGCGACCACATCGCTGAGCGTCTTGCCTGCGAAATCAGCCTCGGGTTGGGCGATTTTGATTATGGGTGTTTCGTTTTCCTCCTCGAACCACTCTTCTTGCAGGCCGGCGGCGACTTCAGTTAAGTTGACACCGGGGACGAGATTATAAAGGTAGAAAACAGCGTCGCCCCAGTGGTATTTCCCGTATGTGGTGAGTTCGGGCGCGGCTTCTGGAAGGGTCAGGTCTAGAGATGTAGACGCCATGTTAGAATGATGAGTGTAATTGATTTTGTAATTGAGAATTGAAAGTCTTGGTTTCAGGTGTTTTGAGGTAGGTATTAGGATCCCGCGCAGGACTCGCGATTGCTGAAGAGAAGGGAAGCTTTTATGGCTGGTTTACTTAAGCACGGGCACGGGCATGGGCATAGGTTAGGAGGTACCTAAAAATTGGTACTCGTGCTGGCTACGTAAACTCGCCTGTCGCACCCTAAAGGGTGCTGCGCTTTAATTAAGGATTGGCCCTGTAACTCAGGATTGATCCGAAGTACTTCCGAATGGGAGGGCTTCCCATATATCCTAAAAGTATTTTCAAACTTTCATAATATTTTGTAATATTATGAAAATATTGTTTCCTTTTTAGGATTTAAAGAAGGTGGGAATAGCCTCTTATTCGCCTTAATCCTTGTACGCTATCCCCAATTACAAGGGCTAATGCTTAATTAAAGCGCAGCACCCTTTAGGGTGCGACAGGCGAGTTTACGTAGCCAGCACGAGTACTTATAGGGGGGGTACATCGACCACTTTATGTGCTACCAACAGCTTTTATTTATGGCGTCAAACAAAGGATTGCCATGGCTGTAATTTCACCTGCAAGACATCCTTAGGAGCCGGATTCATTTAGTTTAGGTTAGAAGGTTAGGTACTTTTTAGTCAAATTCTACCCAATCACCTTTCGCATATAGCTTAGGCCGCTTAAGTTTTATTTATATGCCGGCTGAGGAGTTGACTGGCTGGCTAGTGTGGTTTGTAGGGCTGATCGACCTTCTTATTTAAGCTATAGTGTACCTGGCTATATATAGCAGTGCGTAGTGCATTCCCCTGAACGTCTTGGCGATGGCTGCTACCCTCCATTGCAAAATACGCACGCCAAGCGGTATTAATTGAAAAAGTCCAAACTACCTAACATAATTCCATCTAAGAGATACTCTGAAGGCCGTATTTCCCGAGATTCAACGTATGTTAACATTTTTGTTATTAATTTATAAAGTACATAAACATAAGGCCACCGTTAATCATAGACTATATAGCTGATGTCATATGGTTTAAAAGAACTTCGAATCGATATGATTACTACGGGTTAATCTGGCTTCAAAATATGCGTTTGATCTTATAGTACCTAGCAGGATCCATACCATCCAAGACCTAAGCCTCTATCGACAACTAAAGTATCTATCTTTAATCATACGTTGGTAAGATTAATGAAACGGCCAAGCTACCAAGCATCAGACAGCTTCACGAACTACCTGATATGGTAAAAGTTTCCTCATATTGCTGTATTTGTAACGATTATTTCAAAGCCTTGCCGCTTAATGGAGTGCTTCGCACCAACATAAGATACAATATCAAATAACTTGATGGATGTGCTTACCACTGAGATCTAGATACATTCGAAAAGCGCGCCATGGACTTAACTACGCCTTCCTTCCTGAAACAGACTATCTCAATGGACGTCAGCTCTACGCCGTCATCAAAATACCTCAGAAGGCACACTAGTATCTTATTATGAAGTCCAACACTGAAAGGGTCGGAGGTCTTGAGCATATAAAGTGCCATGTATTCCCAATGTAGCCGTAGATTATAGTTAGAGAATCAAACAGATTCGATTCAGTCATTCATTCATTCAATATTTCTATTCCTCTTCATTTCGTTCTTACTTGTTTCAACTTGTAAATATATCATCATGAAGGCATCTTGGATCCTCGCACTGGTTGCGGCAAGTCCCATGGTCCTCGCCCTAGACCAGGAGCCTCCTACTGGTGCAGAGCTGGTTGACCGGGCGGTTAAGAAGAAGGTTTTAAGCTTCAACTGTGACCAAATGCCAGAGGTCTGTCACAACATGTGCTATGGTATGTCTCAACTATATGACGTCTATCCTTCTCTCTTCTGCCTCGAACGTATATATCCTAATTATTTATGTAAATAGCCACCAACTGCAAGCACAAGCCTAGGCAACTCACCTGGGACAAGCCTAGCGCGAGTATCGAGGGTAAACGCAGACGAACAGCAGGTTGTGGTAGCAATAACCGCTGCAGCCAGAAGAAGCTTGGGAAGACGGGGTTCAACTGCGACGAGTACCCCTTTGCCTCGACCAGAAACGCAGATAGGGGTGGCCAGATCAACCGCTGCGTTCCAGAAAGGGAAAACAGCCGTAAGCTAGACTCTAGGTAATCACTTAACAAATTCAGCAGGCTAATTATCCTTTTCTCTTCAGGCCAAGGCTCAGCTCTTAGCCAGTTCTACCGCTCCCGAGGAAAATACAAGGCCACTGGATGCAAAGGCAAGAAGAACTGCAGTTTCACTGTCGCCTTCACGGGCGCCAAGGCCAAGACCATTGGTCCCTGCAAGAAGACGCCCGACTGCAAGAGCGACGGCAACCAGTGGACTAAGACTGGTCCTCTCAAGCGCGAGGAGCCCGAAAAGCCACAAAATGTGGCAGAGTACAAGCTCCGTCGCAGCGGTGATACTATTTTGTCGTCTGAAGACCTGTTGCCCGGTGATCTCGTATACCACATTGTGGAGCGCAATGCTACGCTAGCCGAGGAGCATCACGCGGGCCATATTTTTAACGAGTTCGCCGGGATTGAGCAGTATGACTACATGTCCGACAACCTGGACATGGAAGAAGATGAGATTCTTGCCAGGATCTAATGCAAGATTTCATATATAGGGGTTAGACTCGCGTAGAGTCCGGGTTTGGAAAAGGGGTGGAAATTTCTTGTATATCTCGCATTTACTTACCGGCTGGGTCGGGACATATATCATACATACTTTCTGTATATAACTTAGATGATGTATATTGTATTGGGAGGTGTTTGGAACTTTTAGATGACCTATAGACATTATACTAGACCTCTAGTTGGCCGGGCTATCGGGGGCAATAAGATCTAAATCTAAGACAATTCTTATGTTTGGAACTTCTGATTCACTCTATCAGATACATGTTTGAGTTTGGTACCGAGTAGTTCCCCTATTTAGTGTATATTTACGAACGGAAACTGGACGGCAAATAAAAAGATCGCGATGAGTTTACACAACGCCAACTTGCTGATTCTGTTATGATTATACCTAATTTAGATTATTACGAGTTAATGAATTTTGATATATATAATCCTTCAGCTCTAAAGTGGAAGAAGTTATAGATTAACGATATTACTCAGATGTGGTGTGACGACTAGATTAGGTACCCTACCAGAGGACTGGTGTGAGTTGTTCTACCTTCCTAACATAGTAACTAATATAAGACATGCTTATTCAGCTCTGGTTCGATTGTATCTATAGTCTTCATTCATCCGCCTAGAGGGTTCGTAAGTCAAAGGAGAAAGCAAGCTATGATGAACGCCGAGGCATTGTGGGGCACAGCTACAACGCATAAAAAGGATTCAGGGGTAAATAACGTGAGGATTGCGCCGCGCTATGTATTCTACGATATGATACGATAACAATAGCTAAGCATAAACAAGAAATGCAAAGCGATCCCGTAACACTTAGACGAAATCTTTTGCTGATTACTGATGGACATGAATGGAAGACGGAACGAATAAAAATTTCGAAAGGGAATATAATAAATTTGAATAAACCCGGTCTGACTAAAAACTTGTCGCAAATTACTTGACCATCCGTACGGTACATGTACTAAATATAATAGCCGCTAGCTAGACTTGAACCGGCCGAAGTTATGTAAGATCCGTAAGCGCCGGCCCGGAGACGCTAGGCCATGTGCCGATTAAGTACCCCGGGATCGGATCGGGAACACCCGCGTGAGAAAATCTAGAGGGTTATTAGCAATGAAACGGCAATTGAGTGAAATTTAAAACGTTTAAACCTATTCGAAATTTACGGGGGGGATCATAAAAAAACCTAAGTCTTTATTACATTACATCTAGCTTAAATGGCTATTATGGTACTCGGTACTTAACTACCTGGTAACTTGCTGGCTTTTTATGACCTAGCTACCTGTTTTAATATATTCCTTTAAATACTTGCGACATATTTTGGTCCGGGGTAAGATTATATTAACACTGGCCCAGAGTTTCGATAAGAACTATTGATCCTTAAGAATCGTATTCCTACTAAGGAAATAAACTCATAATGTACGAGCTATTCCTCGCTACGGGACAACTTCAAGATGGCGTGCGCCATCCTACGGGGCCTGACCCTGGATACAAGCGCGCCAGAACGTGCACCGCATCCTATCTTAGGTATACTTCGCCGGCCAACCCTAGCCGTGCGGCTTATTAGATTAGCGGAGTCGCCTGCACTACCTCTCTAGAAGGAGCTCAGTAAGCAGCTCACCCGGTCTTCGTATGTCATACAGCCGGCGTACGAGGTGTTCCACACACCTGCCTGCATTCTCGTCTCCACCCCCGAGTTGATTAGTAGATGACGCCCCCGAATGCAACGCACGCCAGGCCCTGCTGAATCATTCCCATGATAGAATTTTTTAATTTATGAGTAAGAGGTTACAAATGAGAGATGCTTCAATTGTTTCCGTGTTTAGATAGATATGGATTTGCTGTATGGTAGTAATATCTCCCTCGCAAACCCGTTTATCATCGAACCCTTATTTAACCCAATTTGATATGTATATTCAAGTAAGGATCATCGTTTGTAGGATAGCATCGTACCTATAGAAAGACGGCCTATTTGGCGATTTTTATACCTTCACTTGACTTAGTCATCCAGTTTAATAGAGTTATAAATAAACCCCTGAATCCCTTTATTTATACTAGTTACATACCTCGGTAACAAAGGCCTCTCGCCGCCTTCGGTCTCCGATAGCCTCTGAACCCTATCAACGTTGTTTTTTAGCCAATACTTAAGGCACTGAATAGCTTCAAAGGCGTTGATTCTAGACGAGACCGAAAATAAAAAGAAGTGGCTTCACTATACGAGGACAAGCAAGGGCTTACCGCTAGAATATGTATTTAAAAATGCTGCTGGCGTCATCCCTATACCAGAGGGCTTATCTACATCCCAGTTTACAGCGGAGTCTCGCAAGGGAATTACCAGCACCTATTATAATATAATGTATATGAGCCCCATTGTCAACCTCTAGGAATAACGATAATGATATCTTTAATGTCAGAATGGCGATCTAAACCCATTATTAAAGGCACATATTGCTATCGAGAATTTGTTATCAACTGATGAATCAACATGGCGGAATACGAACAGTTGCTCGAGCAGAGCATCTGGGATATAACACGGGACCATGTGACCTTTCCAGATCCCAGACAAATTAAGTTATCATATGAACGAGCACGCACGATATGCCGACACAGTGGTATGTATCAATCGAGTTTCAAGGTTTGTAATAAGCTAATCACCCGCTTGTATATAGGTATGACAGTAGATGACATTCTGAACTTGAGGCCTAGGTTCTGGGAGTTCCACCGTCACTGTGAGTCAGTACGATAAAGAGAAGTATCGACATATATAGATTTACCTAACCATCGTGCAGTTGTTACAACTAAGGACTATTCGGTAACAACCACGCTCGCTATACACTGGAACCTCTGTATAGGAACCATTGCCAAGTTTGCCCATGGTCGAAAAGATCTCCAACCTTTACTCCAAGATCTGCTGAGCTTTAATGTGTGCGGCGAGTATCTTCTCACGGAGATCGGCCACGGCCTTGACGCGCGTAATCTAGAGACGACGGCAACATTGAAACCAGATGGCTCATTCGAGCTTCACACCCCTAATAAGGCTGCCGCTAAGGCTATGCCACCGACTACACCATGGGCTGGTGTGCCTCGGGTTGGGGTGGTATTTGCGAGGCTCCTCTCCAATGATGTCGATTGCGGCGTCAAGCCGTTCATTGTCAAACTCTGTGACGCAACCCAGATGTGTCCCGGGGTTATCTCCCGTCCCCTTCCAGTTCGCAACGGTGCACGAGCGCTGGATCATTCAATCACGACATTCAACCATGTCCAGTTGCCTCCGGGCTCGCTGCTCGGACCAGCGGAGCTGGCATCTAAGCCGCGCATTGATTTCCTTACGCAAATCTGGAGAGTCTCCGTCGGGACCCTGTCTCTTTCTCTGCTAAACATTCCTGCTCTTCGCCAAAGCGCCTTCATCGCCGGTACCTATAGTATTCGTCGGCATGTGGGCTCTAACGTCGGCAGTGTGACAGTGCCTATAATCAGCTTCGCAACACAGTACAGGCCAGTCTTGGCGGCGCTTGTTCAAGCCTCCGCGTTCGATGCTTTCGCAGACGATGCCATCAAGACCTTTTGTGATGATTCTCTCGCCCTGCAAGTCCGCCACGCTGTAGCTTCTTGTTTCAAGGCCACCGTCACGCTAGGAACCCAAACCACGCTCACTGAACTTGCGGATCGCTGTGGATGGCAAGGGTTGTTCGCGTATAATCGCATCATTGAATCGGCGCAATCCCTGCGGGGAAATTCTATCGCCGAGGGTGATTATACCGTCCTGTGCATACGTAAGTGTACCCTATATATGACTCCTTTGGGAATTGGCTGCTAACATACTTCTGTTCTGCCTTGACAAGGCCTCGTGTCTGAGGTGCTACTTGGTCGTTACAAGCTCCCAGAGTCAAAGATGAAAGACTGCCGTCTCGCGAAGCATGAAGCTGGGGTCTGGCGAGAGGCCCAGGAGATGATGACCTCGTTAGTTGTCAATGGACATCGCGACGACGCTTACAACACCTACATATTACCCCGCTCCCGCGCCCTCGTCGAGGCTACAGGTCATAGAATGGCCTATGAAGCGGCGTTTACGGGAGGAAAATGTACACCAGAAGTGCTAGCTCTCTTTGAGTCCATATGCGTCATGTCCGACTTGAGTTGGTACTGCGAGTACGAAGAAGTTAGTAGAAAAGTTCTTCTTTCCGAAGATGCCAGGGCTGCCGAAGCTCTGTTGCCCCAACTCGTGACCCTCTTGCAGGAGACCAAGGCGCAGCCGTGGACTACAGCCCCTATTTTGGAAGAAAAGAAGTGGGATGAATTTCTTCGAATTCTGCCAGCTTTTCAACATGCCGCAAGGGATCTAGAAAAGGCAAGTCTCTAGGTAGTTTTACTAAGACGGTCTTAAAATTCTTCAATATTTACGATATTCATCCGTCTTAGATTCATTCCACGCTTAGTGATATAGACTACTATATTTCATTGAACATATTTAGCTGCTCTCTTATTATTAATGGTAATTTATTACTAAGGGCTGATGATTGTGTATCTAGTCGCTAGGTATAAAATACATCAATGCCTCAGTTGGCACCGGTTGCACATTTCGAAGCAAGGCTATGAATATTTCGATTAGAAAGTATAGATAAAAGAAAAAAAAATGGATATCAGCAGGCCAGGATAGGTGTTCCCCATGAGCGAATCCGTGTATTACCCATCCAGATTAAGTACGGTGTTGGTAGTCAAGACAATCCCTTGTTAAGTACCTAGGTAGGTAGTAATATAAGTGCTCATTATCTATCTCAAGATGATATTTTATCTTATACTCACATTTTAGTCATAATTTAACTACTTTATATTTCTGTCATATTAAATCATTGAATTACCTTAGTGATAATGTCTTGTTTTGAATCACATTCGTCATTAATTAGCATATTGCCCAGACTTGGTCAGCCCCTATTGGCTTGCGTATACGACGAAATAGATGAATAATTGAGTAAAGAAACAGCTGTGGAATATCACCTTGCAACATCCAATAGGTTATGTGGGTGAAATTTACCATTGCTGGGTGCAGAAACAATGGATATTTACCTCTCTGGTCAAACACTAGTAGAATCCTAAACTACCAAGCCATCCTCCACACCCGGTATTTTGCCACACAGAAGATAAACTTATAAGTCCAAATAATAACCGGTATTTTCCTAGACAGAAGTTAAACTTATAAGTCTAAAGAAAAGTAGGGGTTTTAACAAATGGTAAATGGCCGTGTTGGAACGGCCTAGCGAATTATTCATAAACCTCCGCCATACCTAAGAACTACTCTACTGCATACCTATGCAATATCCTTATGAAACATCGTTAGGGCCTGGGGTTCGATTCCTCAGACGGCCACTTCAACACGCCTTTTTTTTTTTTTTTTTTTTTTTTTCCTTTTCAACACCTACCCCAACCACTACGCCAGCGTTTGGTGCCCGCCCGCGCAAGCGAGTACGGGGGAAAGGGGGAGAAAAGGGGGTCGGCACCATTTTATAACCAAAAGGATATTAAAAGCAAGGTTCAAGTACGCATTCCCGACAACATATATCTTGGATTATTTCTCTATAGTTCAATTTTCCGACTCAAGTGGATATCCTATTATGTTTTGAAGCCAATGCAACACTAATTCTAAGCCGAAAATCTTTTATATATAGACGTCAAGCAACCGTAACAGGTAGTCAAGATGTCCTCAAATTTATGATACAGTCTTGGGAGTAATATGCCGCCCACGTGTCAAGAAAAGCGAACATATTGTGTAAAGCGCACCAGCCGCGATGATCATTGCCCATACGTCACCGATGACAGACACAATGACATCGATACATTGAGCTCGGATTTCAGGAGCAGCATTTGTCAAGACTTCGCTCTTGGCTCCAGCAATAGCAGCTTGGATCTCGCTCTTCGTGTAGCCCGGTCCCAGCACCTGTTGGATCCCATCATATGCTTTAGTCTGGAATATCGCACTGGCTATCGCCAATCCAATAAGACCACTGGCACCTTGAGAGATATTGAGGAACTGAATGACGTCGGATGCCCTACTTGGCTCCACTAAAACATTGCCTACGGCATAGACAGCTTGACTTGTCGTCATACCCAAGCCGACGAGAACCGTATAACCGGCGATGTTCGCGTTTGACGTGTTGACAGTTACTGTAAACATTGTTGCTCCACCAGCAGTCATAAGGAGACCGCTGACAGTAAACCATACCATATGATGCCCAACTTTTCTCATGAGCGCACCGCAGAGCAGGATTGAAAACACATAGCAGCAAACGTACGGGAGCAGTCTCACAGCAGCCCCAGTACCGGTAAGCCCATAGACAAACAAGTAGTACAGCGGAATGTAGTAAACGGCAACGAATACAGCAGCTCCGCCACAAGCCATGATGATGAAGAGAAGAACCAACTGGGGATTCCGTAAGAAATCACAGGGGAATAGTCGGTCGGTCTTGTTCGTGAAGATGGCGCGGGCTTGGGATACGCCGAAAGCAATACCGCAGACACCAAAAACGACGAACAAGGCGATAATACGACCATCACTCCATTCCCATATGGCACCACCGAAGGTAAAAGCAACTGTGAAGCAGCAATACATGCCAGCGTTGAGGATAATCCCCAACCAATCCAGAGTCTTCACTTTGTCGGATAGAGCTGTCTCTGGCTTGCGTGGGATGGATGGGAGCAGAAAGAGGTAGATCGGAGCCATGACGGCAAAGATGCATAGGTTAAGATAGAATGCCTGGAGATGTATTAGCAACGTAGGTAGGCTTAACTGATAATTATCATTTAACTTAGGTAATGCTTACCCATCTCCAAGTGGCAGGGCTGTCAGCTAGAAGACCGCCAACAATAGGCCCAAGAATACACCCAACGCCGTAGACGAAGCCGATGAGCCCTACATAGAAACCGTGTTCCTTTGGTGAGCTCAAAGCAGTACAGATGTTCAATGTTCTATGTAATCATTAGTAAATTGACTTGATTCGACTTGTTGATGAGTATGTCCTTACCCAAGGTACATGCCCGCTCCGCCAGCACCGGCCCAGACACGGCCTACGATCATGGCATTCATATTCGGCGCACCTCCACAGAGGGCACTAGCCGCGGCAAAATTGGTCAGGCAGCCGATGAAAATCCACTTATTATCGAAAAGACCGTAGGCTTTTCCGAGCGGCAAGATCATCACGGCGGAACCGAGCGTAAACCCCACGCCGAGCCATCCCAGCTGCGCAACATTGCTGTAAGTCTCCGAGACCGCACCCTGGATATCGGCAACGATGGTGGAGTCAAGGCCGTAGAGGATATTTGCCGAAAAGATGGCGATGCAGATGAGAAGCCATCGTATACCTCGAATAGTGCGTTCCTGTACCTCCCCGCTGCCTTCGCTGTCGCTCGAGCTGGACGAAGGCTGTTCCTTTTCCTTAGTATCGATCTCGGCACTGCTGCGCTTCTCGATGTCTTGGCTGTAGTCCGCCATTGGTGCGATAGTAAGGCACCGAAAAGGGGCTGAGTATATAAGGCTTGCCGGATGGAACTAGTGTTGGACGCGGTGGTGGAACGAGAGGAAATACAATTCAGGGTCCGGTGCTGAAAGGTCTTTTATTCTCAACTCAGAACATTTTGATATCATGATTGTCACCCTGAACTTGATCCGTCTATTTCGGGCTTAAGGAGTTTAATTCAAAGTCTTTTCTATTATTATGCTGCAATTGAGATTCCGTGTTGTATAACCATCAGTTATTGCCTTGGCGCGTCGTTGAACTGTCCGTATTGCGTCCCTGAATGGACTTTGCCTAAGGCTGTCATCTGGTCATGGTTGCTTATGCCATGAATCCATTACCAAAAGGAGACAGAGAAGGCTTCTGATTGGCCCGATGAAAAAAGGCGTGGTCGGAGTTCTCCTTTCGGATGCTGACTCAGGAAACTTGAAGCGGTAAATATGCCATATCTCCTTTTGGAAATATATCACATCTATGCCTAATGTTTCTCAGCTCTGACTCCTTGAATGAAAACGTCAGAAAATTCTCAGAAGCTCCAGATCCTTCCTATGATATCATTATAAACTCCATAGGCGTTTCGGTGTTAAGCTTATAGCCTTGCATCAATACGTATTAATCATACCCTTAGCGTTACTTCGACCTCACTTCTCAGCTCGCATAGCTGCAGATCGCTCGTTTCCGTGAAGTATTCTCCTGCTATTCGTGCATACGGTTCGGAGTAGCTCAGCTCCGCCAACTCATTTTGTTTTTTTTTTCAAAATATTACCTGCCTATTTCCTCCTTGTAGACATAGATAAAAACATCCGCCTACCTCCCCTACTCTTGAATTCAAACCACCTACACCATACACATGCTATCTCGCGACATGTAGTGTACCTATGTATGTGTCCTAAGGCCGAGAATCCCAAATTGCCTAGGTAGGGATCCGGAGTGACTCCACTAAGCCAAGCCCGGCTACCCGCCGCTACTTGGTCTTTTAGATCTGATCCTGTAAGTAGCTTATCTTCTACGGCTGATCCTAAATTGATCGGATCTTAATGGAGAAGCGTTTAAACATTTTCTTCCGATATGCTATTCCGTATGGGGCCGCGTAAGCGCTAACATAAGATCCCAGTTTAAATCTTGAGAGATAACTAACTATATCTCTCCCGGAATCCTTCAACTAGGCGGTCCTAGGCAAAGGCGCAGGGAAGCCCCCTGGATCATCGAGCAGGCCTATGTATGCGACAGGGGAAACAGTTCCTGAATCAGCTTACCTGGACGGCGACGACAAAGATGAGGGGTGATCCCCCGTCCATGATATTGTACCACGCGGGCGTATCAAAGGATCGTACACCTTTTGTGTACTTTACTACGCAAGTCCAGCTCCTATCATAGCTGTCCCTCCATCTCCAGAAGCCAAATACGAAATACCTTAGGTATATCACATCATATTACGGAACATCCTGCGCTACGGGACGAAGCGGCGGCCCGCATACCCGTGAACATGGACGTGGCTCAGTACGCTGCTGATCACGTGTATGCGTATAAGAGAATGTTGATATTCAAACTTGATGCGAAATACGGATGAGGATGCGAAATACGGAGGAGAGACGATGGCGGTGTATGGCCTCCGCAGCATTGATCGTCTGGGACTCTATCCGAATGCGATTCCGATGGAGAGCCATATGTACAAAACTCCAGTATCCACAAGAATACCGATTTTGACAGCTTGGCTTGAGACTACCGATGCATGCGAGCTGCGGCAGAATATGGGACCACTAAATTAGCAGCGGCTATGGCGACAAGGATCCCCCCGGACAATTCCTCTTGCGGCGTATGATTGCGTATATCGACACTGTCATTGCGGCTTTATTCACTAAACATCGCTAATGAGATCTCTCCCAGCACGCTAAACGAGTTTTCAATCATGAAGAAACACCTAAATTGCTCGTGGTGCGAAGTTAACCATCCATAATGGCGCCATTAGAGTTAAGTCTCGAAATATATCACACGAGAGCTTTGCTAAGCACTCATTTAGCCACGCGTGACTATCGTAACCGCAAATCTACTGATGAAAATGTGATAGGAGAAGATAGAGAAGAAGAAAAAAAGAAAAAAGCCAATCAGAAAATGTTCTAAAGGGCGAGTATTTCGTGAGGCTTGTGTTTCTCATGAAATGAATAATTCGTTATTATACGGAACTTATATGGAACTTATATACTCTAGGCACAATTCTCATGTTCTAGTACGTACTTGCGTATATCAAAAAGAAATACGGACCCCAAACAACACCTGCGTATGACATTCTCTTCATTTTCCCTGAAGGGGTTCAAGCAGCCCCGAAATTGTACCCCCACTCATCCGGCACATTGCCCATGGCAGACCAAAACATCTCCAAGCCAGTGGACGAGTCTATAGAAAATGCCGTGTCCATAGCCATTACGTTCTGCATCGCCACGTGGTCTTCGTTCGTATGCATCATCATTGGACCGCTGCTCTCTATGAGCCCTGCTCCCACCACGTGGTCTGGTACCTGCATCTGGCCGTCAGCCGTTCTGGAAGCGAGGAAGTCAGCCTTAGTTGTGAGATCCCGCATCACAGCCGCCGCACTGTTAGCAGCCGCGAAACTGCGCCCGAATATCTCAAACACGGCCACGGCCCGCTCCACAGCCTGGCGCACAATGCCCGCAATGTCAGAATTAGGATGCGCAAGGAGATATCCAGCCATTGTAACGGCGGCATTCCATTGCCATTGGAAGGCTTCGAGCCAGCCACATAGGATATCAGTCTCGGACAGTATCTGATGCATAATATGCGTTATTGCCATACCATGGTTGACGGCCGAGTTAGCATGTGACTGGGTTACCGGTGTTGGGGGCGGCGGTGAAGAGGATGGGGTTGGGGATGTTGATGGGAATGCTATGAACGGCCGATAGAGGTTCATAGATAGGTGGTGATATAATAACTCTAGGAGTAGGCGCTGTCGCTGTAGCCAGAGAGGAGCGAACCGTTCAACGATCAAAGGGGATTGGTCTGTCGAAAAAGCGACGCCAGCCCCGACACGTTTTGTCTTAAGCGCATCGGGAACAGCAACGGTCCATGTATCCAAGGTTTTCATTATCGTTGCGAGATAATCGGCATATCGTTCCAGAGCTTCTAGGTCGTCGTAGATGATAGTACCTTTCTCACCAGTGTAGATCTCCGAATACTTATCGTACAGTGCCGTATGGACGGCACGCGCGGCTAGGATCAGCTTCGTGTTGTATAAATTGTAACTGAGCCACGTGACGTTCTCTCCAAGCGGTGCAAAGTCGGATCCCGCTAGCATTGCAACGTTATGGTCGTCGCTAGGCAGGCTACACAGGGTCGTAGATAAACTTAGCGAGAAAGGCCGGCCTAGTTTCATGCCAGTCTTACTCTCAGCCATGTAAAGCGACCAATAGAGACGCTTGCGCATTTCTCTTTCAGCAAGTGGCAGGGTCTCAGGCGGCTCAAAATGCAGTCCAAGCATCTGCGCAGTACGAACAGCGAGAGCAAGGGTGCTGTGCGCCATGTTCTGGAATGAGGCGCAGCATAGATAGACGACAGAGAGAAGCTGACATTGTAGCGTGCTTATTGTCGGACTTTCCAACTCGCTTGTCAAAAGGCTCTGACATCTCCGATAATACCAACGTCCGGCGATAGTCGGGTCATCGGCGTCCACGTCAGATGAGACCCTTGCGCCGCGTGGTATCCCGGCCACTATGGAGTTTTAAGGTAAGCAGCTATTCCTGGGTATGTATATCTAGCATAAATAGGACGACGGGTTAGGGCGATGAGATTCTTGGGTAGGATTCGTACCTACGCCCAATATGACAGGGGGATGTGATTAAGGAGTACCTATGTAGTGAAAAGCACTTACTGCCATATTGCATACACAAAGCGATGACAATATCCACTAGGGCTGAAGGTTTCCGGGGTTTACCGGGGGTCACCCATAATGACTTGTAGTGTTTTTTGAAATCGAGCTCATTGAGGACGAGCAGGGAGCTGTGAAAAGATTGCCAAAATAGGTCCAGGAAATACTCCTCTTGGGTTGGTGTAAGAAATTCGCCAGAAGAGGTTCCCTTGTTAGGTTCCTGAGATGATAGCTCTTGGTCGTCCGATGGATTGCTGCAATTGGGAGTCGGGAATGATTTAGCGACCGAATTGAGTTGGATCTGTTCATCCAGATGTAGCTGCTGAAATACGGCTGTAAGGTAGCTGTTCATGCGGCTGATAAAGTAGAAGAGCGACGACGGCCCGTACCACGTTTTCTGACGCGAGTGGGCTGTGCTAGTCTCGATGCCATCCCAAGATTTCTTCGTGCTTGTGGATTCCCACATGTAGTTAAGATCCACAGGCGACGATGCTTTAGTTGAGGATGAGCGACTGGCATTATTGGCTGCATTATTTTCCTCCTTGAGCTGTTCTTCTAACTCAGTGACTTGTTGCTTCAGTCGGTCAATCTCACTATTAAATCTCAGCATCTCATCATCTAAGCATTCTCGGGGTTCACATAAGGTGGCACAGCCAGGCAGACTTACCGGTACGCGTGTGCTAAAGTACGGGCCTCGTTTGAGGCTTTGTTGCTACATTGCCATCCTCTGCTTCGGCAATTCTTGCATGGGAGGTTGTTGTCGCACTTGACTCGGTGTACTCGACACCTGTTGGATATCCATTAGGAGACTTTGAACTCTTTGAACTCTTTAAACTCTTTAAGCTCTTTAAACTTGGATAAGATAACTACCTCCTAGGAGGTAGGTAGCTACCTATATTGGTGTAGCTTCAGATGCGGCACATAAGAAGAAAAGACAACAACAACAACAAAATAAAATAAAATATTAGGTACTTACCAGTCGCAAGCCCGAGCGACTTGTGGCCGCTTTGGCCTTGGTGGAGCACGAACCGAGGTCCCGGCCGGTTCGGACGAGGGTGACACTAAGGTTCCTCCCGTATGCCCACTCTTATTACTCCCAGTTAGTGACTGAGGCGTTCCCACGAATGTGGTAAACATTAAGCGTAGCGTCGACTCTCTGTTGCTGGTTTCTGTGATACTATGTTATCGATCCAATCGGTATTTTTATTTTTTATTTTTTTTTCCCCTGGACCAACTCAGGTACCAGTATTCAGTCAGCTGACAGAAATTGCCAATATAGAGCTACAATTTGATTATAGGTTAGGTACTATGTAAAGAATTGTAAAGGGAATCAACCGCTATGGGAAAATAGACAAAGTGGGGACTCCGAATTGGATACTCCGAAGGTGTAAAGTGAGGTTTGGTGGAAGAACATGTCATGTACCCAAATGAGGAGCGAGTCACGGTATTTGCAAAAACTGTGAACCGGAGGCTGTGGCGACCGGTCACCACGGTATTCGGTTTACTAAGTTGGTACATATTAGTACATGTAAGATAAACGAAATCCCTTCCGTGCTTATTTATGCATGTAGGCGGCGTTGAAAAAAAAGAAAAGAGGAAGACCAAACAATTCCGCCTTGTTATTGTGAATTTTTGGTTTGATTAATAATCTAGTTAAATACCAATCCGTATTTTAATGTTTTCTTTTAATCGCAACAACGTAAAATTGACTTGACACCTAAAAGAAGCAACTTTCATAATTATTTAATTGAGGATTAAAAGCTAAGTGAGCAGCAATGTTAACTAAATATATAGAGTGCTCAATATATATGAAGGTAGCCAGGTAGGTATGTAGGTAGGTATTTATAAAGATAATAACATAATGCATAAAACCGCATCATCAGCTCCTCACTGCAGATATGCCCTATGCCCTACCGGTAAGTAAGACCCAGGCTGTTGGTTGCACGGCATTTTCAGCTTGCTTACGGGTTCTTTATCATTTTCATCACACACCACACATACCCATACCCATACCCATACCCACACACCCCCCCACGCGCCTAAGATCCTTCGCATGGCCCTGACGTCGTTCCTAGATAGCTCGGAAATGCAAGCTGTATGTACATCTATCGATCATCTACAATTACCCATGGTCCATGGAACGGATCTGCCATAATCCTTGAATAGCACAGTAAGTATCAGGGTCAACTAGCTGACATCAGTTACGATGGTAAGCGAGATAACTTTCCAAGAGGACGCCGTTTCGGAACCTCCTTTTGGACTTTATTCAACATCAACGCTTGAAATCAAACGATATAGCCATGATCTCGTCGACTAGAGCTCACCAAAGCTGAATCCTTCCGAGTGAAGGATCCAGGGGAAGTTATGGCTTCTTGGTAATCTCGATCACCGTCGTGCGAGCGAATACGGGCGCCTGGCCATAGCCTACCAAGTATGGAGTATCGAGTATGGCTATGGTGATTTTGGCTCCAGTCTGGGCAGGCTGCCAAAACATATAAAACAAGCCGATGATGTCGATCCCATCGCAAAAATTTTAGAAGCCAGTCTCGCCAGCAAGCCCTTCGCCAATCATTGATTCCCCAGCTTCGACTGCTCGACTTCTCGTCTTAGGTGCCTAGTCATCTGTTAGTTTTGTATACCTACCAAACCGCGATGGCTTGGGTAGCAAAGACGGCATGTGCCGTCGTGGCTTTGGCTGCTATTGCGCAGACCACACCTTTGGATAATCATATTCAAGCTCGCCGTCTATTAGGTTCTTCTTTCGGTATGCCAGGCGACGACGCTACCTATGACTATGTTGTCGTCGGGGGTGGAAACGCCGGTTTAGCTCTTGCCACGCGCCTCGTCGAACAGAAGGCCGGTACGGTTGCAGTTATCGAAGCTGGGTCATTTTTTGAGATCGACAATAGCAACCTCAGTCAAGTACCAGCTCAAGCTGGTGCTTTTGCTGGAAAGGGTGATCATGACTGGCAGCCTTTGATCGACTGGGGCTACATGACAGCTCCTCAAGCTGTAAGTTTCAATGATCCCTCTTCGATATTTCCTCATGCTAACAAGCCATAGGGTGCAAATAATGATTCGATCCATTATGCGCGTGGCAAAGGACTCGGTGGTTGCTCATCTAGAAACTATAGTACGTATCTCAATAAGCGTCCAATGGATGGTCACTAACTCAATCTTAAACAGTGGTGTACCAGAGAGGAACCAAGTCATCCTATAGCATGTGGGCCGATCAAGTGGGAGATGATAGTTACCAGTGGGACAATTTCTCGCCGTACTTCCAGAAGAGCGTTAACTTCACCGGCCCGAACATGGAACTGAGGTCTTCCAACTCGACACCTGAGTATGATATAAACGCTTTCAGCACTAGCGACGGACCACTTTCTGTGACCTTCGCCAACTATGCGCAAGCCTTTGGAACTTGGGCCCAAAAGGGTCTCGAGCAGATCGGTCTCTCCGTGATTCCCGGTTTCCAAAGCGGTTCTCTCCTCGGCCAATCATACAGCATGTTCACCATCAACCCACAAACCGGAGTCAGAGACTCATCAGAAACATCTTTCCTTCAGAAGGCACTTAATTATCCCGAATACACAGTATATCAGTCAGCAATGGCAAAGAAGATTGTTTTCGACGGAACTAAGGCGACAGGCGTACTAGTTGACACAGAAGGTTTCGAATATACTATATCCGCCAGGAAAGAAGTCATCCTTTCGGCCGGTGTGTTCGGTTCGCCTCAACTACTGCAAGCTTCCGGAGTTGGCCCCGAAGATCTCCTTAAAGAGCTAGGCATTCCAGTTGTAGCTAACCGACCGGGCGTTGGCGAGAACATGCAAGACCACCTCTACTTTGGCGTTACTCACGCGGTTAATGCTCCCACAATTTCCAGTCTATCCAACCCGGCTTTCGCTGCTGCCGCCGCCGCCGAGTTCAACGAACGCGGAGGCGGCATGTACTCTAACCCCACGACCGACACTTTCGGATGGGAAAAGGTCCCCGAGCCTCTCCGCTCCGGAATTTCTAACAGCACCCTGGGCGTATTGAACAGCTACCCTGAAGACTGGCCTGAGCTCGAATATGTTTCCCTTGGTGCTTATATTGGCGACCAAGAAGACTCGCGACACGGTTCCCCCACCGATGGCCGCAACTATGCTTCAATGGTCGTCGTGCTCATCACGCCGCAGTCCCGAGGTACCGTTAAGATCACTTCGCCTGATACTAGCGTCCAGCCGGAAATCAACCCGAACTTCCTTGTCAACCGCGCAGATCAGGAGGTAGTAATCGCAGGATTCAAGCGCGCCCGTGAATTCTGGAACACAGACGCCATGTCCAACTTTTCTATCGCCGACGAGGTTTACCCTGGTCTCGACGTCAAGACAGACAGCCAGATCCTAGAAGTTATTAAGAAGAGTTATAACACTATCTATCACGGCGCGTGTACTTGCGCCATGGGTCCCGAGGACAACGAGATGTCGGTCGTAGATAATACGGCAAAGGTTATCGGTGTTCAAAACTTGCGAGTTGTCGATGCATCCGCTTTCCCTCTTCTGCCTCCCGGTCACCCGATGGCAACCATCTGTAAGTCACAACTATTTGCAAACAACGTTGAAAAGTTGGATCAGCGCTAACAAGTCACCAGATGCCCTCGCTGAAAAGATCGCTTGTGACATATCAGGCAACTGCTAATAGCAACAACATTACAACCTAATACTTAGGACAACTGTATTACTACAACTTCATTTGTGTTCAAATTTACTTCGCTGTATATCTAGATAGATATTTGTTAGATATTTTAGACTTAGAATGTTCACACGTTCAAAGAAATTGAGGAAGCTTTAAGAATGGGAAACGTCTTCGTAAATGCGCTAGTGACCGCCGTTAATTTATGGCATTATAATATTCTTAAATAACTTAAGGATATCTAGATCCTAATGTGTTATCATAATTGCTTATTCAAAGGGTTAGGTATTGGATTGATATTTGACACTAGTAGTACTACTGTTGATCGTATTTCAAACAACTATTAAAGTACCAAACCCCAATGCTATAAATACTAGATTATCGTTGGTTACCTATGATTACTGAATTTGAATATTCTTCGGTGGTTCCTGATCGTAATCATTGTGATATTCACTCTAATCGTGGCTCACGTGGGGGGTTTTGGTAGTAATTCCTGCAAGGGACATACCGTATGACTGCATTTACATACCACGTGCTATTTAAGTATCGGTCGCAGTCATACTTCTTACATACCTGTACATGAGCATATGCAGTCATACTACGATGCTATTTCGATGTGGGATGAGATAAGAACCCCAGCATGTATAGTTGAAGGTGATCTGACTAATACAATTGCAATATTATAGCTGGGTATTATTCTTAAAAGGAAGTTTATAAATATGCAATAAATGTAATCATCAGGGGGTGAGACAAACTGTTACGTCCTTCGGCCATTTCAGGCAAGCCGCAAGTGAGATCGGTGGGGGTTGGCGCCTCCTATTAGCCATATATATGGCTTTTCCAGGTTTCCGTCTATGATTTACATTTGGGTTCAGATACATATGGCTACGCAAAATACAAGCATAGCCGAAGGTCGCCAAGGTAAGTCTAGATTTCTACTCTACATCGTTTCCTATCTACCCCAACGAAGACTAACTAACTAGAGGAGAAGATCAACATCGTGTGCGGGGAGCCGACTGATGGGGCCGAGAACGGCGAGGAGAACCGTCGCGACTCTCGTAGCTTTCCACCAGAGGAGGAAACCTGGATCCAGAAGAACAAGAAGGCCAAGCGTCTCGGCGAATGGCGCCAGACGTATCACACCGCCTATGCCGTTCGTGACGCTACTCACATCTACAAGCTGTCACGAGATTCGCCACACAGCGCTGCGTACGCATCTCTTACGGACCGCCAAGAGCGCATTGACTTTCTCAAACGACACGGCATTGCTCAGCGCCGCTGAGGTGCTTGGCTGTTGGGGGATAATACAAGTATCATAACTCCTGTACTTTCGACTCGAGTATGTATTCGTAATAGGACCGCTATACGAAGCAAATGTGTTCAGTAACTCCGAAGCACAAACTACCTAGCTACGGAGGAACCCCCGCTCATTCGAGAACCGACCAAGGATCCGGACATACTCTTCAAGAAAGACTCGTTGTGTCAGCCAATTAGGTTTTATATAACCTTGAGGGGTTTGCTCTGTGGCTCGTTCATACACCAGGGGATATTAGCAATAAAGCGGAGTTAACCGGCTTTATCAGCATCGCGACCTATAAGTACGGAATATACATATAAGAATGCATATAGGGGACATGGGTAAGTAACGTGAGTAGAAGGAAAAGGCGCCGGTGCTACAAAATTCTCATCAGATACATCAACTCAAGTGTAACTGTTGCCTTAGATTAGAATCGAGCATATAAGATTACTTATGACTATAAGGGCACGTGGGACACCAGTCTTCATTCGATATCCTAAAAGTTCATACATAATAATGCATTGTAGCCGAATAGATGTTAGATGGCGTATTCTCTACAAGGGAGTACTGTGTGACTTTAAACAGTAGGAGATTTATAAATATCCACAGTAACATCCCGAATCTCGACTCCTTGGTCCGTAATGTTATGCGAGCCGCTAAACACACCATTCAGCCACTCCAACGCTCTGTCTTGGCCATTTACGATCTCAGAAATATGGCCACCGACCGTGTTGCGCTCATATAGAATAGAGACGTTATACCGCTTGTAGTGAGCGATGTGATCGTCCGTATCAGAAATAGGTGTAAACTCATCCCCGATCGCCTTATAAACGAAGAGCGGGATCTCCGGGGCACCATGGAAACCAAGTATCCACTCAACCTTTTTGATCCTACGCAAGGCTTCTGATTCCTCAAAGTCGGCCTGACCACCAATAAAAAAGTCCCAGATATCCTGCCCGGCATATGCTTGGAAAGCCTGCATTGAATCCATCTCGCGGCCCTTAAGAAAGGCAGCGGCGTTGTGTGGACCGTCAGTCTTGAGGCGGCTACGTAGATATGTATCAACTTCGGGATATTCGTTCATAATACCTAATAAAATCAAGACCAAATTCCCCATAAAGGGCAATTTGTTAGTGAAGCTGAACCTAGATCCTACATCTCTCACCAAACCACCTAAGGCGGCACCCACGAAACCGGTTGACAGCTCAGGGGCGTATTGGACTTGCAACTCAGCGGCTTTCTCGGAAGCGAGCGAACCACCGCTATATCCCCACATTGCATACTTGAACCTGTCTGCACTAGTAGGCAAGAGCAAAAATTCCGAATTACCACACAAAGAAAGCACAGCACGAATGCCGTCGAGCGTAGCATGTCCGGCTTGGACGGTCGCGCCGAAGGCGGCACGCGGTCCTTCGAAGTCGGGAATGGTAACAAACCAACCGCGGCCTAGCATTGTATCAACAACTTCATGATTGGTGGGAATGCCGAACGCGTTTGCGGGCGGCGGCTGGAAGATACGGTACGACGGTCCGAAATCGATACTCGGCGAGTTATACGCGTGCTGGTGAGAAAGCAGGGCATTGAATCCGGATGGTGAGATAAAGGGCTTCTTGGGGATAATCAGGGATCTGATTAATGGTTGGATGGGTCAGAAGGTATCTAACCTAGGTAGGTACTTTGATAAAGACTAATACCTAGACTGAACGGGAGACTTGGGTTACTTACGTCACTGCCCAGGTTGGTTGGTATCGCGAGCCAGTGGTACGATAAAGAATATGAAAGGCCGCAGAGGCATTGCTGAAGACAGTCGGCCCACCCGGGACAGCTCGAACCCGGAGCACAGTTCCAGGGGTAGAGGCTTCGAAGTCGGGCGGGGCCGTATACCACGGATCCTGGCTCGGAAGAAGCAACCCGTCCGGGCCGCCGCCAGGGGTGAGGGATGATAATACCATACTGCAATAAACTAGCCCCTGCTAATCTGAGTTGAATAACATTTACAGAGAGCGTTACATTTATAACCTAGATGATTGATCACATCTTGTTGGTGGGGTACGCATATGTAAGGGGTTCGGAGTTATGGGAATCTCCGGACCCAACAGTACCTATCTGAAGAGAAGTATATAAACGGTCCGGTGCGTCACGATGAGGCACAGTCATGGCGCCTTTCGGGCTTATATAAGTGAATAATATATATCTTTATTTCATATTTAGGTTTCACTGATGCACATGAGTTGAAAGGTTTTAGGGTTTCCACTCACTGTTTATATATCTGATTTCCTCGTACTTCAGGTAGCTAACAAGCTCAATAAACCGGTAACAACTATCAATTCCGCGCGCGTGAAGGTTTCTCATATTTACTTAACAGTTATATGTCTTAGACACTTCTCTATAGAGCTATAAGTCCTCTTATAATATGGCATGTTATGGAATGTTGAACAATTTAAGTCTATTACTGACGAGTGCCTTTCAACTTCCCTACAGTATGCCGTAGCTTTATAAGCCAAACCATTAGGTATTCTTACATATAGTTACCAAGTCTCCTTCACCGACAATGATGGTTAAAACGGCGCTGGTGGGCCTTTCCTCCCTCCTATTATCGTTTCTATCCCGTAAGCCAATTCGAGCAGGGTTTGCTCCTGATATTCTAGACCGATCAACTCCATACCAACCGGAAGCCCATCTTCTGTGAACCCGGCTGGCACTGAGATGGCTGGATGACGTGTTACGCTGGCGAGATATGTATTGGTTGGGAAATCTTCCTCTCCATTCTTCATAAATCTGCCGTTCGCAGCATCTTCGAATCGCGGAGGGGGAACTCTAACATCTGGCAAAGTGAGCGCATCAAGACCGAGCGATGCAATGAGGCAGTCCACTTTACGCTTGAATTCGTCCCGTAACAGAATTCGATCGAGGTAAGTCGGATCACTCCTGGGATCCTCTGGACCGTGCGCTACGGCGCATAGCGTACTCATATAGGGGGTATCCGACTTTTCTGGAAGAATATCCGCGATGTCCTGTGGAAGATGTGGCTTCGTCGCCAAGAAGCTGTTGATATCGCTGCGTGACCTCTGGAGGTATGTCAGCGGGTAAGTCATGTAATGATCCAGGTTCTCGATATATACGTCGAGAAAGGTTGTGCCTCTGCTCCGAAGTTTATCGATTGCTGCCAGGACCACTCCGTTGACTGCTTTGCAATATGGATCAGAGTCTGGGCCAAACTTTTGTCTGACAATCCCTATCTTCGCATTCTTAATCTTCCCTACTCCATCTTGAAGGAACGCTGCGTAACTACCGCCCTTTGGCAGGCCAAGGGCGGCCGCAGTGGCTGCGAAACCCGTAAATTCATCTCTGGGGTCGAATCCAACCATGCAGTCTAACATAAGCGCGCAATCAGTAACAGTTCGCGCCATCGGCCCTGGTGTATCCTGCACTTTTATCAGGGGGCAAAAGCCTGTTCGCGAGATAAGGCCAGGAGTCGGACGAAGACCAACGATATTGCAGAAGGATGATGGAACCCTAATAGAGCCGCCTGTATCTTCTCCCACAGCTAATATAGTGAAGTTGGCAGCCACAGCGGCACCAGAGCCTCCGGATGATGCTCCAACGTCGTAATCGAGCTTATATGGGTTCTTGGTGAACTCGTAATCTGTCGCACCGTTCGCACTAAACCAAACCGTAGCCCATTCTGCGAGCGTAGTCTTGCCTAGAATCACTGCACCAGCTTCCTTTAACTTAGTGACCACAAATGCGTCCTCGTCGGGGATATTGTTCTTCGCAACAGCAGAACCATATGTGGTGACCATTCCTTTCGTATCCGCCTAGAGGAAGCATTCTAATTAGCTCGGTATCTCTTAATCTCGCGAGGATGTCCGTACTTGGTCCTTAACCAATACTGGAATTCCGTGAAGTCTTCCCATTAGCTTTCCATGCTCCTTAAAATAACAATCGAGAGCTTCCGCCTCTTCCAGTGCCGTGACAGACATGGCCATCGTCGAATTAATCCGAGGACCGGCCTTATCCAGCTTTGCGATACGCTCAAGAAACGCGCTGGCGAGCTCCTTGGCGGTAAACTTACCATTCTTGAACCCATCTTGCGCTGTTTCTATTGTGATCTCACGAACTTCGAGCATATCTACGATTTTAATATAGACTTTAGGTGATAATAAATTCAGTTTCTTCTAGCTGTATTGTGTAAGTTGAGACGTCTTATCAACGTGTCTCCCCGTCACTTTTGGAGATATATCCTTCGGCCAAATATAAGTAAGCAGTATTACGCACGAGTACGAGCGAGGTAAACTTGGACATGAATCAATTTTTTTCGGAATCGAAGGTAAATTCAAGCAAAGCTATTACTTAGGTGTCTACCAGTAAGGTAGTCATTAAAACTTTCAACGTCATTACTTTTGATTGTAGAAAAGATTATAATTTGGACCATAGCTTTGTGGTTACTACGTATAAAGGCGGGGAGGGGACACTCCACGGGTACACTGTGATCGTATATGCGTGGATACATAAGAATATTCTCCATCTCCAATTACCTCATAACATAGATAGGTACTTACCTATCATATGGAAACCAGTTAGCACAGGTTACTTACAGTGAGATGTTGAGTGTTATCGTAACTTTTATAAACCGCTAAATATGGATTCGGGTGCTAATTAGCTGGATCCTTGAGCTTCAACTTCGAATAGTTCATCAAGTCTTTCTTCCCTTTTCTTTTGAGTCGTCGCCTCGGATTGACAATAATTGATATTTTATCTTTGGGTAATAACGGGAACCCATTATGTGATACATCCTCAGTTTCGGGGATACCTATCCACAATGGGACATCACGTACCTAGATACGGAGTAGCGATAGGCATAGAAGACTGTTGGAGTGGCAAGGTTTGGTGTGTATTACGAAATAGAGGAAATAGTAAAGAAAGTATAACTGAATGGTACCTATTGATTGGTTGATTGATTAAGGAAGATCTATGAAAGTGGGGAGGGATCTCTATTTACATTTGTGTGTGTGGGCCCAACCCAAGTCACATGACTGGGGTCATGTGAGTGTGGTAAGTGTGGTCCCAACAAAGACATTCTTTATTTTCTCGATAATCAAGAGATGATATCTAAGTAGGACCATAACAGCTTTACTAGGTGCCATAGGTAAATATTAACACAGAAATCGTTACAATCCCCATCATATAGATTCCATGTCTTTATTTTGTGAACCGTTGTAATGTAGAGAAATAGTTGGACTGATCATTCAGAACTTACTTTCAATGCTTATCAAATGTCCGATAAGGTTGACAGTTATCGGTATGCAAGGTGCTTATATACAACCCTGCAGCAGTATTAGGCCTTGTCCAATCGATATTCATATTTGCATTACTGATCAAATCCACTGCATATATCTATTCGATGTCATGTGAAGACTGATGTTTGGAAGGTCGGTTTTTCTGGGAAAATTAATTTATCGCCTGCATATTTGAACACCTAGAACATTCGAATGGCAAGATACACGCATAGATGCGGTAGATGTGATCAAGGAAAAAGTCTGCAGCGTCCAGATTTATAGTGTTACCTTTCGGAGTAACCCTAGGGCCTAATATGTCATGCAGCCTCTTCCGCGGCCGCAGCATCCACTTCCCCGTGATAGAATGCATATGACCTATTGGTTTTTCCAAAGCTAGATTCGTTAGTGTTCTAATAACCTGTGGAGCACAAGCAAAAATTCGGAAATGCAATACTTCCAACCACCTGATGTATGATCTGTCATATTAGCAAACCATGTTCATAGTCAAGATTCGAGAACCGACCCATCTTGTAATAATGTATCCAAGTGCTGAAGTGTGAGTTTGCTAGGAATATTATGGACTTGTCTTTACTTGTTCATACGACTGTTGAATAGTTAGCAAAGGATTCGGATGTTCAATGGGTTTTCCGCGGGATGCCAAGACGTGGATATGATGAAATGTTTACATGTTTTAATAAAATCGATAAGGAGCTCTTTATGTCATTATTGAGACGATGTACGTAAGTGGTTGCCATTGAGTAGTTAAGTATATACGACGATGATATATTACTTCTATGCAACTATGTTATGTCTTTAAGTGTGAGAGTGCTACACAGTAAACCTCTTTGGATACAAGTGATTTGATTGGTTCAAAAGATCCACAATAGCCTTTAATTGGACATACGGTTTAACGGTTTACTGTGTAGCACTTTGGCACTCTCCACTTGAGGACATATGAGGACATAGAAACACATATTAGCACGAAGGTGTATCGTCATTATTACTTAAGGTAAAGATTCAATTAGATCTAGATAGCTAAGCGGTCCTATTAAATGTTTTAACAACTTAGACACAGCATTAAACTCCTATATTAAATTAGGTAAGTACCTAGCTTAACAGTTAAGCCTTAACTAGTTGAATAGAGATGCTAAGCTCTTATTGCCATCTGAATGTGGTTGGTCATAATTTAGGGATGGCCGGAAATCGCCTCCCACTAGACGAGTCTAGACAATTGCCTCAGAAAATCCAGGGTTCCCCAGATGACCTGGATGACTAGTCGCCCGGTTAAATTATGTAATTGGAGAATTCGTCGTGCTTCCGCAGGCGACCGGCCTCTCCCGATCGTACGATGGTCAACACTATTGGCTTAAAAAACATACCATTTGAACCCACTTTCAATTAGTGTGCACTTCGGAAAGCAGCATTCGTATGCATCACAAAATGCCTTTGAAACTCTATGGTTTTCTTGTGAGGCGAGGATGGTTCGGTGGCTATAGTTTGATCAATAAACTCTCTCGGACCACCTATCGGCATGAACTAGGGACATGAACTAGGGATCTTGATCACTCGATCTAGATAGGATAGATGCCTATATAATCAGATCAATCTAATCATGGATAGACCTTTTTTTCTTCTATCCAGCACATCTACCAACAAGTCAATACCTTCAATAGTTATCCATTCCAACAACAACAAGAAGTATCACTACTTCACATACAAAGCCAATCCTTAGAGATGGAGCAAAAGACCACTTACACCACACAAACCAAGCCCATCGCTATCCCACCGCCAAACAAAAAGATCACGATATCGCAAAACATTGAAACATTTTCATTTGAGGTCGGAAGCCCAGCCTTCAGCGATTGCGAATCAGCCTTAGACGAAGATGAGAACGCCTACGACATGTATCACATTCCCTCTCATCACCGAAGGAATGCGCTGAGCTTCGAGAACGGCTTCGAGTTTCCCGTCTTTCTCCACAGAAGAATGTCGGCATAACTCCGATACACTCTGAGGTGATAGGACTCGGCGTTTCAATTATATCTGGAACGCAGCAGAAGAGAACGTTCATACGCGCTCCTCGGCACCCATGCCGCCACAAGTGCTGTCAAACAGGCACTCGTGGAAACATCGCGCGCGCGAACAGGTCGAGCGGGTTGAAGCGGGAGGGGGGTATCAACACGATGCCGTCGCAACACTGAGTCTCGGTTGTTGATAAACATCCCGGCTTCGGGGATATAAAGAAAACACGGGCGAGGCGAGGCATATCGCCGCCGATTGAGATGGGAAAACGGATTGTTTAGATTACGGCGTTTTGAGGGGCGGAAAACTCGGGGAGGTTATCTGTATTGGGTATCAGGAATGCGGGATACCCTTGGCGTTATCCACGGACAACAGCTTCACTTTTGGTTTTTAAGGGTGTATCTATTAAGTATTGCTTACCTGTTTAAAGCAACTTATGTATGAATATCGGGGTATATACATATTACCTCCAAGCGCAATAGCGAGCGGGAAAATCATCAATCTAAACAATGACTTCATATCTATATTCTTCTTTCTTTTTTTAGTGGTCATAAGAGTTCACGACAGACTTCAAAAGATCATTCCAGTAAAAAAGACGGTAAAAGTCAAATATTATCTCCTAGGGTCCCCGATTCTTATCTCCGTTCCCGTGCAGCAGAGTAGCATGTAACTACGTACATAGTTCGGGGTTTGTCTAATATTATGCCCACTAATTCCGAACCCTCCGGAGATATGAATCGTTGATAGAATACAAGCCCAACAAGCACGGCAAAGACAATATGGTCAATTGAGCTCAAGACTTCTTAATCCGCAAGACATGTTCATTTTAACAGCCTATATCCCTAATTACTATTACCCTAGTGTTAGTTATAAACTCCGTTAAGGCCATCTAACGACATAGGCTAGTCTAACGAACCATTCTGAACGGGGGCGTACTGGGCGAAGTAGATAAAAAGTTAAAAATATAGATAAGAAGCGAATTCGAGACGAGAGGCTACTAATAGCAATTCTAAATAATCATCGCAAATTGATATCATATCGACTTCTTGAAAGACCGACTTACTCAGAATCAACGTGATAGACGAATCCAACGTCAAAATGACTGCTACAACCTATCCCGAGTTCAATGATCATACAGAGGCATTGGATGTTGCCAAGGCCTTTGCTAGGGAGATTCGTGGTAAAACAGTACTCGTGACGGGTGTAAATGTTGCCGGCATTGGATTTACAACTGCACAAGCTTTTGTAGGTATCCTTCTTTCTTGTCCTTCAATATTCTAACGCATTATACAGGCTTCTCAATCTCCAGCTCACATAATTCTCGCCAGCCGTACCCCGTCCAAGATTCAAGAGTGCATCGACAAGCTCAAGGCCGAATTTCCTAATGTAGACTACCGCTCACTTATTCTCGACCTTTCGACACAGAAAACTGTCAGGGCTGCTGCCGGCGAACTTCTATCATGGTCTGATATACCTACTATTGATATCATCGTTAATAGTGCTGCTATCTCTAATATTCCGGAACGCACGATCAACGAAGATGGAATTGAGATACAGTTTGCCACCAATCATATCGGACACTTTCTGTTCACTTGCTTGATCATGCCGAAACTTCTCAAGGCGGCAGAGCACAACCCGAAAGGGGCAACTCGCATTATCAACGTTTCTTCACGTTCTCCAATATCTGCTCGCATGCGATGGAGCGATACCAATTTCGAAAAGAAGAGCAAAGAACTCCCTGAAGACGAACAGCCCCCTTACGAGATGCATAGACTGTGGGGAACCGGGGACGTTGAAGACAAAGCGTACCTGCCGCTTGAAGGTTACAACCAGGGCAAGGTTGCGAATGTACTGTTTAGTATAGCATTAAACAAAAGGCTGTATGAGAAGTACGGAATCTTGAGTATATCCCTGCACCCCGGAGTAATACATACAGAGCTGTCCAGAGACGCTGCGCAAAGCACGAGAGATCTAATCGATAGCTGGGAGAAAGGGGGGCAACTTCAATTCAAAACACTAGGGGCGGGATCTGCAACAAGCCTTGTTGCTGCATTGGATCCGAAACTGAGCCTCCCTGAGACCAAGGGCGATAACGAAAATCATGGGGTTTACCTTATAGATTGCCAGATTTCCGATGAGGCGAACTCCTATTCAACCTCGAGCGAGGGGGCTGAAAGGCTGTGGAAGCTATCCGAAGATCTGGTCAAAGAAAAGTTCGCTTGGTGAGGGAGTGAAAAGGGAGTTTGCGCCGTTGGATCTTCTGGTGAAGGTATTAGTGCCTCTTACTATTGGACATAGGATGTGGGACGAAGAAGAATCCTCTCTTTCGTAGCACTGGGGACGCCATAGTTATTACTCTCATTCCTTAATAAAAGGCATATACACTAGTGCCATCTTGATCGTCCCTAAGACGGGGTCGTCTTGCGGCTTCACTCAGTCCCACTGTACTTGACTAGAACTATCATATCATAGCGCTAATTACTCAACTACAGCAACATAAATGGGGTTCATGGCCTAATGGTAAGGCGTCAGATTTCGGTTCCGTCAATAGTCTTTCCACTCTCTGAAGATTGCAGGTTCGATCCCTGCTGAGCTCGTGATTACTTTTTTTTTTCAATTTTCGAAGGAACTCTTTTTGCAACTGTTCACCTAATCCAACTCGGGCTTTTAGTCCGGAATTGATAATCATCCGCGCAGCGCGACGCTTAGGCGGATTTCCTAGCAAAGTTGATTTGCCAGCTGGCGCCAGCTGGTCAACATAACGGGTCCTTACTATTATTTTACCTACGAACCTTAGCATAAAGCAAGGTAATTTCTAAACACGAGGTAGGTAAATAATGCCAATATTACATTAGGTATATAATACCAGATCCGTAGTTTAAAAAAAGCATTATAGTAAAATCTATTAATATTTAGGTAACCTACCCAAGATAGTTTCTAGGAGTGTAACACAGTATCTTCACCTTTTTTACATTTTTAAGAGGTAATACTCAGACACTATAGTCCAGTATGGCACGTTCTGTTGTACTAAGGTGGTCTTGTCTATTTACGTAGGATTAAGCCTTGAATACTAGGTAAAGTTGTAGCTTATGATAAACCCAAGATACCCCTGGAAGACTACTTTCTGTTTCTACATCTTCTTAGTTCCATTATGAATACGTTTAGTTAATAGGTACATAAGCTATATACGTCTGTATACGTACTCTAGTATAGTGTTGGTAAATATGAGGGTCTCCGTAATAACTTACAGCAACAACCATTCAGCAAGAAATAAAAGGTAGCATATTGTTAGCCCAGTTCTTGACTCCCTGTGTGATACATTCCCGATTTTCTAAGGTCAGTGTAACTCCACGAGCTCCAGAGACTTCGTTAAAATCACACGGACCCATGTGTAGCACGTTATGTTCAGGTACTTTCCCATCGCTTGTCGGAATTTGGAGCACAATCGACTCGGTAACACCGGGATATTGGGTACGATGTCCTCTTTGGCTGACAGCCGCTGTATCGGCAGCGAATATGAGGCCAAATTGACCTCCATTGACAAGCGTACTAGTATCTTTATCGTCGGGGAGCGTAATATATGCCAGTCCAGTAGTGAAATAAACCCACCTAGCCAAGTAACTTGCATTAGTATCGGGTGTCTAAACTCCACGACGCAGCTTTTGGAGTAAGAAAGGACTTACTGTGCATATGGCGCATTGTGTAAGCCACCATCGTATTGGGGCGGGAGGATAGAATAGGTCACATTTGAGACCTTGCCCAGAGTCGTCTCAAAGCCTCCAACTGTTCCGGGCTCGGAGGATGTTTTGAACGGTACGTTCATTTGCCAACATTCAAGTGTCGAAGAACCGTCCCTTGTCCCTATTGCTGTTGTATTAAGGTGCAAAGAGGCAACATCTCGCAATAATAACGCGAATGTTAAACGGGAAATCGAATACCCCATTCCGGGCATAGTGTTCTTGAGATCGATGGTCGATGTTGAAGAGTTGGTGTTGACTGTTATGTTTATTTCTGAAGAGACAGACACCCCCGCCTTTATATAGATGATGATGATGATGATAACGTTTACGTCTATTGGTCTGCTATATACTACTATGTAGGTACAGCGGCGCATCTCTGGCGCTTTAGACGTCTAGAGTACTCCCCGGGGGGAACAGAGCTAGAGTATCGCCTGACATAAGAAAGTACCGCCTTTATGTAGAAATAATCGAATAAGGAATGGCGTCCGAGGTGCATTCTATGGGGGATGAGTAATACTAATATCGGGATAGGGGGTTATTTCTTCCCGCTATACCAGTCGATGATTTGGTACAGGGACGATATAAATGGTTCAGCCAAAGCCGAAGCTCCTATCAATTATATTAGAGTGATAGGCACTGTTACTCTCATAACAGTCTTCTATACGGCCACCACGCCGGCAAGAATGTACATTAGGTCAGGTTAGTATTATAGATACCTGTTTCCATTGTCACATACCTAGGAAGACAGTACCGAGGTTCATATACCGAACTTACAACGAGACGTAGAGATGACGACAACAGCGGATCGTAGGAGAAGGAGGCTAGAATAACTTTTAATGCTAAAGAAGTGACATTCTAAGAAAGTTCAGTGGTGGCTGTGGTTTAGCGTATCGGAATGGAAAGCTACTCGAGATCTATGTTATTCTCATGAAGGATATCTGTTAGTTCGAAATGACAATGTTGAGGAGTATATATAAAACCGATCAGGTATATAAAGTTACATAGCCACACCATACCTCCCTAGGTATTGGGCTTCAAGAGCATCGGGTTGCTCCGCGCGCTGGCCATGTGTCCCGGATGAATCAGACCGATTTACCCTTGACGATGGTGGCCCACCAGCCGACACAACCACCGACACGCCCGAGTTATTATATGCGCCAGCACTATTAACTTTTGGTATATCCAGAGGTCCAGCACGAAATTGTGAGAAATCATCGGATCCTCTTCCAAAGGACCCGTTAACACCCGTGATGCCGCCGTTGGCGAGATGCTTAAATTCGTTCAGAACGACAAATTCTATCTGTAGCTTAAAAGCGTAAATAAACGAGTGTATGACGGCCTTGAGCGTGAAGTAGTTGCAGTAGTCGAGCACGATGACGGGTATGTCGGCAAGAACTACAGCTACCTGGACGATGATAAGAAATGCCAATGTGTTCTTAGCCTTAGCGTTGAGTGACAATTTGAGCATCTGCATCGTTCCCCAGATGTAGACGGAAGAGATGATAGCCTCCTGCACTGAGAACGCCAGGACCTGAACACGCTCCATCACGTTCATGTAGGGAAGATACTTCGCATGCGTCGCTGCGTTCGATATAAAGTACTGAAATACGACAGTTGGCACGTGAAATAAGAACCCGTCGATTATGATCATGGCGAGTACGATACGCAGGATCGGTGTGCCCGGCGGAATCACAAGGTGTAGCCGGGACCAAAGGACGATGCTAAAGCCTGTCACCATCATGACCCAACCAACCTCGGATAGCACATATGTCAATATCCAGTTCGCCTGCGGCACGCAGAACTTGAGGAGGAAACCGACGGCGCGGATCGTCAAACCCCACGTCGTAACCAGGACGGACCAGAAATAAATCCCGCTCCATCGCTCAAATGCATATAGGACCCAGGCGGTCAGCTCGACGGTCATCCAGATTGGGAGGGATGTGAAGACGGCGAGAAGACACCTAAGACCTGTTAGCCCCTATCTATCAAACAGCCATGTGGGTATAAGTCGTGGGTTTTGGATCTGACTTATTACATACCAGACCGTCAAGTTCCAGGGCAGCGGGCCGGTGCGCGCGAACGACCAATCGAACTCGTCTAACGGTACCCATGGAACCGTGATGTTTCGAACGCCAGACATGACTATGACCTAGGTAGGTAGTTAAGGATGTGGATAGGAGGAAAATCTGGAGATTTGCCGGCACTAGTTGCACATATATGTATGTTCGCCTACGCCAGAATAATTATTGTCATATTATTTCTTATCTAGACTCGGCTCTGATATAATATGACAGCAGCAGCTCCGAGACTAGGGTCCGCTTGTTATATAACCTGAGCCATGGCGCAGAATTCTTACAGAATCTCTTTACGGTCTAGCTTGCACACCTGGTATTCGGTCAGACTACATTTGTAGATTACACATGTACATGACGAGGGTTCTGTCTCACCTGTCAGTTTTCATATTCTCCTATCATCCTAGCGGCTTTTTTCTTCGGCATTTATAGTTATATTTAGATACCCAACCTGGGTATGTCAAAGTTCGGGGCAGGCCGATGAGGCGTTGTGTTGACGTGGGGGGGTATATAGATGCATTATTACCGACCTATTGGTTGCAGATGGGGGGATAAAGGGATGGCAACCTGGTTTAGCCTCACGGTGACATGCGCGGAAAAGCGGATATAAAGTTGAGATAATATTTCCATCCATTCTTAGATAATATTTTTTTGGTTATTTTCCAACCGGAGCTCGCGTGTTCAAGACGCATCCAAGGTTGTAGTCGTATCACGTAAGAACTTCACGCGAATGAAACAAACAGAAATTCGACCATGTAATCTGGGGCGCTTTAAAAAGCACGCTTCATAGGTCGTACGCTTACGCAGTGCCACAATCACGTCCCTCGGCTCATACCCTGGGTACCATATACGTTAAACTGATATTCCAACATACTCCCAATCTTCCCTCGTTTAGACATAGATATTTTCATTTTGCAAAGTGACAACCGAGCATTTTTAGATTTCTCCCATATGAACAGAACCTAGAAATTAATAATATACAAAAGCCTTTATCCGTGGAACCTGCCATCTAAGTTAATGCCATGAAATATATAGTAACTACCTATCCAATGCGATTCATCCGTCTAACCTAGCATCCCGTCAATGTCCATGTCCGCCTCCGTTTCCATGACCTCGCCTAAACCACCTTCTCATCGCAGCCGGCGTGCTCATCGGGTAAGCGTTCGTGGTCGTCCCACCTGTGCCGAGAGGAGCAGTGCCCATGGGATACGTGATAAACGGTTCGGCTGTGCTTGTCACAGTGATTCGTGCAACTGTTTGAGTGACGGTCACGGTCGAGGGTTCACACGCGCACGTGCCTGACTGCTCGGGAGACGGTGTCTGGAACACGGTACGAGTATCCGTGGTGGGGGAGGTTACCGTTGTTAGATCATTATCGACATACGAGGACTCACCAGGTACATTCTTGGGGACGGTCTGCGACGATGCTACGGGGTAGCTAATAGGAACGACCATCAGTTTATAAATCCTCAGAAGGTCTGAATGAAAATTGCGCAAACAACCAATAAAAAGCAAGACAGAGAAACTGACCTTGAGGCTGAGCTAACAGCAACCGGGACCGAGGTGACGCCTGTTCCCACGGTGCTAGAGGCTTCACTCATCTGATAGCTCGAAACGTCGGCAGATGCTTGGGATGCTGTGTAGTAGCTAGTAGGGGTAGGCCCAGACGATACTGAAGCGGGGGTCCCGGGAGTGATCGTGTCGTACACGATGACAGTCGTGAAGTAGTTACCGAGAGTCACAGTTGTGCCTGGTTTGGTTATGTTGGGATACGCGCCAGGCGAACTCGATGCGATGGCATCAGTCCCTGCAGTGTTGGACGTGCCAATCGCTTGAGTTGGGTAATACGAAGTTGGCGCAGGTGTATCGATAAAGGTGACAGTCGTCGTTACTACAATAACCGAACCGCTCACGGTATCACTGAACGTGATAGCAGCGGTTGTATATTGTGACTCCGCGGCGGAGACGGTAGTTCCCGGCATGTCTTTTGAATTGTCCGCCACGGGGCAAACCGTGGTAGACACAGCAACAATTTCCGTTGTGACTGCACCATTAGCGGGACAGTTGGTCACGCCCGGAGCGCAAGACGTGATAGTGTAAATATTCGTCGAGTAAATAGTCGACGTTGTGTATGATGCGGGTTCTGTCTCAGATTGCACAGACGTTGCATAGGATGACGCAACTTGGCCAGTACTGGACTCAACTAGAAGTCCAGACTCAGTAGACATTGAATAAGACGGTACGTCTTGAGTAGCACTTGGCTGGCCTGGGGTAGATACACTTAAGCTGGGAATAGTCCCGGCCGATGTGGAGTTTCTCATTGTGGCGTACGAGGAAATCGTCTGGCCCGGCGTGGAAGTCTGTGTAGCAACCGGAAGTGCCGAAGAACTTCCATCGATCGTGGTTTGCGATTCGGCAACCGGGCATACGGTCGTATATAACGAGATGAGATCCGTCGTGACCTGTCCTAGCTGAGCAGGACAGTCCGTAACGCCAGGCGCACAGGAAGTTATAGTATAGATATTCGTCGAGTATACTGTCGAGGTAGTCATACTAGTTTCAGTGCTCAAAACAGGAATGGACGAAGCTGGATAGGTTTGAGATGATGCTTCGGAAATACCCTCAGGGGTAGATATCGTTGAGTTTTGGAAGATAATACTCGAACTAATTATCGAAGAACTAGACCCGACAGAGATTCCCGAACTAGCTGTGGGATAAATATTACTAGAGCCGAACACCGAAGAACTCGCCGTCGCTGAACTTATCACGCCGATTGTAGGATAGGGGTTACCAGAGCCGGGTAACGATGCCGATTCAACAGGCTTTGAGCTTGAGGAACTCGCTGGATAAGTGGATGATGATGGCGACGGCAAAGCGGTAGCTTCTGTCCCTTCCACTACACCATAAGTTATACCATCGAGGATAGTTTGCGTAACTGGGCAAATGGTAGTGTACGCGGAGATCGTCTCGGTGGTAACTTGGCCCACCGGACAGTTCGTTACAGAGGCAGCACATGAGGTGATAGTAACAACATTCGTTGAGTAGACCGTCGATAATATCGACTTAGTAATTTCACTGCTAACGCTGTATGTACTTGGTAATGTCTGCGAAAATAACGGGCCTCCAGAAGTTGGATAAGTAAAGTATGAAATGCCTGATTCGGTCGTAGGCAATACTGCCGAACCGCCTGAGATCGTCGCAGATGAGCTGGCTGCGGAGGAGACAGCTGCGGACGAAACGGTCACTGATGATACGGTCGCTGATGATACACCCACGGATGAGCTAGGCTGCACCTCGACACCAGTATCGCTAAGAGTGCTAGACGTAATTGGTTGGGACACTTCTGACTGGCTAACAGGGTATATCGTTGTCGACACTGAGACCGACTCCGTAGTAACCTTCCCGACAGGGCAATTAGTTACTGTCGGTGCGCAGGATGTAACAGTGTAAACAGTCGACGAATATATTGTAGAAATAGTGTTGCTACTTCCGCCTATCACGCTTGAGGAGGCACTTCCAAGGGATTCAGAATAAGATACGAAGGTGCCGCTAGCTATGCTCGAAGTGCTAGGTTGTATTTCTGAAGAGAATGAACCCGAAGAGAATGAAGCCGAAGCGGATGAGGCTGAAGGGGATGAAGCTAGGTAACTAGAAGGGGATGAGGCTAGGTAACTAGAAGCGGATGAAGCTAGGTAACCAGAACTGGATGCCTGCGAGCTTAAAGAAGCGCTGGAGCTGGCCGCGTCAACGCTTGAGCTAGCAACCTGGGCATAACTCGATTCGGTCAGCTCAGTAGTAGAACTAGACGCTGTAACCACGCTGGATTCGGTCTGAGTCAATATGCTACTGGTGGTAGTGCCCAAGAACAGTGAGCTTAGACTACTTAAGATTCCACTATTAGTAGTCGGTGAGCTCACTGGATACCCTCCGGGGGCCGTTGTAGCCGATGTCTGTGTCGATACAGTCCCAGATTCAGTTAGCGGTTGGGTAGGATATCCACCAATCGTCGACGAGGACGGTACCCCAACAGAGGAAAGACTTAAGCTGCTAGCCGATGATACACTTGCTGATGATACGCTTGCGGACGGTACGCTTATAGCTGGATAGGTTTCGAAAGTCTCGGCGAGTGACGAGGCAGACGAAGAGACTACAATAGATGATGACCCAGCCAGAGACGTGGGGTAACCTGATGTAACAGAACTAAATGATTGGATGCTGGAGGTCCCCATCTCACTTGTAGGATATCCTACCGACGAAGTTGATTGATCACTGATTGAAGAAGGTAAGCCTGCTGAGTACGTGGGATATTCGGCAGGAGAAGAGGTAGGCGAGTCATTGCTACTAGACAGCAAACTAGTCGGATACGTATCTAGGGATTGGGAAGAAGAAGAAGAAGAAGCAGGTAACTGGCTAGTAGAAGGCGAGCTGGCGTCGTACGTAGGGTAACCGGCAGGGGTAGAGGACCCTACTTCGCTGGCCACCGACTCTGGCGGACTGACAGGATAGTCATTCGCAGCAGGGTCCCTTTTCACCATTCTTACAAGTTCAGGGTTACAGCCGTTCTCTATCTTCTCGATGGAAGCTTGCTTCCCACTCTATAAGTTGTTAGTAAAACTGTCGTAGTCTATGAGTGATTGACATACCTTATCCTGATATCTATATTGGCAAGCGGGGTATTTATTCGTAATATTCACACTCTTCACATACATAGTATAGGGAGCGCCTTTCATGTCGATCTCACCTCCGGCCCATTGAATAGTCCAGTGGTTGTTGCCAGAGTCTCCACCTCCCCATACACCAAGTTGAAGCTTCATCGGAGATTGGGGAAAGGCGAAGCCTTTAGGAGTATCCTTGGCTAGAACACTCCGGACAACCTTATCGTCGACAAACCAGTTCACGTGGTCTTCATCCCACTCTACCGAATACTTATGGAACTGCTCTGCTGGCTTGTATGAATCTTTTTGGTAAGTAGCTGCGCCGTTCCACATCTTTCCCTGAGCGAAGACGTTGGTCTCAAAAGCCCACATCCCATCCCGAGGAGGGAAAGGCGTCTGGCCAAACTGATTACCCGAAAATTCGAAATCGATTTCATCCTGAGTGTCTGACCATAGAGCCGCGCTACTAATTACTCCCTGGCCCGGAGCAATTTTCATCTCGACATCATATCGGCCGCCAAGCATGTAGAAATCGGTCCACATATTCGGTGCGTCTCCCTTTTTTGTATAAGACAACTCGGCTCCGTTGGAGGTGAAGTCGACGACCTCGGAGTTCGCAACCGTCCAATCCGAAGGGGGACCCTTTTGCTTGGTGAAATCGATATAGTAATTTGCCTGCGGCCAAGCCTTCTTTGATGGGCAATCCGTACGGAGCGGATTGCAATCGGGCTGGAGCTGGCCATTGGCAAAATGAGCTGTGAAGCCCAACGCCGTAAGGAAGCCAATAATTCCTCTCTTTGACATTATTATGACCTTGAAAATGGCCTATAGTTATTTTAGAATTAGATAAATGGTTAGAAGAAAAAAAATATTTTATCCCCACAAGCATTAACCACGAGGATTCCGCGCTGCCCATATTAGTACTCGGAGAATAAAGCATCATTGTTGTCTACCCATTGCCATCGAAGCAACAATGCCAAAGCAGAGATCAAAAGGGACCTGGGCCGGCTTCCTATTCCGGGTGGCAACCCCCCCTTACTCTGTGCTTAACGGATAGTCCGCTCATTATCAACTCGGAACACTTCCTTTCGCCGTACCTTGAAGAAAGTCCAGTCGTGGCCATAGCCGCAGCAACAATGAAACCTACTGGTGTAAGCCATATAAATACACCAGCCCTTTGAAGGTCATGGAGCCTTTCATGCGTAACAAAAAATTGAAACTACCTAACAACCTCGCTTCGTTAAAGTCATTGTTGGATAGTTATTGAGAGCGACAAGAGCCCGCTGCCCTTGCTTCATCATATTATCGAGCATCCCCGCGGGTGAGATTGATACTGATACTGCCACGAATCAGAGTATTCTGCTCTGTCGTTTGTAAGATGCATAAGGGGGGTACTAAAAGCAGGGACAACAGAATTAAAGGTCTTGATATGTATTTTCAAACCCCGGCATGCAGAAAAGATGGCGTCTATTTTATTTGCGCAGCATATATAGGTAACTAGCCAAAGGGAGAGAAGTCCCTTGCCCGAATAAAAGATATATACTTATCCGACGAATGATGAATGTTTTAATGTTTCGTCAAGTGAGGCACGTGCCTAGTAGTAATTGGTAACTGTCACAGCACAGTGGCAGGTAGGTACCTACCGACCTACGTAATAAGGGTACCTAGGACAACGTCTTACCAACCAATAACCGTAATTGTCCGATGCAAGGCAACCAGGCTGCCAGGCTTTCGGGTGGGGTGGGCCACCCTGGCGTAGGCCATCATAGGTAGTTCCCGCTCAGCCCGCTCAGCACAGAACCTTCTTTAATTCTCTCTCACGTTGAAAGTTCAGGTTATCGATAAAAAGTGGATACAAGTACCCTAAGCAGTTGGAAAAGCCGGTTCCGCCTCATACCTAAATTGTACCTACCAGCCTGCCCCTGCACCTATCATTCTAGGACTCTGGGGTCTCACCTACCTCATGAATAATCAATCGAACGAATCAGTCCATCTTTTTTTCCTGCTTGTCCTCGTTGCCTAGGTAGTTACACCCTCTTTTTCCGCCTTCTTTGAACTTGATTGCGCATATGCCCACATTCATTTGTGCATTGCGTTAGTTCTCATGGCCTAGTCATTCATTCGCATTCGCATTTTATATAATTATATGCGTAGACGCCTAGACTTGATATATCCTCAGTATATCCTCAGATCGTTATTCTTCGACCAGTATTCCTTTAGATTATTATCCCCACTCATAGCAACGCCCTCGCCTGCGCCACCGTTTAGAAGCTATGGGCATCTTCAATCAGAAATCCCGGCTGAAGGCCGCGCCTCAGGAGATCCGCGTGGAAAAAGTCGTCGTTCCCACCAAGCCGCGGCCCAGCCTAACCGTGAATCCTCCCCGCGGGTCTTCAAGCCATTACTCCGCGTCCCCCCGCCTCTCGCCGAATCCGCGCCTCTCACGACCCAAAAGCGCGTCGCCGTATCCTTCCTCTGACGAGAAGCGCGCTATTGCAAGGAAGCGCAAAGCTGTAGCCAATACCCCACGAGACTCCCCCGCCTTCGGGAACGATTCGGAATCGGAAGATGATGACAGCGATCCTTTCCGAAAGCGACTGCGACGTAGCGAATTGAGGTCGGTAGATCTAAATCGCAAGCTGTGCCATAAGAAGGCATTCGGCGATGAGGTCAGAGACCCACGCATCATCCACGCGGCGGATATCGCCTCGGTTGCCACAAAGTGTCCGCCAATTCAGGGCGCGGAACCGGAAGAAGTTGCGATAGAGCTTCAATATCCGTCTCGGTGTAAGCGTGAGAGGTAAGGGTATCAACTCTAAAGGCATCGCAGGGCGCACTAACATAAGACAAGATACGAGCTAGTATGGCAGAAAGATAAGATCGACGCTGTTAAAGACATTCTTTCAGTCGTGGAGCATGTGGCCGAGACATATCTCACCGACGACGAAGCGAAGCCTTTCATCGATCACAACGCAAGCTTCAGGAGACAGATGGAACGCGCAATAAGCGAGAAATATAGGGACGTGCCAGGATTCAGAGCAGCACTTAAAAACTACAACGACAAACTATTAGAATTGGTTGAAAACGGTACGATAGCAAAGAACATAGAACAACAGCACCACCTTCCTCCCAGTCTGGTGTCCTTCATCCTCACACAAGTATACGATCGCACAGTTGCGCCGAAAGTAGAGATGCTCACAAAATACGAGATGGGAAGCGACAACGTCTACGGAGAGCTGCTGCACCCTTTCATCACGAAGCTGCTCGTCGAACAGACGAAAATGACTTCCGACCAGGTTTTCATAGACCTTGGTTCTGGGGTAGGTAACGTCGTACTTCAAGCGGCCCTCGAGATCGGCTGTCGGAGTTATGGCTGCGAGATGATGGAGAACGCCTGCAATCTCGCCGAAGCTCAGGAGAAGGAGTTTAGGTCCAGATGTCAACTTTGGGGCGTCGCGCACGGGCGGGTCCATCTTGAGAGGGGTGACTTTCGCACCAACGCTAAGATCTTGGAAAAGCTGAAGGAGGCGGACGTAATACTCGTCAATAACAAAGCCTTCACTTCCACTCTTAACGATGCCCTTATTAACATGTTTTTGGATTTGAAGAAGGGCTGCAAGATTATATCGCTAAAGTCCTTCGTCCACGAAAACAAAACCGCTATTAACGATGTCGCAAACAGTATCCTTGACGTCCAGCATTACCGCTACCACGAGAACTGGGTCAGTTGGGCCGCTGCGGAAGGCGACTATTATATCTCCATCAGGAAATAACGATGCCGGCCAGTCTATAGGGGAAAGAGAAGTCAACAATATGTCCATGTATAGATAGAATTCAGAGAACGGGTAGGTGAGAGCGCGTGTTAGGATACCACATTCGCATACATAGATAAGCATTATTCGAAGGATACCAAGGGATGCGATCGAATGGTAAGGACTTACAATACCGGTATTAGGTTAGTTATATAAATAGAACACATCAATACAATAAATCGCGATGACATCCGCGAGCGGTACGCTGGCTTTTCACCTCACCTCCGAGTCTTACTGCTTGGCGATTCGTTTTCCAGGTTCATGGCGTCTGCCTCGTGCTTCATCCGATCCATCCACCTCTTAATTAGATCCTTATTGTCGGCTGCGATCTTGGCCGCTTTCTGCTCGGTGACGTCGAGTTGTATGTTCAAAGTCAAGTTCTCGTCCTGAATATCCTGTTGTTACGCATTAGTCACAGCCCGGTATACCCTAAATCTACGCCATCGTTTATTCATTCGTACCTTGAGCATCTTATTCTTGCCGGCTAGCTCTTCATTGCGGTCTTTAAGTTTCGCCGTGAGTGCGTTGCGCTCGGCGGTCAGATCGTTAATCCGCTTAGTATCGACTTTCGCCTTGGATCGGAGCTTCTGGAGTTCGTCTTCGGCAGCTTTTAGTCTGCTCTGCAGCTGGCCTTTGGACCGGAGCGCTTCTGCTAGGTCTAACCGAAGTTGGGCGACGTTCTGGTCCGCACCGCCGTCCGTCGTAGTAGTTGTCGCAATGCCTTTTCCCGGCGATGTTGTTGGGATGTTCGTCGAGATTCGCCAGACTACCTTCTCGGCTTCGAGGGCGGCTATACGATCGGCGAGTTGGGAGCCTGGAAATAAGGGTTATTAGGCAAGACGCAAGAGTATGAAACAAAGCTACTCACAAGCCTCGACGAGGTCCTTGTTTACAGGATTGTTCCGCTCTGCTTCTTGCAGGGAAGTAAGATATTCAGATCTCCAGTCAGTCATGGTGGCCGAATCCTACATAACAGTATTATCATCTGAGATATTGAAAAAATGTTGTTGTAGTTATAGAAACCAAGTCTATTATTTTTCTACATATGTACAAGGTAAAGTTGCTTATTCTGCTCATGTGCTCAACGATTGGCTTTTGGGCAATTAAGGGCAGGAGGGGTACCTCTACATAAGCTTTATAGGATCCACAAATACCCGCTAGCTAATGCCAATAAGCTCATATCTATTACATTACAGAGATAGTCTCAGATCTGAGCTATTTCATCTGTTCATACATTGTATATTCATAAATAGTCACTCATCCCATATAACATGCGATATGCCCCGGCCATCAGGGAACGTATCATCCGTAGTCCACATCACCAGCGGCCACTGATCATCTATAACACCCGTCTCGGGATCCCTCGAGAACACAACAAGCCGCCCCGGAACGCTATGTTGATTCGCAGCCGCAAGCAGCGTCCCGTCCCTGCTAATAGCAAACGACCGCGGCCACAGACCTCCCGACGCCGTAAGCCCCACGAGCGCAGGATCGCCCGTCTCAAGATCAACGCTATACGATACGATACGATAGTGTCGCTCCGCTCGCCGCGGTATACGCTTCGGCCTTCGTCGCGCGTAGAAAGCACAATATGTCTACCGTTTTCGTTCTCCACCGCCGCGATCTCCGCCGGTATCGCGACCCCGGCGGCGTCGCCAAACCCGGTCTGGTACGCGCTGTCCTTGTAGAACTGCTTGAAACCCAGGGTCCCGTCTTTTCGGTATACGACCTCGAACCCGTGCAGCGAATTGGTAAGCTCGCCGAGCACGTAGAAGAACGTCTTACTATTACTACCTTTAACAAAGACGCCGTGGCGCGGCCCGTTCCCGGGCTCGATATAATGCGCGCCTAATTCAACTAACCGGCCATCCCATCCTACCGCGTATGTCCGCAGGGCGTCCGCGCCGCGGTCGAGCACCACTACGAATTTCCCGGTAGGGTCGGCGACGATGCCGTGGGGATACGGCTTATCTTGCAGCGTCGAGTTAGGGCCAGGCTTGTCCATGAAGTAGTGGAAGCTCTGGAGCTCGACCAAGTTACTCGGATCCGAAGTATCAACGACAGAGACCGCGCCTCCCGAGTAGTGAGCCAATCCCAAGCGATTAGGAGCATAAAATGCCGACTGCACTGGGCCATAATCGGTAGTGATGTTGCCGAGTATTGAAAGAGACTCTTTGGAAAATGACGCTACTGAGCCAGCGTCGGTGATTGTGTAAGCTTCATTTGCGCAGAATAGCGTGTCCGTTACCGGATCAAGTTCCAACCATCCCGGATTACGACCACATCCCAACGTCGAGCCGACCTCCCGTAACGAATGACTCCCATCGACGTTGCTGGTGAAGGCTAGACGATATACGGGCCCGGCGTAACTAGCTACGTAGATGTTCCTCGCAACGACGATGCTGGCGGCAGCGGATACCGTCGCAGAAAGAAGATTGTACTTCATAGTCGCTTCGTAATACTCGAGGCGAGGTAAGTAAACAATGGACGGAAACAGTACGAACTAATTAGTTGCCTATATTTATAAATAAGAGCAGCCCATATATAAGGTATATATATATCAATACTACCTAGGTAAGGTTAGGTTTTGAAAGTGCCTGAGACCATAAGCATATAAATTTGATGGTTAACACACCGCGCTTCACTTGGCATCTCATGCAGATATTGTAGCGGGATTATGGAAGGTAATTATGACCATTAAAGATCCGTAGGAATAACCATATTGACGCACAGCCGTTTGTTGGTACTTGAGCGTTATCTCGTCCAAACCTATAAGGAAGAGATAACTGACTCAGAAAGGGGTACACCATAACTATCCTCTAATGCATCACCCTTTCACACAAAGGCATGACATTCGTATTTTCCGGTCTTATTAACCCCTGTTCGCTAGTCGCCCTCAACATATTACCAAGGCCCTGACAAAGAAAATCCTCCATTAGTACAAGACTGCCAATCCGAAATCGAAACGCTCTCAGCATAATATTCGATTTGCCTCACTCATTCATTCCAAGAGTTCCTCCCTACTTATATTATAGCCCGTCATTTCTAGGCATATACAAAGCTCCAACCCTTCCTATTTTCCCTTCGGAATACCGTCCTCAACCGTAACAGGGTGCAGCATAAGTCTCGTCTGTATCTCCTGGCTATTTGCAGCATACCCCTTACTCCAATCATACCCTAGCGCGTACGCGAAGAAGCTGCCGTCATGATTAAACGCTGTCGTTGTAATGGGACTGCCGGTCGACGGGTATGACTGTAGCCGAGAGCGTGCGGTGCGGCTCCAGAAGTGAAACGCGCCATCAGAGCCAGCCGTGGCTAAGACCGTGTGTTGGACTGGGTGAAATCGCACGTCATTGACGGCCCATACCTTGGTGACATTCGTCTTGGGTTCAGGCGGTTCACGGTGGCAGCGAAATGAAAAGCTACCAAGTTTGCTATATTGATTCAAGATTAGTAACGTTCATTACGATAATTTCGGTGCTCAGCGACACTCGCAGAAGGTCAGATAGGAAAAGGATAGTAATACCTTTTTTCTTTCTCTTCGTTTACGAGGTTAAAACCACACCGTCCATCGATGCTCGCTGTGGCCCAGCCCTTGCCGTCTGGGCATACGTCGACGGCCTTGGTCTGATGCTGAAGCGGCGATTCCAGAGTTCGGGAAATGACAGTCGGGTTTCGGAGGTCGATAAGATGGATATGGCACTCTGCAGTAGCGACCACCAAAAGAAGAGACTTGGAATCCATCGAGTAGACACGGTCTTTGCACGTGATGGTAGCTAACGGACTCTGTTGGCGAAGATCCCATAACTTGACTGTCTTGTCCCATGACCCGGACGCCACAATGTGGGCATTCGATTCCGGAATTTCGACGAAACGCACGCTGCGAATGGGCTTTTCGTGCGAGCTGAGAGTAGCCTGCTGGCCTGTTGGTAGATGCAGAATATGAAGCGATTTATCGGCTCCTCCAGCGGCGACTATCGTCCCGTCCTGATTTCCCAGATCAATATCCACCCCTACCTATTCCAACCTATACCGCATCATTCCTACTACTTACCTATTTGAATCCCTATATTGGCTCTGTTTCTCTTTTTTTTACGCTGTAGGGTTAGGAAGAAACTCAAAAACTTACCTTGGCCCAGTCGCAGCCGAGGACGGGGCCCGCTGCGTTGAACACAACTGTTCCTTTCGCGGTTCTGCTGTTGGTGTTGACGTCGTAGATACGTATTTTGCTATCCCATGATGCTGCTGCTAGGTAGTTGGCAACAGGCGACCACGAAACGGACGAGATGGTGTCTTGGGCGTCGTCTGGTAGGCTGACATCGTCGGATAGAGAACCTAAATTAGGAGTAGAAAGAGTCTTGTGAAGAGTCTTAATGAGCGGCATCTCGAAGAATAATATTGATGAAAGGACAGATTTAAATTATATGAGAGTATAAAAGGATGGCTGATATTTCTTTATAAATACGAGCCTCAGAAATCTTTATCATTTTTAGCCTCGTCAGGTACGGTTATTTGATATATTACTCAATGGAAGGAACGAAGCAGCTAGGTGCACCTAAGAAATAAGGTTCAGTTCTCAAGTACCTTATGTAGGTACCTAAGGTATATTGAAGCCACCACATGCATGTACATAAGGCAATTGCATGCAGGTGTGATTGATTCATGGAAGGTACCTCCTATAAATATGTACACACCTAAAGTAACTAATAAAATCGAAGACTACAACTTGACACTCTTGACCAAGCCTGGTTTGATACCAGTAAGCTCGCCTCCGTATCCACCACGGCCTTCGCCGCCCCCGTATACCGGTTTCATGCTCTTCAACTTCTTTTGTTTCTCTGCATATGCCTTTCGCTTCTTTACTCTTGGGTTCCTCACGTCCTTCTTACGTCTCGGCGCAAGTCCCTTGTTCTTTTGTATCTGGTAAGTAATCTTACGTTTTCCATCCTCACCCATCTCCTCCGTCTCCACGACCCGATCATTCTTGCTGGCTGCCGCAAGAGCTGCTGCTCGGGCCGCTTTATCTTCCTTCTTCTTGCTTGTCGCAGCAGCAATCATATCGTAGTATTCGTCCTCGTCATCTCTAACCGCAGTAGCAACTCGCTCGTCCTCCTCATCGCTAGCATCTCCAAGATCAGCACCCATCTTTGAGCTCTTCTGACCACGCTTTTCTGCTTCGGCGTTAAGGCGCGCTTGTCTATCCTTCAGGCGTTCCCTGTAAGGAATATCCATGTCGCCACCCGCGTCCCTGCCTCCGGCTGCCCGGCGATTGGCTTTCTGTACGATCTGCGAAGTGTAGAACCTAAGACTCTTCTTCCGAGCCGCCTTTTCAGCAGCTGATTTGGCATCAAGAGCCTCCTCTTCACCGAAATCTGAGTCACTATCTCTTGCCGCAATATCAACGGTTGGCTTCTTCGGTTTCTTCTTAGTAGCAACGAGCGCGTCGAGATCAGCAAGTGACTCTTCAATGGCCTTCGCTTTCTTCTTCTCCGCCTTGGCCTTGACCTTAGCATCTTTGCTTAGTTTCTTCGAAGATTTCGTTTCCACTTGTACTTTCTCCTCGATTGCTAACAGCTCCTCTTCCGGTGGTGAGGGTATGCTGTCAGTTACGTGCGTATGATCCAATATCTTCAGGTGCTCTACTTTCTTCCACGCATCTCGGCACTCTAGTAGAGTCTTCATCACTTCGTGATCACGTAGTTCTGCGGGGTCCAGCGCTTTTGCAGCTCCGTTTACGTTATCCCTAGCTGGTGATGCTAAGGTAGCGAAGTACATAGCAAGCGTAGCGACGTAGCAGCCTAGGATTCGGTATTTGACTACCGGCAATGACTTGGGGGGCTGTCCTTCGGCCTGTTTTTGTATAGTCACAAGTAGGGGTTGAAGCTGCTGGAGCTCATCCGCTAAGTAGTCGAACTCGGGGTATCTTAACCGTAAAATTCGGTATCTTTCCTCGGGGCTCATATCAGCGGGAATCTCGACATCCTTCAAGACTTCAGTAACAACGTCATTCTGATCTGCATCCTCGCCTTCGGGAGCGAGCCACTCGGTTTCGTCGAAAATAAAGTCGCTCTCGGACATCTTTGCCAGTTTTTTCTTCTGTAGTCGCCGGGCCTCCTGCTCCTCTTCCAAGGCGTCGGCCTCTGTCTCGGGATTGTCGGCGTTGTAATATTCTTTCCTCGACGAACCCCACCAGCCGGAATCGCCTTCCTCTTGTCCAGATTCAGATCCATTATCAGGCTTTCCCTTGGCGGATTTCGTAGGCTTACGAGCGTATCCGTCTTGGTCGTCGCCATCTTCATCATCATCGGAGTCCTCGTCGTCATAGGCAAGGGCCTCTTCATCAGAGTTCTCTAAAAACTCTTCTTCCTCTTCTTGTCGCTTCTGCTTCTTGGATTTTCGGTCATCCTCAAAAAGAATTTGGTCCTTGTTCATGAAGTGTTCCTCCTCTGAGTCGGCTATATCTTCGAAGGTATTGATAGGACCCAATCTCGCATCAGCAGGGTCATATTCGCGAGGACCTTTTGGTTCCGAAGGACCACTGGATGCCTTTCTCTTCTTTCCCATTTTGAAAATGTTAAATGTTTTTGATAATTCGAAAAATACACAAGTATAAATCGGCGTGAGTGGTCGCAAGCTTGGCTATGAACTTTTTAGTGTTCGCGGTTAGAACTTTTTTTCTTTTCCCCACGCAAAATACTAAGCTCCATCTCTTATCGTTATCAATGACTGCTCCACAAGGAAGCACAGCAAGTGGGTCGTTAAAGTTAAGAAACTCCACCTGTTATGCACAGAATAGCGTCAAAATTACGGCGCAGTCTACCAACAATTACCTATGCTGATAAGTGCGCCACGTTTTTTGACGTTATTTGTTAGGTCTCTTTAAAAAAGGGCCGTGATAGCTTCAGCTGATCCTACGCTAACTCTTCCTCATTTCACATTTCATACTTCACACGTATATAATGCCAGTAATGCAGTAATTACAGCCCACCAATACCATAGTTAAATGTACTCTTCCAGGGCCCGATTGTCACATAGAGTTTCCCATCTCTTCAGTCTTCAGTAGACTTAATCCTTCGGTCGTTTATAAATTGACAGTACAATTGTACTTCTATAATCGTAATACTCTCTACTTCCGTAATGGGGAACTCTTGGAGCAATCAGATGCCCGTGGAGGGCAAGGTACGTCAGATCAATTCAATAGGACCACACGAATTGACTCTTTTGGGGGCATATCTAACAAGTGTTTTCGCCCTGTTTATAGACCGTCCTGATCACGGGAGCCTCGGAGGGATTAGGCAAGAGCGTAGCTCGACAATTGGCCGAGAAGGGCGCAAACGTCATCCTTGTCTCACGGAGCGCCAGCAAGCTCGAGGCTGCCATGGCCGAGGCCGCCGCCGCCGCCCGCAACCCCAAAACTCAAAGGTTCCACTTCATCTCGGCCGACGTTGCGAAACCCGACTATGCCCCTCCCTTGCTTGCCGAGGCCGTAGCTTGGAACAACGACCAACCTATTGATATCGTGTGGTGTATAGCAGGCACGTCTGCCCCGGATTTCTGGCTCGAGGTACCCCTATCTCAGACGCGAAGCCAGATGGATATTAACTTCTGGGGAGCGGCCGAGATGGCCCACGCTGTACTGAGGCTATGGTGTGCGCCCGACGCGCCAGTCGTGCCGGAGCCGAAACACCTAATCTTCACGTCGTCTGTGCTAGCTTTTTTCCCGGTAGTTGGGTACGGGCCGTATACACCTTCGAAGAGCGCGCTACGTGGATTGGCCGACACCCTAGTACAGGAGGTAGAGGCGTATCCACAGAACGTGAAAGTCCACATTGTATACCCGGCCTCGATCGATAGCCCCGGTTTCGAGCGCGAGAACAAGACGAAACCGGGCATTACAAAGCTGCTTGAGGAGGGAGATCCGGTACAGAGTCCTGATGCGGTAGCTTCCGGCGCGATCCGAGGGCTCGAAAAGGGACAGTACTTCGTAACAACGGCCTTGTACGGATATATTTTCAAATGGAGTACATTGGGAGGCTCGCCGAGGAATAATTGGTTTATAGATACAATCATGGCCTGTCTCATGCCATTGGTATGGATATTTGTACTACCGGACATATTTTCTAAGATCAGGAAGTACCGTAAGACGCATGGCCACCCTGCCAGCTATCGAGCCAAAGCTATAGAAGACCACAAGAGCTCTTAGTTCGCCTGCTAAATAATTAGACCCGTGTCCAAGACACGGCAAGATACAATAATGGTTTCTATCCTGCCGGTTTTCTGATGATTGCAACATTGCTTAATCTAATTTTAATATTAAGACAATGTAAAAACTCTATTTCTAAACCGAAGAATATTAAGAGTACTTTTTTTCTTTTTCTTAAACTTCCCCCTTTAAAAAAGGCGAAGGGAATGAAAGAAACAACCGCGGCCTAAACTGTCTTAAACCGGATAGCTGAGGTTCTAAGTTATAATTCATCTATTTACCCGTCCAACAAAACAACAATTCTTGAGCAGCCAATCCTTTGTGACAACAGAGGCCGGATATAAATGTTTTGCAGTACCTCCTGAAAAGCTAAAGCTGAAGGTATAGTTTAATATCTAGGTTAGTTAATTGTCATATGATTACTATTCATACTCTAACGCGATGTTTACGTTCCGTTCCGGCCTTACGGGCCCCGGAATATATCGGAGTAAATAAAGATAAAGCTAAAATCTTAGTTAGGACTATGGTGTCTTCAACCGCTGAGCTTAAACAGACTTCAGCCAATATAATATATACAACCGGATAGGTAGGCACCTCTAAGTGAGGCACATCATCACTATAGTCACCATCATCAATACTACGGTCAAACGTAGAAGATTTTATATAATTCAGTCGTTATGTGTGAGTTCATTGATGAAAACTTCGTGGATCCTCTGCGGCCATGCTAGATTACAGCAAGACAGAGATAACCCCCTCCTTTTCCGGATATTCTGGCAAACAAGAAAAAAATACCCTCAACCCAAACTCCATGCGTTTCCATATAGTACGCATCGACTCATGCCTGACTAAAACCAACTAGCATGGCAAAAAAGAGAACGTTCCAAGTTCCGCTTATAGACATTTTAGAGTTTGACCAATAACTTTGACCCGGGAGGCCATTCCTCCATCTAAAAATTGCCTTGAACATTTTCCTCAATGAGGTGAGGATTCAATCGAACTAAATCCATCTAGTAGGTCATATCGAAGAGCACCATTCTTCTGATGCCGAACCGGCTGCTAACCGCTTTGCTGGGCTTGTCTCGCGTCGGGGGTGGGGAGGCCATCCTAAGGTGCATCTTGCTCATTCACGACGGATTGGGGAGCTCCATGAGGGCCGGCCTGTGGACCAGCTTGGCCTGCTTGGCTTGCTTGATTTTGCTGCTCACGGACAGCCTCCTCGTACAAGCAAATCTGATAGGCCAGCTGCTTCGTAGTTGCATCAATCATGATCATAAGCCGGTTTGCGCGATCTGCTCCGCGAACCTGAGCCAGTGCTTGCTCTATTGTATAGCGCACAACAGGATCAGTAGAAGCAGGAATCGAAGCAAAGTTGAACGGGGCCATGTTTGCGGGTGGCGGTGGACCGGCCATGGGGTAGGCGAAGTTGTCACCACCACCAATCTGACTTCCGTGAGCCTGGGGGTTGCGAGTCTCTATGTATATGGTTAGCCTGTTAATACTTTCTCGCATGTGTACTTTGAAAGGCTCAAAGTAAATGACATACCGTGAAAGGAACATCGAGCACCAGAAGCGTTAAACCAGCAATTGGCACAGCTGCCACACATCTGGCCGTCGATAACGACACAAGTGGTCCAGGGACCGTGGCCTTTATGGCAGTTCTTGCATGGCTGGGGTGCCTCCTCACCAGCGATGTGTGCGAAGAGAGCCTCAACGTTGCTACGTCGGACTAAGTTCAGTTTCTGGTTGGTACGTCGCTGATGGGCAAGGCGCATGCCAGGGTCGCGGGCCAGCCTCTTTGCCAGGGCGCTCTCAATGTTAATATTGAGATATCCAGACTGGTGAGCAAGCTCTTCCGTAGTGTGAACTCCGGCATCGTCACCTCCCATAAGATGACCGCTAAGGTCAGGATGTTGATCATTAGGATTCTGAACGCTGTTGGCTAGAATGCTAGCTGCGGTGAGTTCTACCGGCTGCTGGTGATGATGATGCTGCTGCTGAGCGGCAGCGGCGGCAACAGCAGCAGCAGCCTCAGGATCAAAAGTGGTATCATGATCATTGTCGAAATCTTCATCGGTACTGACATCTTGCTGCTCAAGATCGGGGTCTTGATTTGCAAGTCCGTCAGCCGCGCCGATTCGACGATTGACTCTTGCGCGCGGAGCGCCGACCGGCTTGGTGACCTTGCTCGGTCGGCCACCTCGGGCTGAATGCATGACGCCTTTCATGGTGGGCCAGGTGATCAAGAAAAAGCCGCCTGCTGGCTGACAGTTGGTATCAGATTGATTATATCTTATAAAAGAATGATCATTTTTCAGCTGTCGGCAGCTGTGTAAAAATGATGTAGGATGAAATAATCTTTCGGAAAAGGCCGTAGCTAAATGCTTAGCTCAAATCGTAATTTTGCCGGGCGGTGTGTAGGGTCTGTCGCACCTTCCTAAGGTATCTTATGCGGGTACGTACCTACATATGTACCTAAAGTATATGTGTGTCAGGAGATCTCCGCATACACTCCCATGATTTAGATAGATACCTACCTCAACAGCTCCACTGCAATTGCTCAATTATTCGTCTAGGTACCTGAGAATTCGCTTCATGAAATATGCATGATTCACAAGCGTATTGGAAATCGTACTAAAAATATTTATATATAGTACGTGACTAAGTGGGCAGGAGTGAGATGAGGAACCTTATATCAGAAGGTTGAAACGGGATATGTTAGGTAGATGGCATCTATACCTATCTGGGGAAGATGAGAGTCAAAGTAGGAAGGGTGAGGTATGTACATATCTGAGATCCAGAAGTAGTCTGATCTTGTAGTTTATACTGTAAGTACGCAAAGTTGAGATGCAAACTATCACGCGTGGAATATAGATATTCTAGAAGATGAGCCTTTAAGAATGCCATATCAATTAGATAAATCAACATGGAATAACAATATCCTAACCCGGCTTATTACCAAGTATCTTTATTAGCCAAATACCTAGGCAAACATAAATTCATCAAGTGCAACAATCATGTACAGAAGGACATCACTTTTAACATCATATCAAAGTCTTTTGTACTGTACAATTAAATGCCACCTAGTTAACGCGACACGATCTATGGCCACTCAATTCATCGAACGCCAACTGCAAGATAACAGCTCTCAGAGGGTATACAGATTAGAATAATGGGATGGGCTTTTATTGATCTTTTTACAGATCCAACCAATTGCTCAGGATCTGCCTTTCCACGCTTCCCCCCCCTTATTGGTATAGCTTCATCAGTCATCCTCTCCTTACTGTGTAAAGAGGCAACTGCCTACGATCCACCTCCCTCCCGGCCGGATTTCAGCCATCCACTAAGGCACTCATTACGCCTTAGATTAAAAAAAAATACGAAAAGTAAAGAAAATGGAAAGGAACCGGCGTAACCGCGAATTCGTTATTAAACAAGGTATGTAATCCGCCGTGACTTTAGATGCAAACGTCCTCCTTCCTGTCGCGACTTCCGGGATCGTGCGATCAACGGTGTCCTGAATCTTCGCGCAAGGCCGGTAGGGGCCGTACCAAGAGTATAAAACGAGTATGCGAGACGAAAACGGGCGCAAAACAAACACATGGAAGGAGATCGTTGGCTAGTTCATGGTGAGGGCGCAGGTCAAGTCGTTAGCCAGATTTATAACATTACTGGCAGCCATCGAGTATGCGGTACCGGGGGGTATTGGGTGAGCTGTTGCTCTATCATATATCTTGTGCTTGTGACACTCTTATTCTCAATCAGATAAGACCGCATAGACGCAGGTTCTCTTGGATGATTATGTCTTAAAATAAATTTTGTTAGCACGGACATCTATAATCAACAAGGCAAATTATATTACGTACCATTGACCGCAGCCATAACGAAGCGAATTTGCGTCGTATCTGTTGCACATGTAAAATGCGTGTAGATCTGCTTCGTTTCGTGCTGGTTCAGGCTGACAAATCGGTTTAGGATGTAGTCGCAAGCGGCAGCGTAGTCATCGCCACCTTCGTAGTCGGGAAAGTAGTTCTTCATTGGGCTGACAGGAAGCTTCTCCTTAAACCGATCGATCTTATTCAGGAAGAGAATAATAGAGGTCTTAATAAACCATCGGGAGTTGCAGATCGAGTCGAATAGGGTCAAAGCTTCCTGCATACGGTTTACCGTCTCATCTTCAAAGAGCAACTGATCGTACTCGGAGATGGCGACCAAGAACAGAATGGTGGTGACGTTCTCGAAGCAGTGAATCCACTTCTTACGTTCTGATCGCTGGCCACCAACGTCGAACATTCGGTACGTTAAATCGCCAATGATGAAGGTTGTCTCAGTGATACCGGTTGTCTTGACACGAGATCGAAGGACATCCTGATCATTGGGCATGTAGTCAGGTGCAGCAATTCGGGCAATGTTGTCGAAGTAGCTGTGATGGTTAGATGGGCTAGGGTTAGGATATTGAGCAGTGATGCACGTACTATCTTGCGGAGTCGTTCAATTGATACTCACGCGACCGCTTGAAACAGTCTTGGACACCACGGTCTTTCCACAGAGTCTCAATTGCGTTGCCAACCTCAGGAGGCAACACGTCACCCTCGATCTGAGCGGGTTGCATGAAAATTGTCTGAACGTGATATTCCATTCGCTGGTCTTCTAACGGAAGCTCTAGGGATTCCATAGCCTCGAGAATGACGCGCATGGACTGAACGGTGTTGCTGAAGATAATTTCCTTGAATGACTCTCGCTCGTCGCGCGAGTAACCGCCCTCGTTGATTATCTTCATCTGCTTCAAGATGGTCGACTTTCCAGATTCACCAGCACCTTCGGCTATTAGATCGATTGCCGTGATTAGGGGGAGAGGTCCTTAGTACTCACCCAGAAGAAGCATCTTGATCTCGTTGCGCTGCATCATTTTATCACGCTTAAGCTGATTCTCAATCTCCTCGTTGCGGGCCTTGCCCTCCTTCTCCTCCGTACTCATTCCGCAACCCATATTGACTAATTAAAGGAGTTTGGACTAAATGTTATAACGAATGTAAACTCGGCGTCTATCGCGAAAATACTCTGCGTCGAGTGACGACTATATTAAAATAATGGTGTCAGTAAGCAATAATACCAGAAATAATAGAAGACGACAGCCTAAGTGATGGGACGCTCTCTTGATCCAAGGGCGCAGATAACAAGAACCGGCCAACCGCTTGCGCCGGCTTAGACGTAGCTGTAGACCGTCGCTCTGCGTAGATGATTTCGATAGACACGACTGAATAGACGAGACAACAACATACCGGAAAATGCCAATTGAACTGACGAAGAGACACACGATAGATAAGAAATGGGGATAAATTCGCCGAAGGAAAGAAACGGCGAATGTGATGAGAAAAGCTGACAGTGGAAAGGAAGAGTGTAGAAAAAAGGGTGGTCGCGAGAGATTGTGACGGGGCGAGATGGATGACCAAGTGGAGCACCTTTGCCTTTGAAAGTGCAGCTTTGGTTTGTTGCCGGACGACCCCCCTGTCCTAAGGAATTGGTTTGGGAAGGGGAAAAAGCGAAAGGGTGAGAGAATCAATTCGGAAATGGGGTGGTAAAAGTCGAGCCGGGGCTGGCAGTAACTGAGGGGACTATGACCGAATGTGGTTAGGCCAATCACAGATTATGCAGATTATGCGAGGAACAAAGCCAACGCTAAGCCTGATAGGCGTTAGTTAATGGAATGCCTGTGGGTACCTCCTATTACCCAGCATCGTAGATGGATTACCTAGGTGCATCCATGCTCAGTGTTTAATATTGAAAATTTTAACTGTACAAAGAACTTTGGAAATTTTGTCTTATTATTTAGTCGCTTACACTACTTTCCCTTATATTAATCACTATCCCGACTTAACATGATAATGTCTTCTTTAGCAATAATCTAAAGCTATAAATAAAATGAAATACGTAACCAGTAAACTCAGGTCCTAGGTAAGTTAATACTGTATAAAATACATATCAGTTCCCCATATGTCCTCTTGAAACGTTTTACTTACCTAAGGTAAGGTTCTGATACAATTTGCCCACGCCGCTGTAGTACATTAAACACCTAGTGGATCTGGAATATATTATGTACATGTACGTACATATGCGTCCATCATCCAGGTCACGTCAGCATCAAGTACACTACATATACGTCAATGATGATAATGATGTATTGATAATTCTAAATGCAGCAACAAAATTACCACAAAAGCTACCGGCTGGTCAGATTAAAAAGGTTTACCCATGGGAGTGGTCGTATTTTTATTAGCGCTGGAGATGACCGAAGAACTGGTAACCATACAAACCACAAAAAATACAGGGGAGAACTACTACTTCGCATACAGTAGCTGGTTTACTGTATGGAAGTATGGAAATACCTATCGCAGATCGGGGAGAAGCGAGTATACACTACAGCCTTGCCAGATGCCCGGACTTAGCGTAATACATATTCAAAAACATCACGCCCAATCATAGGATCCTATCGAGCACAGCCAGAAAATAGTTTCTTGTTCTGTAGTTCTTTTCCTGCCTAACGACAAACGAACAAACGAGGGCGGCATACATCAACTAGTATCTGTTGCTGCTAAATGGTCAGATTGATTATAATGGCACATCAGGACGCTCCAGACCCCTGTCCATACCTGACTGCAGGTCCATCCGCTACCACCCACCATCTGCAGGTCTGCCTAGGCCTACCAGGCTTCGGAGCGAATAGATTGCCTCCATCTCGAATTACACTTGCATCGACATATCCGTAGGACAATGTATTGTATGCAGTGACAATACGCCTTACGTGAGCGCTGGAACAAACGCGCAACTAAGACAAGTTCTCGGCCTTTTTAATCGGTCTTGATATAAACTGATAGGAGCTACCTCATTTGGTAGGTAACGCTTCTAGAAGTATACGAGATAGTAGAAGTCGAACCGCTTCCCCAGGATCCTCATAAGCAAGCGGGTTGACTCCACCAGATCGTCGGTTACGCGCAAAGAAAAAGATGTAAATAGCAACATGCATAATATGATCTGACCATATTATGTAGGACAAGCCTTGTCATCTCAACGTGTGATTCATGGGCTGAAACGTGATCAAGCAATACATAAGAGCTAACTCTGGAGAAATAATTGCGTCTTTAGTATCTTTTACATAGTATATAGTATTATTTTATATACATTAAGGTAATGGCTTCATTAATCGCTAATCTATATCTCTTAATTCGAGTAATAGCTTGCTCTTTAAAGATCAGCTAGGTACCTAGGCTGTTACGTAGGTCATTAACATGTTTAATCTAGACTAGTTAATCGCATCCAATGCTTGACCCGGTTAGCTTTTCGCCTCAAGTTAATATCGATATTTCAAAAGACCCGCCTTAAATCATGCACTGTATAAAGACTATCCTATTAATAACAAAAAACAAGAACATCTACCTAGCATGGACATTAACTTTTAAGATCGTAACAAAACAGACAACGCTTAAATATACAGCTTCAGTAATAAGTATAGGTAGGTAGGTATGTATAGGTAATAAGCAATATAAGCGTTATAATCTCATCAGAACAACTTGAGATCACCTCTTCCACAATACTACATATAAAAGGGGCATTATTACGCTTAAGCCCCCTCTATATAGTAGGATCATTTTAAGTTTCAAAATGCATCACATCCTCCATTCAACCTTTTGAAACTTCTCAAACAACAATAATGATATATACCCAGTACTGATATATCTTAACCTTGTGATATGAACCATGCTAACCACGCGAGAAGTCGATCCATCTGATCAGATAGATAGGTAAATAGCCCCCTGACACCAGTCCACATTCGTCCATGGTCCGTCCGTGTTGGAAATTTTCCCAAGTTCGCATCAATGAGTTATCACTTCTACGCTAAGATGGTACATGGATGATGTATCGGAGTAATGGGCGGTACATTCGCACGATGGGAAGATTCGCCCATCCACAACATATTTCTCCCCAAAAGAGGCTCGGTATACCATGTAGGCCGGTAGGCTGACAAGGTGTAATACCTACCTCCCATTTGTATAATGCACCAATGTCGTCCCCAGCCTGTTCGGAACAATTTCCCCTATTCTCAAATAATCTTGGGTGAAGCCCGGACCAGCCATACCAACCCAGACCTACTCCATTGCCACGAGGTCGCTAGGTTACAATTTGCGCCATTGCGGCTAGATGACGCTATTCTGGCTCAGTCATTTTTTTCATGTTCAATCGGAGTCTAGGCTGACACGGAGATTTTGGCTTCATTTTTTTTGTACAGAGTTTATCCTTGCAAGAGAAGCGCGCAGCTTTGTTTTAGATCAAGCTTAGTTTAGCTACTTAATATAAACAAAAACTCCTTCTGGTCTAAGTGACTAGGTTAATGATATGAGGCTTAAGCAAAATTCTACATATAGATAGACGTATATTATCAAAATTTGCCTCAGCTGAACGACCTATGCGCAGTACGTGCATATAGTAGCATACTTCCGAGTTTCAATACATCGTACAAGGCTGTTCTAATCCCCCAGGTCTGAGAAGGATCATGCCTGAATGCATGAACAAAGAAACCTTCTGGAAGCCAACAACATCGAAACATGTATACGTACTGCTTCAACCTTAAGGTTGTATTTCCCTATAAGCTGAGCCACCCCATACTACCAAGGGCATGCAGTCTGTGCCGGATTGATACATACTTAGTACCGGAGCCTACCATCCCACAGCCATCCTGCAGGATGTTTAAGCAGTAATTTAGAAAGACGTCTCGTTAATTCGGCGGCCTAGCTCGGTGACAGCCCGTCTTCTGCACGTAGTCTCTCGAGTAGAGAAAGACTATAGGTCAATTCTCAAATATCAATAATTACCGAAATATTTACCTGTTGCGTAGACGTCGTTGTATAGGAGAGGCATATACCTTAGGTAGTAGTTAGAAGTTGTTTCTTCAATGGCATCCATTTTTTCGAGTCCCGCGAATCAGATCTTAGGCAAATTTTTAGATGCGTGGCACACAAAACAAAAAAGAAGTCGCCCTTTTTCCCAGCCACCGACGGTAACGTAGCCGGCTTGGGAACGGATAGGCTGCAGATCTCGTACGCCCTACTTCGCGTTGCTAGCTCAATCAAGCTTTCGTTTGCAAAAAGTAAAATTACTTATTGATTATTATCCCTTTTTCGACTTGAGGCTCAAGCGCTCGCTGTCGCCGATAGGTACGCGCAAGTGCCCCAAGCTTAGACCGCCTATACACCCCAAGCTTCTAATTACATCCTTCTCCCTCGCTCACCGCGATATACAATTAGCATAATGGCTATTCCCCTAACGCGATTAGGAGGCGGAGGTATGTATACATTGCATAGCTACTACATAAATATGTATACCACCATATCATCATCTATCGTCCCTTTATCCCCTGGCTACTGTCCCAAGTGACGCAACACCCCACGTCAAGCTTCGATCATCATTTACACAACCCCCAAGTCCAATCGTACTTAGTCTATCAATTCGCAAGCTTACCTACTATTGGCATTGCCGCTTCAGCCTTCAACCATAGTCCGAGTAATGACGCCGAAGCCGAATATGACCGGCTCCGAGACTTAGCGCGGGAGGAAGCCGCGAAACGGAACAGCTGTTTCGACCGGGTATGTACCTACATACGTTTTATATACATGTTTCATTCCTTACTTCTATATAATGTTCTTACCCACCCACACGTCCATCCCTCTCCCCCCGCCTTAGAGATACACATAAGCATTCATCCTACCGTCACCGAGATGACACCGAAGGATTTTGCGTGCGCCGCGCTAACCGCCTACCCCAAATGCATAGGCGCACCAGGCATACGAGCGCGGCGACGGCGCCGAGGCCAAGGAGTTGAGCAACGAAGGCAAGCGGCACGCCGCTAAGATGGACGAGTACAACCGCCAGGCCAGCGAGTACATCTTCCGGGAGAACAACGCGCCGGCCCGGGTCCCCGAGGACACCATCGACCTGCACGGCCAGTTCGTCGAGGAGGCGGAGGACATTCTCGAGCGCCGCATCCGCCATGCTCAGAAGCAGGGGCAGACGCATCTTCACGTGTACGTGTGCCTTTCTCTTTCCACTGTGGAAACAAACCCAACTACTTACTCCTCCCTCTCCTTTCTCTCCTAGGAAGGAAAGAAAAGGAAAGGAGAAGTATAAGTAGGTGGGTAAACAGTCGTTAGAGTCCGGAGCTAAGAACAAAAAATAGCATCGTAGGCAAGGGGAACCACAGCACCGACGGCGTGCAGAAGCTCAAGCCCCGCGTGGAGCAGGTGTGCCGCGAGCTAGGGCTGCAGTATGCGACGGAGGACAATGCGGGCCGCATATACGGTACGTAAACGGCCCGATCAAGCCATCGCAAACCCCGAACCCAAAACTCAAGTCCACGGTGCCGATATACATACATACATACGTACGTACCTACTTACGCAAAAGCAGTCAACCTCCAAGGCGGCGAGGCCGTAATCCCACCGCTCCCCCCACAGCCGCCGGCCCAGCACGGCGAGCACGGATATGGCAGCGGACAGCCACAGCACCACCAGGGGGGCCGGCCGCAGCAGCACCACGCCCACCAGCAGCAACAACAGGAGCAGGAACAGCCCGCCGAGCTGGAGCAGCTACTATCGAAGTTTGTGCGCAAGCTGGGGGATTGTTGTGTTGTTATGTGAGGGGTTTTAGCAAATCCAGTTTTGCCATCAATCAGTTAAGGGCCCCAGAATCAGGAATGGCGCTTCGGGTGTTATATTTCAGGCGGGCAATTTTAGGCACATGCCCTAACGTGAAAAGAGGGAGAATGATGATGCGGGTTTCGTAAGGGGTGCTTTGAAGGATAGGTATCTACACGCTTTATGAGGATTCTCTGGGTCTGGTTTACGATTCTATGAGACTAGGTACTTAGGTTGCTATAGATTATTGAGATGCTACAGATACAGTTTCGAAGCTAGTTTTGTTCAAGACTTCTCGAGTACTCGTCGTATATTATAGGCATGATTTGTTGCTCATTGATCAATGGTATGACAAGATCCTCCACGTTTGATGGGGGGGGGGGGGGGGGGGGGGGGGGGGGGGGGGGGGGGGGGGGGGGGGGGGGGGGGGGGGGGGGGGGGGGGGGGGGGGGGGGGGGGGGGGGGG